CTCATAACAGTTGCTTTGTTCTATTTTAAACCAGGCTCACAGGTCAGCTACACCCTTCCTTTGCATAAATTTTAGCAAACTCGGATTAAGCAAGCGGCAGCTGAGAATCACTTCTGAAAAGCAACTACTAGCCGTTGACAACGTCTTCTCTTCCCAAATGACAACTGCTGCAATTCAATATCCTTATTGAATGCTCTTGATCATCAATTTTTTGGCTAGTTTCACTCTTGCAGCAGAATGGTTACGACAGTCATAGTAGCCATAGTAGCCATAGTAGCCATGGTAACCATAGTAGCCATGGTAACCATACACTACAGCGTGAGCAACTGCATTTTTCTTCCATCGCTTACGCTGTAGTGAAAACTCTATAAAAAAGTAACTAGAGCGATAGAGAAAATTATAGAAAGACTTGTATACCTTAGGCCTTCGTGGTCAGTGTGATGAACTTACCTAAAAAAAAAAAAAGAAAAAAAAACATTTTCAAACATCATAAAAATATTGACAGTTATGCCGAAATTACAACTATGCTGTTTGTGTACTCAAAAAAATATTTTTGAAAAATAATAAAAACTACTATTTCAAAATATAAACCACTACTTTAAAATAAATCAAAAATATTAAATTAGAAAAAAAAGCCTGCTTTTCAATTTTTCTGTCTTAAAATAAAAAACAAATCTACCAGGAGGAATCTCTTCTCTAAGCTAAAACAGTAAAATTATCATCTGGCAGACTCATTTATTTATTTAAAACAGAAAAATTGAAGAACAAGCTTTTTTTTAATTTAAAACAAAACAATCAGAAATTCCTTTCTTTTTTTTATTTTTTATCACTACTGAAAATGCTTTTGTTGTATTTTAAAAGTGGTTTTTATTTTTTCCTAAAAAATATTTTTTTGAATACACAAGTAGCATATTGTAATTTCGGCATAAAATTTTGCGGGATTTGAAAATACATATTTTTCTGTAAATCCATTGCATTCATGAAAAGTTCCTGATGTCTACGGCTATTTCGCGATTTTTTTTATGAATCTAGCTTTACTTTTGGCATAAATATCACATATTTTAGTGGCCATCTCATTTTCCATATCCTTGATCTGTGCTGGCGTTGGCCATACACGCCTCACTGTTGATGAGTCGCACAAATAGTCCAAGTTCATGAGAAAGGCAGCCCGACTAATCCATTCAATTACTACCTAATTAGTCTGACTATTACTTTAGAAAAAAACGCTCGAAACATTCATCAATAAACTTCTCCAGGGCCAAGCATCGTCCTCAGACACCGCTCAAGGTTGTAGTAAACCATCACGTATAATAGGCAATAGAACATAACAGAACAACTTCTAAGCAAGAGAAATTTATAGAGCAATATTCATCTGTGTAGTTTGATTATCAAGCCACATTTAGGCACAAATTGGTGATTTATAGCTACACCGAAAAATCATCAGTACACATTTTCATCTACATTATAGGCATTCAAAAAGATATAAATACGAGGACATTTTACTTAGAAAAAGGGATCAGTTAACTATTAATGAATTTGAAAGACTTGCTTCTCTTTATTAATACACTATGTTTTTTATTTCTTTTTTTCTACAAAGGTAGCTTTCGAGAATGCAAAAGTGCTCTTAACCAAACTCTTTGTCTTTCAGAGATTTGCAAATTATTTCCTTATAAAAACACTCAAGACTGACCGCTCTGTACTTTATTGAAGTAGCAAATGAACCTCTATATATTCGCTTTATCCCAAATTACCTCTATGTAATATTCTATCACAAACAATCTACCCCTTCCAACATCCAGCCAAATATTTCTATTTCTTCTCTGGTTCCAAACACATACCCAGGCTCACTATTAGATCAACGCTCTCCTGTCTATTCCTTTTTTGCTCTTATTCTCTTAAGATGTTTTTAGCTTAGCATAGTCATTCTTATGAATTGATCGAGTCCGAGCAGTCAAAGGCCACATTGGACCATGTGTTCAAAAGGACCTTTTTCTATAAGGTCAATAAATTAACAAATTTTGAGTATGAATTTGACAAGCTTAATACCAATGTACAAGTATGCTATTTGTGTCAACTGAAAAACATTTCTGGAAATAATTATTTTTAGGCAAAAAAAAAAAAAAAAAAAAAAATACACTCTCACCACAGCGTAACCGATTGCATTTTCTTCTGTTGATAAAAGAAATTTTGCATTTCTATATGTATAATTCTTCCATCACTTACGCTGTAGTGTCTTTGACTTTAAAAGAATTAGATTAAATAAAAAAAGATGAAGAAAAATTATTGTCAAAATTATTGTTAAAATTGTTGTCAAAATTGTTGTCAAAATTGTTGTCAAAAAATTAACGTAAATTTTGTATATATTGTCAAAAAAAAGGTCGTTTTTTTCTGTTTTTTATATCTATTACGGTAAGAAGCAAATTAATTTCGAAAATCCAAGACACATACATTTTTTCTACTATACTACTCATCCATGCTCCTTTATACTCGTTCTTGCTATTTCTTGCTATTAAATGGCGTTTAATCATGGGTAATAGGCCTTGAATGATTTCCAATCTTAAAGCTTTGTATTTGAGGTAGATTTATTCTGATTTTGAATGTATTATAACTTCAAGCATAATTACATATTAGAATTGCATCTCTGTAGTCTATCTGATGCTGTGGCTGTCTATCTTGTAGATATACATATATGTCTCAATAAATTTGATAGTCAATAAAATAATCGAAATGGCATGTGGTAACAAGAGAAAAATACTCTGGATTAGGCGTATACATGTGCATTAATTATTGGCGTTCTTCTCAAGATAACATACCACTGATTTCATTAAATCATGCAAATGATAGTGTACCTTTTGAGCTAGGTATACCTTTTACTATATAAAAACTCAGTAAAAAAAATTGGATTCGTAAGTATATGGCAGTTTATATTCGGTATATTAAGCGAAGTAGAGCTAAATACCTACTTAGTCCTAAACATATATCAAAATGGGCCTCTTTCCTCCCAGCTACAGTGTACAATACACTTTGAATGCAGATTTGAAAGCAGCGTTCAAATGAAGTTGATCTTCTCGTTTTATTAAACTCGTTTTCTTTTTATTAGAAGTACCTAGAAATATTCTCACCTCACGTAGGTTGGATCAGACCTACATTGGGATTAATCTGGCATTCCAAGAACTTTCGGTAAACTTTTTTTTTTTCATCTTCAAGAGCTCTTGAGAATCCTTATGGGCCAGAAGAACGAATTTCACACAACTACTAGACCAATGGTACCATTCGATTCCTAGACTCGAAACAACATGTTTCAAATAAAAAACGGACTGTTTTGACAATCTGGTTGTCGAGCAATAGTGCATCAAAAATTGATGCGTTTGAGTCCTAGATTGAGCATTCTTGCTCTGGATATCATATAAAGCTTAATAGCTATAGGCTTTTAAAGAAACATCACATACTGTTTTTAGCTTTAAGAAACATACAAAAGTAGCAATAAAGCTAGTTTATAATGCGGATTTGAAGTGTTTTTGTTTTGTAGCCGAATTTTATTTAAATATGTACAAAATTATTGTTTAATCACATATTGTAGAGAGGTAGGACGTGGAGGGACAGGAGTAAGGGATGACGAAGTAAGGATCATATAATAAACTGGGTTATTTAAGCAAGGAGTGATTTTTTGTAGCTAAAGCTATCTGATAAATTGCATCAGAAATGATACAGGAACGTTCAAAAGTAACTTTGAGAATTAATTTCTAATAAAATTTCCAGATATTTCATTGACCTATAGCAACGATGGATACAAGCTTGGAATGGTTTGCAATAGCAAGCGGAAGATTGAAAATTATCACTTTTTTTTATTGCTTCACGTAAAATAATGTAACCATCGCCAAGAGGTAGGCGCAAATTAAAAAGTGATAATACCAAAACAATCAAGTACGTCAAAATAAAACAAAGCGTCGGCCTATAACTGAAAGATATAAGGTAAGAATTAAATGAGCTATGTCATCTAGCTTCTTTGCCGTTAGAGACTTGCATAAATGTGTTTCTCTGCTACCAGTAGCTGCAGTTCTACATGAGTTTGTTTCAATAGTCTTTGGGACTCGAGGGTCACATTTCGAAAGAAAGCCTTGTCCAAGTGCCAAGGAGCTTTCAAATGAGCTGCAAAGAACGAGAAAGGTTTCATCCTATTTTTTTTTGACAGCTTGGAATAGATTTTGCTGAAGATCTCTCAGTTCTTTAAGAATCTCATTTATTGGCTTCCATTCAATGATTCGAGTAGAAGGATTGAAAGACATTAAACTGTCAACAAGATGACAGCGACTGGCTAGCGGAAGATATGGTCGATTTGGTATTACTGAGGGTACGATAGTGACTAAAGGCAAGATTAAGCATGTCTCACGATTCAGTTATATCGTGTAGAAATTGGGAAGAGTTTGGTCGAAAGTTGTCAAATCGAACATTTTTACGAGTAATACCCTTTGGATCGGAGAATATTTTAGCCGTTTTTTTTTTTTTTTTTTTACAAATTGCTTTTTTGCTCCATATTGATCCTGAAGACATTCTATATGTTAATAGACATAACTTAAAGATATTTAGAGTAATTATATGTGTATAAATAGGCTTTATACTACATTTATGTGCATAAACTGTTGTCTTTTTTTCACAGTTGAAGCATTTTTTCGCCTAGTACCCTTGTTGCATGAATAAACGACGTACTAACAAAATAGCTTGTCAAAAGACACTTGACCCATTGACTATGGTGAGTCTGGTGAGTTTGAAGACACGAGTTTTTGTCGAATTAACTTAATTTTCGTATTAATGAACTAATCGGCAATTGTTTAATTGAGATTTATAGCCCGAGTGCACAATGATACTCAAAGTAGAGATAGACAAACTAATTTTTTAAATAGCTGTCTCTTATGCTTAAACAAAAGTTTTTTTTTCTTTTACATTAGGCAATGTTATTTGGATTACAAAATAAGTGTCCTCAGTCCTTCTATTTTATGTAATCACCAATCAAGTTCTTTTCCGGTATATTCAAAGAAGCCGCCACAATCTTTTGCAATTGAGGTGCCCACTTTATGCAAAATACCATGTACGGATTCTTCTTGTGTAACGGGAGCATGATTACCTCCCATGTCTGTCTTGACCCAGCCAGGATGAATGGCAAAGACGATGAAGCCTTCAGGTTGCAGATGATTTGCCGTCAGTCTGGTCATCATGTTAAGTGCACTCTTAGATATACTATAGACAGGCCCTTGTCCAGACCCACGCGTTCCATCCATAGCAGAAACAGAGCCAAGTACCGAAGAGATATTGATGATCTTTTTTGTTTCTCGTAATTTCAGTAATGGGATCATGGCTTTTGTGACATCAGAAACGCCAAAAACATTAGTATTAAACACTTTAGTGTATTCTTCTCGAGGACTAAATAGAAAGTTATCAAAATATCACAGTAAGTCATACGTACGTTGTCTCGATGTTGTACTCGTTTGTACCGGCAATACCAGCATTGTTGATCAAGACATCGATACTTGAGGTGACTTTTCTGCGATTTTTTTAGCTGCTTCCTGAATAACATGAGCCGCTTTTTTCAAATCCGGAACTGGTCCAATACCTGTATAGAAGATGTATGTGTAATGTCAATAGTAATAGGAAAAATCTGTTGTTTATTTGCCTGGATCAAATCCTGTAGCTCGATTGAACTTTCAGGATTTCTTGCACAAGCAAAGACAATGGCATCTCTCTTCACAAGTTGTTTCACAAATGCTAGACCAATCCCTCTAGAAGCACCAGTAACAACATATATTAAAGACATTTTTCTTAAGAAATTAAAGAATGAAGTAGAAAAAAAGATCAATTCATGTTGACTCATCCTTTTATTCGAATGCCGCAGAAAGCATCCAAAATGGTAACAAGTTCCCTAAATAGAAACTACAAAGAGTAAGGAAGTGGTTTATCGTTTATACCTGCCAAAATGTTCTCAAGTGTCATATTGGCCATATTTTCTCTTGTTTCTATTGTGGCACTTCCTACATGAGGAAGAATCAAACAATTAGGAAAACTGTATAATTTATGCGTAGGAGGAAGAGGTTCGGGTGTTGTAACATCCAAACCAACAGAGCCAATCAAGTTGTTTTCCAGTGCACTAACTAAGAAAGAGAGTTAGGCATGATTATAAGGATTCCCCCCTCTTCTTTTCTTTTACCTAAATCAGCTTGATTGACTATACCACCACGAGCTGAATTAATAAAGACCTACGGATCCATAGATTAGCTTTACTTTTTCTAGCACAATTGACTTACAGCCGTCTTTTTCATTTTTGAAAAAGCAGAATAGTCAAACAAATCCTGTGTTTCCTTTGTTAAGGCACAACAAACAATTACAACATCTGATTCTTTCAGTAGTGTGTCAAATGAAACATATTCTGCTCCAAGGCGTTTCTCGGCCTCAAGCTTTTGACTACGTCCAGAATAAACAATACGAGAAATACCAAACGCTTTTAAACGTTGAGCAGTTGCTTCACCAATGCGACCAAGACCAACAATACCCAATGTCTTGTTCGTAAATTGTGATCCACATAACCATGTAGGACTCCATTTCCCCCACTACTTGTATTAGAAAGATATGGTTATCGTTATAAAACCACATACTGTTCCATCTTGTGCTGCATTAATACTCTCTTTGATTCTACGTGATGCCCCCAAGGTCAACAGAACCGTCAGGTCAGCAGTAGCATCTGTTAATACATCAGGTGTGTATCCAAGTTTAATATTTCTTGCTTTGACAGCAGCAACATCAATATGATCATAACCCACACTCATGGTAGCAATCACCTTTAATTGAGGACCTTAGGAACGTGTCAACATATATCTTTTTGAATGACATTTACCTGCTACATCCAATAACTCATTATCAATCTTTTCAGTCAATAAACAGAACAACGCGTCAACACCTATTGAAGTTGTTTATTTATGCAAATTCACTTTTATACTTGCCCTGGACTTTTTCAAGCAGGACATCTCTTGGAATAGTAATATCCTGTTCCCACTGAATAAGCTCAAAGTCTTGCTTTAATAACCGAGCCTGTGTCTGAGGAGGCAGTATTCTAGTAACAAGTACTTTCATATTTAAAAAGAGAAAAAAAAAAAAAAAAAAGAGAGAGAGAGAGGAAAGTGTGTGTGTTCACACGTACAAAATACGTGACTTTTAACATTTCTATTTTCTGTTTATTAGAAATCTAAATTAAGATTGGTCTGCTTTAGACTTTTGGTCCGTTTCATAGGCAGGGTGTGGTTGTTGTGGTTGTGGCGGTTGCTGTTGTGCTGGTGCTTGAGGTTGAGCTTGTGGCGGTTGCTGTTGTTGTTGTTGCTGTTGTTGTTGTTGTTGAGCAAATTGGAATTGCATTTGATATTGTTGGACTTGTTCAGTTGTGAATTGCTATTTGATATGTAAATATAGGATATACTGAATAATGTATTACCTGAGGCAAAGAAGAATAATAAGATCCAGGATCAATTTGAGCAGATGCATATTGTGGCTGGTAGTAAGCAGCGGCAGCGGCAGCAGCAGCAGCGTTATTGTTAGCAGTATAAGCAGATTGATCATAAACAGCAGTACTTGATTTAGCGGCTTCTTCTCTTGGTACAATATCAATCAAAAAATCACACATGTCTGTTTTACTTATTGCGGTAGCAATGTCTGAACGTTGTAAAGTTCGACGTTTGTTTTCCTCGGCATGAACCCTAACATTGAATAAGAAAAAAAAATTTTTTTTTTAGCTTATCTATTTTACCATGCTCTCTTAGTTAACTCGGTAATAAATATTTCACATCCTTTAGCAAATAAGATTGGAGCCTTTCATAAGCCAATGATATTAAGAAGCAATGCAAAAAATAAAAATAAATAAAAATTAATTCATGCTCTTTCTTTCCTCTTTGTTTTCTCTTTTTTGTTTCTTTCTTTACCTCTGCACTAATCATCTACATCATTTTTAAACGATTATTTCGCGCACACAGGAGATTTTTTTAATAACTTACCTTTACGTCTTGGTCAGTCTTCATGACTTTTTTAATACGCGCCAAAGGAAGAGGGTGATTCTTGAAGTCCGAGTCAAACTTATCAGCATTATGCATTTCTTCTAACCAGAATTTGCCCAAATCAAACACGGGTTGACCACCGGGAGCAGTGGTTGTACTGAGCTGTTGATATGCCCCAGCGTGCTGTTGTTGCTGCTGGTGAGGTTGAACAGCATGGTGTGTATCTTCGTGAGGTTGTTGACTTGCCATAGCTATTAAAAAAGGGTTTTTTTATATCGTAATTGAGCAAAAGGAAAAAAAACAAAAGGAAAAAAAAGTATTTTAAACCAATGATAAACGCGATTCGCCGTTCCATCAGGCTGTGACTGTTAAATAGACGTCACAATCATCATGAGTGGAGTTGAGAAAGACAGAGGAACCTGCATGATAGACTATGCTCAAGAGATTCTTTGTCTCAAGTAGTCGATAGAACCTTGAGGCTTGAGATTCATTGTGTCTAAAGACCGAGAGATTCTTTTCTGTATCGCTCAATTTATTTATATTAGGCTAAAGACTTGCCAGCCTTACTCTTGAGAGAAGACTTCCTGATATACAATGCCGATACATAGCTTTGCTGCATATGCCAATGTTTTTGGAGGTCTTGATTTATCCATGTGCAAGAGAGCAAAACTCTCAGAGATATTTAGATAGTATGATTTAATGACATGCAGAAAGGCTGAGTCATAGCTACAAGCACTGCTTGTTTTTGCTTTTCTTGCATTCCACACAATGACATAAGGTGCATAAGTCGAATACTTGATCTTTCGCTACTTATGCATATGTTGGCCAAAACAGCCTCCTCCTCTTTAGCAAAAATATACATGCATATGTCCTTTGGAATAAGAGCTTCAAGCCGGGTACTCATTTAGGCTGATAGATCATCTTTTTCGTATTGTAAGAGGGGTCCAGTACCCTTTTAAGGGAAAAGGTTTAGCTCAGACAGCATATAAACAAAACTCAAAATATGAATACAACGCTTTCTTCCCTTTTCCCCTTATTTCTATCTACTTCAAAGCTGTTTTCATATGTCCTTGATATCAACATAAACCAAGTGAAATCAATGCTACATAGATTTCAAACATAAAACAAAGCAGCAATATATGAAATAAAACAACAAATAATATGCATGACAAGAAAAAAGCCTATTTTCGTGTAACTTATGCAAATGATGTAAAAATTAGTCTCTCTGTTATCTCTTTCTTTCCTTTTTTCTTCTATATGTCATGGTAATAATATGATCAGTTATTATTTGTCTTTGCTCCTTGCTTATCTTATTGGAGGCATGACTTTGATTCCACTTGTATTGTGCGTTTTGTATTTCAGTACACAGAAAAAACACGTTGAAAGAACAGTCGATGTCTTGGAAAACCAAAAGGACGAGTTCTATAAAGTGGGCTGGCTTCAAGTGGATCATATCCATACACTAGGTAAAGCCACGTCCATTGGGACTATTGTGAAGTCTTATCTTTCTAGCAAACATCCTACACCTCCTTACTTTGCTGTACTCAAGTTCAACACATTATATTTGTACGATTCAGAACTTCAGTTAGACTGTAAAGGCATTATTCATGTCAATAACCACACGGTACACATATACCCCTATGGACTCAAGGACCACGAACTCTTCTCTAAATCAAGTCGCATCTTACTCAAAAAGAAGAAACGGTTGTTCTTGGAAGATACCCAACAACAAAAAGAATATTATCTTAACTGCAGTCGAAGTGTGGATAAAGAAGATTGGTATTTTGCCCTGTTAAAAGCCAATAAACCCTCTTTACAAGCAACAGAACCGAAAGATGCGACTGTGTTTGATCAAGATGCCATGAATCATTTGATATCTACCATTCATAGCAACCCAAGTCAGTTTGAAATGCAATGGTTTAATGCACTTTTGGGTCGTATCTTTCTAGGCATTTACAAGACAGAACGTACTAAATCATTCTTTTACAACAAAATTTTGTCTAAAATTGAAAAACTCAATGCACGCCGACCACCCTTTTTAGAGGAGATTTCGTTGCGTTCAGTGGATGGGGGCCATGGTCCTCCTCAGATCACCCAACCTCGATTTATTCATCTAAGTCCTCAAGGCGAATATACAGGCGACGTTCAATTATCATATGACGGTCATTTTCGTGTGGAACTCGAGACTGTCTTAACATGGAAATACTCTGACAGATTGCCCCCGATCCGTATTGATCTCGTACTGGCCATCACCCTCAAATCCATTGAAGGCAAACTGATGATCAAAATCAAAGAACCACCTACCAACCGTGCCTGGCTAGGGTTCTATCGCAAACCCAAGATGGAATGGATCGTGGAACCTGTGGTTTGGGAAAAACGTATTGGATTCTCTGTTGTCAGTAAAGCTATTCAGACCAAGATAGAGGAGATCTTGGCAGAAACACTTGTGTTACCCAACATGGATGATATGGTCTTTTTCCAGACAGATGGCGTGGGTGGTATTTTTGAACATCCTACTGTCACAAAAGAAACGCCGCCAGATACGTCTTATCCATCCCTTTTGGAACTTTATTCGTCTCCTTCAGAACTCGTTGTGACAGCAGATCATTTTAGTACCAGTGCGTCTTCTGTTGTTACACCGCCTCCTTCTGTCAAGAAACGATGGTTCAGACGAAACTCAGTGTATCAAGAGGAAGTAGACATCTCTTCTGATTCAGACACACCTTCACAAAAGACACTGAAATCCGTCATGCTTCAGAATGATTCACAGGCTAATGAAAAAAAAAACAAGCGCAAGACATCCTCCAGTCATAGCATTCGACATCAATTTCTCACAACCCATGTGGATCATTCCGTCCACTCTATAGATACGCCTCAACAAAAAGAAAACGAATCCGCTGCTGTACGTTCGCTTTTGTTAAGTAAACAAATGTTAGAACAAACACGGGCTCGGTCTAAATCCCTTCCGAGCACAGGTATTTCTCAAATCAATGTTGTCAATGAAAAAGAAGAAGAGAATGATTTGGGCAAAAGATAAACCTTTTTTTTTTTATGTTTGTACCGTGGCTGTGGGATAAGCGCTTTCAACAGAAACGTCAACGACATGCGTGGGAGGAATGAATCCAGACTTGTGTTTTGCTTGAACTAATTCTGTTGCCACTTGAATAAAATCGTCTACAGCTTTTTCTGTGATTTGATAATGCAAAACAAGGCGTGTTGTTGTGCTGGGGTTGCTAAAGATCTTGATGTTTTTCAGCTTGAGTGCTTCTGCAAAATCAGCTATTGTGAGACCTGTACGAGACGTGTCAATAAAGATCATGTTGGTCTCTACAGGTAATAGGATTTGAACACCAAGGGATTGGAGGCTTGTTCCGAGTTTTCGGGCCAAGGCGTGTGTTTCTGGCATGGTGGGAACGACGGTATTAATACAGTGGCGAGCTGCAGTAGCTAACATGCCTGCTTGTCTATAGATGCCAACATGAGTTTCTAAAAAAAACGAAATAAATATACTTGCCTCCATCCTGCACCCATCATTTTACGAATGTGACGAGCACGAGTAATGAGTTCTTTTGTACCAGTCAAGATAGAACCAATAGGTGCACCAGCACCCTTGGATAAGCAGATGGAGATAGTATCAAAGTATTTTCCGTATTCAATTAAAGGAGTTTTAGTTTCTTGAGAAGCATTCCAGAGACGAGCACCATCCATATGCATAAAAACATTATTTGCGCGGGCAACATCATGAATTTTACGGATTTCTTCAATTGGCATGATGGTACCACTTAATGTGTTTTCCAAAGAGATCACTATCATTATCCTTTAGAAAACATGTATGAGATTGCATCTTCGTTTTACCTTTGGTAGGTGCACCGCAGAGATAATCCTTGTTGATACGGCTTTCAACTTCCTGAGCCGTCATATAAGTTCCTCTAGCAACAACAGGGACTACATTGGCTTGAGAATGGTATGAAATACCACCGCATTCATAATTAAATACATGAGAACGAGAATCACAGAGGACAGAATGAGGAGGTTGGAACAAGAGACAACGAAGACCGAGTTGATTTGAGAGTGTACCACTGACACAGAACAAGGCTGCTTCATGTCCCATTAATTCAGCTACATAGTCCTCTAATGCTTTACAATCTTCGTCTGTCTAATCATGATGAATGAATTGATAGATCCTTTTCAGACTTACTTGATACACATCATCACCGCGGGAAGCAGCCTTCATGATATCAAACATCTCATCTGTTGGAATGGTGGCTGTATCGCTTGTAAAGTCATAAACAAATGGCTTTTCGGTATTTAAGCAAGTACTCAATGGTGACATTTTAATTGAAGAGTAGAGAAAGAGATGGAGATGAATTGAAAGCGGGATTTAATCTGTTTAGTGCTTTAAAAAAAATTTTTTTTCTGCTTTTTATATATCGTCTTGATTTAAAGAAACAAACTTTACGGTTTTTCTCACGGTGAACATAGCACAAAAGTTAACATAAAAATAAACCTCGGAATCAGTACTTTTTTGTACAAAAAAATTAAAATGTCAAAAAGAAAAGATATACGCCGCTTTGTCTGTTGCTTTCTCTCTTTATCGATTATTGAATGACTCATTGTTGAGATTAGAATAACATGTCTAAAACGAGAAAAAAAAGCCATGTAGAATTTTTTTTGTTGTCTAGATCCTTTTTTTTTTTTTTTTTTTACAAAACACTTCCAATAATGAAATGAATTGTCTTTTATGAATTTTTTTTTCTTTCTTGACGGAGAGAGATAAATGGGTTGCATGTATTACAACCAAACCCATATTTTATTTAACACTTTTGTCTAGTTCAAAAAAGGAAATCATTTAATAGGTTCAGGCACAATTTTACCTTCTTTGTCATGAAACAATCAATCACAGCATGCACCTCTTTTTTATGAAAAGTACAAATAAAAAAGATTTCCCTTTACCGGGAATCAATATATCCTGCCAATAAGTTAAAGTAACACTAAGCTAACTTGCATTTAAATAACAACTTTTTTTTCTTCCACTTCTTTTTTTTTTTACTCCCTTTTTTCAATATGTTATTCCCATCCTTTTATACACTCTTTATCTTATTTATTGCAGTATCAACAGCCATTCCTGTTCAACATCATTTTCATATCAATGAAGAATTAACTTCTCATTATACTGCTATTGTAGACAGAATCACTGAATCTACTATTCATGAAATTATTGAAACTGCACCAGAGACATTCCTTACTATTCATCAACTTCAATTTACAGGGAAAGGTAAGCCTACGGAATAAAGAAGAGAGGGCAACACTGACTTTATCTTTGGAGATTACTGCAGAACATCCCTTATTTTATTTATCGATACACTTGAACAACGACTAAACCAAATTAAGACTGAATTAATATTTGCTGTTCAGCCTTCTCTTCAAGCAATAAATGAACCTAAACACAGTCTTGAACTCAACAGTCGTCTCAGCCATCAATTAGGCCTTGTTCTGAACCCTATCGAGACAGCCCATCAAATTATCAATCAAGTCTATGCTCAACACAATCCACCTATGAATATTGTTTGGAAAATCATACGTTTATTTATCGATCAACACTGGGCTCAAACACTCCAACATGAAGCCAATGAGTCTTTGGCTTTACAAGCCTGGTTATGTTCCTGGTTAAGTGATATTGAGTTTAGTTTAAAAGATGAATTTGATACCAATTTGTACATTTCACAATAAATGGCTTATTTAGCAACAAGAACTGAATTTGACCAATGCCTGTTGGTATTTTATGAACAAACCAATGCTTGCGAGTCTGAATATGTCAAATGGACATTGGAAACATCGCACGATATTGTGAGTATATAGATAATGAGTTCAACGTATTGATCTTGTTAGATGAAACAGAGATTCCTTAAAAGAATCAGTTTGGTATGGATGGACCTGCCATCAGATGCTCTTGATGCAGATACATCTGTAACCGAAGTTGATGATCCCACTGTTGTAGTAGATACGCACACAAAACAAGCGATTCAGTTTGAACACCATATTGTCTATTCGACTTCATATCAAGTACCTGTTCTTTATTTCAAAGCAACTCATTTAGATGGTACACCCTTATCACCACAGCACATAGATAGACTAAGCCAAGCCAGGTTGTCTCAGTTAGACCACCCTGTCCTCGGTACTCCCTTTTGGTATATTCACCCTTGCGATACACGCATTGCCATGAGCACATTCAAATTCAAACGAGAAGATTATATCAAGACATGGCTATCTCTCTTTGGTCCTCTTGTTCAATGTCCATTATCATTGGCTTTATTCGCATAAAAAATACATACGTGTGTGAAAATAGTATCACCTCTTTTTTTTTTTGTCTCTTTCTTTCTTCTTTTTCAAAATGAATAACAATACAATCAAGTGGTGGTGGAAAAAGGCCCCTCCTTCAGACCCAGTTATACCTTCTGTTGCTTGTTCTTTAAAGGGTACTGATGAAGACAGTTCACTTTATTCTTTACCTGCCTCTACCCGAGCTCAACATACAAAGTCAGAATACTCTGGTCAGTTTAGTTCTGATGTAGAATCAACAGCGTCTATTATAAGTAAACCATGGATATCCAAAAACATCATTTCACCCGACCAAGAACAAAAGGAAGAATACACTCTACCTGAAAAAAAGTCCAATTTAGCAGACAAGCTAAAAGTAATGAAATAATGATATTTACACAAAACACTCATCTTTATATATATAATAGGGTTTAGGTCGATTTGTAGGCAATAAACCATCTGATAAACGAAGAAAAAGTGTAGGATGAAATAAACTGTATTTACATATGAATCCAATCAGGTAGTTTGGGTAAAGTAGTAAGCATGACTGTTAAGAGAGTGACCCATTTATTGAGTTCATCCACAGATTCACAACTGAACTGGATCTGCTGTTCACCAAACAACAGCTGAAATCGATTTGTGAGACTGATTGGCCTGCCATTGTCTTGTTGAATGGATTCGAGCTCATGTATCAGTGTATCTGGCTTTAAGAGTGGGTATTGATAAGCAGGTCTTTCAGACATAATTCGGTTTTCACATATCAGTCGTGTCGCTCTTGACAGTGGTATTTTGTACAAGGGCTCATCTTGATCATAAGCAATCAAATCAGCTCCTTTTAAGACAAAATAGCAGTATTTGGGTGTCTAAATGATATGAGAAAAGATAGACTTTGAAAGAACTTACCTCTGTATTGCCTCCAAGTTGTGTTAAATAGCCTGATTGCCATTCAGTCTGATAAAAGCGTTTTGCAAGTGTAGCTTCTATGGCTTCTTGCATATCGTGTGGCACATAATTCATTTCTTCTTTCATTTTCACACCAAGACATTGAATCACAATCTTGCCTACTGCCTTTTCTTTTGCTATTGACTGCGGTCTTTTTTTAATGATAGACGATGTTCTTTTGAGTAATGAACTGGGTTCTGTTGAATACCAATTGTTGACTAACATTAATGCTGCTATGTTGGATGAGTCTATAAACTGGTCTGCTTGAAACACTGTTTGACAGACAGACCCGTCTTTTTCATGTACATAACGATAAAGATCTAAAGTAGGCTTTATCTTGTGATACCATGTTGTGTTCTTTCGAGTGATATGGAGTGTAATGGCTACTTGTTCATTAGGATCAACATCATCACTATAAAAGATATATATATATATATATATGCGTTTAGTTCTCTACTGTCTCTGTTCGTATCTTAACTTGCATTCTCATTTCATGCTGAAAATGAAGGTTATGCCTTAATGATTGATGAGGGGATTTGGTTTCTTTGTCTTTATATCTTATTGTGCAATAAATATCGATGTTATCTGTAGAGCCATGATGGGATGAATGACATGTTGTATGTATATATATATATATTTTTTACCATTCTCTATAGGAAGATCAAGGTTATCTACTTGAATTACTTTAACAAAAAGAGAATGTCTTGTTTGTTTTTCTATCGGTTTATCATATGGAATACATATTGGATCATCATCTGATAATGTTGTTTCAAGGGAAAGAGTGTCTTGTTGGCCAGCAACTTCCTCTTCCTCTTCCTCTTCCTCTTCTTCTTCTTCTTCTTCTTCTTCTTCTTCTTCTTCTTCTTCATCTGTATCTATGATTAATAAACTTTTATTTGTTGAAGATGAAGAAGGTGTATCTCTTCCAGGTATATGCTGTAGTAAGTGAGGATAGAGGGCCATTTCTCGTTGAATGGATTCTGCAATCAATTGTTCTGTCATTTCCAGGGACCTGAGGGTAGGCAATGATGGCTGCCTTGTCAAGCTATGTTTAGCAAATGGATACCAATATTCTGGTTTTATGGCTGGTTGTTTATGTCGTCTAGACTGCTTTCGTTGTTGCAGAGCATCATAACTTTCCTTTTTTGAGATACGTTCAACTTGAAATGATATATCTGATGAAGAAGATGAAGAAGAAGAATAAGCAGGAATAGTTTGGATCTGAATATCATCTAGATTGAAAGTGACACGTCGTTTTGATTTTCTTTCTTGTGTTGAGGGTTGAGAAGTAGGAATAAATGTGCTGGATCGAATAGCCAAGTCTGCAACAACAATGCTCGCAGCAAAATCTTGTCCAATCATTGATTCATTACTACTGCTTGTGTCAAGGGTTGACATACTACAAACAAAAGAAAGGAAAAGAAAAAAAAAAATGAAAGAAAAATATTCATCAATATAAAAATAAAAAGGCGCTTCGTGTAACTCTTTTAAATGCACTCAGTTGATCTTGAAGAGTAAATACATTGCTAAATACAGCATTTCCAGAAATAGATTGCACACTGAATGAAGAAGACGTGTAGATATAGTTGTTAGAGTATTTTTACAGTGTTCTTTTAATGAATCACTGGTTTCATTTGTATTGTTATAAAGCGGTCAATTAGAATTATCCTCTTATTATACAATGCTTTTTTCTTTCTCAAGAAATGCACATTTACGCAAAAGTGATCCCTTTTTGGAGTGAAAGAAGTCTTTCATCAAAGGTCAAAAAATACATTTAATAAGAAAAATCTTCTACAGACGGAAGAAAAGTACTACAGTGTGAATCTGTTTTCACGACGATTTTCGTTGTCTCCTACTTCAATGCACAAGAACCCTCAATTCACATTCATTTGAAATGCATATCTACAAAATAGCAAAAGAATTGGAAGGAAGAAGAACAAAAGCTGGATGTTGCTAAAAAAAGTCTAGTATGTACATATCAAACAATTCATGGACTCAGCATTCTTGACCGAAAACAATGTGTCAGAGGCAGTTAATTTAATCAAAAGACTTATTGTCTAAAGTGTGCAAGTACACTGTGCTCTTTGATTATTTTAGTCCTGCTGATTTCAACAAGTGATGTACTGACAAGAAACTTGGCTTTTTAGAAGCACAAATTAAACGAAGAAAAAGAAAGAGTCCCTCTTCATTGTTTGTCTATATTTCTGATGCTTTCTTAACTGAAGGTGTTCTTTAACATACACCAGACTAATTCTAGAAATGGTGTACAAAGAGATCCCCTTTGCGTTTCAGGCCTATTAAAAGACAATCATAGGCCTAATTTTATTGGACGTGTTTTGAATTAATATAAACATTCTGCGTCATTCATGGGCACGTGGTTTGTATTGTTTGTCCGAATAGAAACCAAGTGTGTTGATCAATGTAGGCTTAAGCTATAAACACTATTTTTCTTTGACACTTTTGGCTTCTGTTCACTTGAAACCCGTAAAGAGAAAGAGTCTACTGTGTAAAAAAGTAAAGTTGTTAAAATATTATTTGAAAATAAGCGCATTTCATAGTATTCAATGAGTTTACCTGGATTTGTTGTTGAATTGCCATCGAGACAAAAATGAGTAGAGAAAATTTTCATGTCGCGAGCATTCGAAATGAGCAATGCTAAGAGGAATGACAAAAAGGCTCTTTGCAAGTACAATGTGACGCATGTTTTGTCTTATATGTTGGTTTTCATTTGAGTTGATATAGCAAATGTCTTTCAAGCATTTGGAATGTCTATCTTCTCTTACCTGACCATTCATGCATTTGCTACTCTTTCTTGCATTTCACTAAAAGAAACAGTCATAATCTCTCTCAAAGCAATCAATAATATACTCACACACAAGAGAAAAAAATAATATGTTTGTTACACTACTTTAAAGTTATTTCCTCAATAACAAAAAAAAACCAATCAAATTCATAGATCGACACAATCACAAATAATAGACTCTATATTTTAAAATATCGTGTATTTTCTTTGTACAATACCCTGTAACACTTTTTTTTTTATTCTTCTGCACATCCAGGCATGGTTTTTTCAACTGTAAATGTATGAATTAACATTTGTCTTTCTTTAGAGGGCACAAGCGAACCATTGGCATAAAACCAAAAAGATGTTGCAAACTTCTGTTTAAATTCATTCACAAGTTCTGGTCTTAGACCCTGCATAAATTCATCCCACTCGCTATTGGTAAACGTCAAATGAAGTTTAGACCCACTCAGTTCTTTAGTCATTAACAAGACGCCTTGTCCAACCGATTGAGTGAGTTGCATCATGCGTTCACCCACTACAATATTTCTTCGGAATGCAGCCCAGTTGGTCTCTGCCAAGAGTGGCTCAATCCATGGACGATAGGCTTTCATATTAGCATTCCTTTCTCGGTCTTTATCCTTATCTTGAGTAACTTGTTCAGGAAATAAGATTGAAAACGCTTTTTGGAATTGTTCGAAAGCAAGATACAGTCGAAAATAATCTGAATTGTAATAAATGCCATTTTGGTTCATTCCGTTGTCTAAATGAGGTTTCATGTTTGAATGGCTGGTGAGAATAAGAAGTGAAGGTTCTAATAATTTAGCCAGTTGATCGTGCGAAACTGAATCGGGCTGTTTGCCCAGTGAAATTGAAGTATCAATAGCCAATGTGAATTGGAGTGGTAACCTTTGTGCTTTTTGCTCTAGATCTGCCATCGTAATAATTCGCATACGATGAATAATATCGTCTCCTGTGGTAATAGGTTAGTCGCCTGGAGTTCTCTCTCTCTTACACACTTACGTCTTGATTCAAATTCACCGTGTCGGTGTGGTATTTTGGGTTTTTTGTTGGGTATTGATAAAGAATGGACTTCGACTGACGTATCTACCGGTTGTCGTTTTCTTTTTTTCATTGTGAGGGATGCTTGTGTTAAGATGCCTTGTTCAGCATAGCGTTGAAGTAAGATAGGTTCTCGACTAATGCGTCCATCTTGGTAATAAAAGCCTCTTTCTTGAGGCTCCATGACCGTGCCAGACGTAGGTGTATAACGGACCTCGGATACATCAACGATGGGTTGCGGTAAAAGAGGAGAGTATAAAGGACTTGTATGGAAAGGTGTATAAGGGCGCACAGAAAAGGGATCAGCCGACTCCTTGGTTAAGAGAGCAACTGAAGGTAATTGGCCTAATGAAGAAGAAGTGGTGGAAACGGAAGAAGAATCAATCCATTTCTTTAAAGCAGGTTTGTCATAGCAACAAGTACTTGGTAACCGAACTGAATGTACATTGGATTGGTGGTCTTGAAAAACAATCATGTCTTCATGACAAGATTTACTAAATTTAACATGATCGCCAAGGGCATAAGACATACAGAACAAGAGTTTGGCTAGTTTTTCAGCATCTGGATTTTTACGCAAGACTTGTTTGACAATACGAAACAAATCAAGTAAATCTTCATCTGTTAAAATATCTTCTGCCTGGGGCTCAAAGGGCTGTGTTTCGTTTCTCATTAACGATGTTATGTGTGGTTGCTCTTGTAACATGTATAGAATTGGTTCATAAAAAAGAAAGAAAAAGAAAGGAAAGTCTATTGAACCCGAATTCTCATCAAAAGATGCTCTGAGACTTAAAAAGTGTGTAACTAGACCCTCAGATTACTAGCAGAATTTCCTTTTTTGAGTCAACTTTAGACTTCTGTTTTGTGACTCAAACAATGAATCCTAGATCAGTTTGGTGAGAATAAGAGATGTTAATATGAAACTAACAAAAGGTAGTAAGGATCTTAATTAAACAATACTCTTTTAGCAAAAAAAAAAATGCATGTTTGAGCTAAAGTAACACTTGAGAACACAAACAAAAAGATATCTATTTTATCAGATATCAAGAAGAATATTTAAGCGCCACTTGATGTATTCAGGAACCAACCATTTTATTTGTGATGAATCTCGATTGTCCAGACAACAGGAGCATCTGTTATAACTTCAATAAGTTTATCTTCTATCTGATTTGATGTACTAAACATGCCGCCCATTTGACATTTTGTGTCAGCTATTTTTAAAAGAAAAATAAGCATTTTGTTGCCTTACACCATACTTACTTAGGTTCCATCTTAGCCCTTTGGTAGTCAGTGTCGCGGGATAACCGATAGGCATAATACCACATATCGGACCTATTTTTTTTCTTTGTAAAAATAATCTATGTACATAACTTTACCTTCTAATGTTGGTTGACAATGTATATGATGTGTTCCCTTTTTTAAGAATAGTTAACGATCTTATACATACTTTGATTCACTTACTTTATCCAGTAGCATGGTCAAGTTTTCATCGCTGACTAAAATTGTACGTCGTTCACTTTGATCATTTAATGTGTAGAGTAAATTGACATTGTGCATGGTTTGATCGAATCTTCCACCAAAAGCAGGTGTTGCCACAATATCATACTAAGATATTATCAACATGCTATACTCTCTTGTTACTTACAATTTGACCTTGCGTCTTTTCTTTTTCATGTAATAAAGCAACACATTTCATAAAGTCTGTTGAGTCTTGATCAGATACTCTGGTGATTTTGACTTGCTTGGATTCATAATAGGCATGAACATCAGGTCTTATTGAATCAAGGTCGCCTCGTATTTCATCAGGAAGATGCCTATCCAAAACAATGGATGTTATGCCTTTTATATATGTAAATTGCTTACTGTTCCAAAATTTGCGGGTCATGTTTAAATGCGTCGTAAAGACGGTTCGACCCGCCGTCTGCCACGAATCGAAAAGAAGCTATAAAGTCCTGATAAGCATACGAGACACGCGTTTATAGTTGTACCATTCTTCCACAAGTGGCTAAACGTATTGATATGATGGATAGGTTGGTTGAGCACAATCAAACAGAATTTATTTGCGTTTCCTTCCTTAGATAGAATATTGGAAGGAGTCCAGTGTGTAATGAGATGAGCGAGGTTTTTATTCATATGATGAAAAAAAGAAAAAGAATGAAAAATGCGGGACTTCAACATAGGCCAGTCTTTTTTTTTTTTTTTGTAAGTCATGCTTGAACTATGTTTAATTTTGGGTGTGCATGCATGAAATATTTGGAAGTGTGTTTACATAAAGCATGAAATTTTATCCTGGTAATCTGTTGCCATGGTGAACTTTATGTCGAGTACCATGGAGCGGAACGAGTGTTTGTTGAGCCGCACAAATTCGATTGGCTAAGCGTGGGAACAAATGTTTATTTTAAAGAGGTGTTTGTCTTTTTTTTTTTTCTTTTTCTTTCTTTTCATTTCCTCACACTCAAAAAACAAGAAAAAAAATGGTAAGCAAAACAGTTTAGCAAGTACGTAGGGTGTTGACATATATCGTAGTCCACTGCTACTAAACTCAAGAACTTTGTTCCTCTCCTTGACCGTGTCTTGGTTCAACGTGTCAAAGCTCAAGAAGTAAGTAAAACCATTATGTGTTTTTCATGTATTCACATATGGTATTAGAAAACTGCTTCTGGTATCTTTATTCCTGAGAAGGCTCAAGAAGCCTTGAATGAAGGTTATATTGTTGCAGTGGGTAAAGGTGCTCTTGACAAAGAAGGTAAACATATTCCTCTTCAAGTCAACACAGGTGATAAGGTCATCCTTCCTCCTTTCGGTGGTAACCCTGTTAAAGTAGAAGGACAAGTAAGTTTAAATAAGATTAAAAAAAGACAAGGAAACTCATGGCATGATAGGAATATTTGTTGTTCCGTGATTCTGAAATCCTTGCCAAAGTGACTGAATAAAAGACCTGAAAGAATGACATGATTTAGATAGTTTGTATTTTTAAAAAAAAAGCGATAATAAAAAAGAATAAATCTGCACTATAAACAGTGTCTAATGATAATTCATAATGTACCAAAGAAGTGTTCTATGGATAAAATATGTAAGTAGCCTTTGATTATTTAGAATTTGTTTTTATGCGATGAACTTTTTAACAAGGGCTCCTTAAAACATTAAGCTTTATCAAGTGTTATATGGGGGTCTCTTCAACCGAACTTCACTTTGATTTCATGGAGCAATTATTACAGGGAATATGATGGATGTACCTTCCAGAAATTTCTAAAAATTCATCTATCAAATCACTTGCGGGGTATATAAGCTTACATAAGCAAGCGGTTTAGTGATAGTGTGAGCCTTCTTGTGCTTTAAGAATGGCTGAGCTGTCATGATGCATGCATGCATGGATTACAAGCCCTCCGTACATTTTGTATAACTCTAATTTATATTGTCAAACAAGCAGATGAATAGAAGCTGAAGGCTTTACATTTAAGAAATATGTTTATTTTCTACAAACAAAATGCCTTTTCTTTTTGAAAAACGAATCTACGTAGAGTAATCGAGTAAGTTATTACATTATACAGACATAGCTTATATTGGATGGCTCTACCTAAAGGCCGATACTGCTTCTGAAAGAATCATTTTCCTCATCACTATCGTTCACTAATACCTCATACTTCTTCTCATCCACTATATCCTCTTCCTCCCTGTCTGCGTAATCATCCACTTCTTTGTCTGTATCCATTTCAGCAAACAATATTGGTAATACATTAATTTTTAAGAGTACTGTGGCAAATCAAATTCAAGAATACATACCCTTCTTTTGTTTCGTTCTTCATTCTGAAATCCTATGGCCTCATTTTGCGACACTAATAAAGCATTTATTCTACCTTGGTACTGTAATTTAATTCTTTTGTTTATCTCATTTCGTAATTTGAGTTTTTTGGCAAATGTTGTTTTAAATGCTGCACGTATTTTAATATGGCTGCAGTTATATAAAATCTAGATATGAAGCTAGTAAAGAATCGCCAAAAGCACTAACATTATTTTTGTCAGGTTCTCAAGTTTGGTGTTTTGACGTTTTGTCATACATAGAACCTTGTAATGTTTTTCTTCAATCACATTATTATCTCTCAATAGATGATCAAAGCAATTGAGCTGTTACTTTTTTCATTAATCAGCCTATCGAGTATTTGCAGAGCTTCATTCAGTATTCTATCAACTGCTTTCCTAAATGCTTAAACAAATAACCTTTATTGCTGATTTGATTAATTTATGTCTAAAAACCTGGTCAAACATCTAAGTAGTTTAACCTCACACAAGCAAGCAAGTAAGCAATCTTTTTTCAAAAAAAAAAAAGAAGAAAGAAAGAAAGTTAAATTGAGAGTGCAAGCACTGTATTGATATGTTACATAACCATAAGGGTTTATAAATAAATAAAGATAAATTAAAGTACTCTAAGAAAAAAGAAGAGAATTAAATTTGAGCGATTTGGACTTGAGGAACTTGTTGGTTAAAGACAACATAGTTGTTCTTCAAGAAGGTGTCACCCAAAATAGCAAAGCTGAGACCACCCTTGGCAAAGGAGGCGAAACAGTAGCTACCATCATCTTCAAAGACCAAGTCAGAAGCAGGGATCTTGAAAGTGGCACCGTTAATAGTGAAGACAAGAGGAGAGAAGCTAGAGGTGTCACAGTCAATGAGGTAGGTACCATCGCTGTTTTCAGTAGCACCATAGGCAGCAGCAACCTTGTCAGCAATAGCGTCAGTCAAGAGCAAGAGAGTGGTACCGGTATCAAGGATACCAGAGAAGGAGCTGGCGACAGTTTTACCACCAGCAGAGAGACCACCAATAGTAATGCCCCAGTAACCTTGAGACTTGCTGACAGGGACAGTCTTCAAAGCACCGCTGAATTTAGAGGAATCGTAGCCACCAAAGACATACTCACCACCGCCACCATTGGAGGCCTTACCGAGGTAGACACCAAAGACAGGAGAAGAGATCAAACCTTGGCTGATCAAGTTGTCAACAGGAGTCTTGATACCGCTGACAGTAGTGATAGAATCGAAACCGAGACCCAAGAGACCATCGTTGGGACCGCTAGAGAAAGAGCTGGATTCCTTCTTGGCCAATTCGATTGTTTGACCAGCGATCTTGAGACCACCCAAGTTGACAGTGTCTGTTGCGAGAACACCACCAGCAGTAGAGCCATCGCCGTAAGAGATAGACCAAGCACGACCATCAGCCTTGTAGGTGCTAGATTTGGAGGAATCGTAACGGTTTTGACCAGTGCAAGAAGAACACAAGGTAGAAGCTATAAACAAACAAACAAACAAAAAAAAGACCGTTAAGCTTAGTTGATAAAAACAATGCCCACTTACCAACCCAAAGATCACTGGAACCAGTATCGAAATCCAACTTGAACTTCTGTTCAGGAGTACCAATACCAACAACACCATAGTATTCAACATCATTTCCGTAGTCAGTGACAGGAACAGTACCAGTACCATCTGTAGTGACATTGGAAGGAACACCGTGAAGAGGGTTAATAACATGCTTGAGGTACTTGGCCTTTGCTTTGGCGAGAGCAGCCTTAGCATTGGGCTTGTAGTTTTCGTTCTTGCTCAAAGGAATGGTAAGCTTCTTGCCAGAAGGAGCTGCTTCGGCTGCCATGGCCATCACAACGAGTGCGACACAAGAGGAGACAAGAGAAAACTTCATTTTTTGAGAAAAGGAAAGAACTATTGTTTGAATGAAGTAACAAATCCTTTGAGACGCTGTCTCTTTTTATATAAAAGTGTCAAACGAATCGATTTCTTTTTTCATCCAATACTTCTTTTTTTGGTAGATTTGACACAACAGTGTGTTGAGTGAAAGGAGTACCAAATAAAGTTGAATGATGGTAAATTAGCTGAAAATGAAAAGAGAATTTGATCTACAGTGCTACAAATGACTTGTCTTGAACCTTGATATGTATCTGTACGGTAATGTAACATACATAGGAAGATTTGGTCACTTATTGCTTGATTATGATTACTATTGAATAAAAAAAAAAGATTTAATTTCTACTTTAAAAATAACGCTTTGCCTTTAATGTTTTTTTTCGTGAACTATAGCTATTGACGTTGAAAGCATGTTTGTGTACAAGTACATATCAACTATGAGACCTGCAGATAAGCTAGTACTTGATTTTATTAACATGCGAAGGATAAGCCAATCAGTTTACCAAGAAAGCTGATGTTGTTTCTTCTTTTCTTTTTTGCTAGTTTCCATATGTGTATATATGCCTATACTTTCCAACAAACAATACTGCATTACATATATACTATGCTTTACGCATACACTTAGCATTTTCAAGGCAACACAAACTCATCAAACACTCTGTATTGAAGTATTAAGCAGGCTATTCCAAATATGTTTCTTTTGACTAAAAACGGATCAAGACGTTATGCATAAATGGTTACTCAATTATCATAAAGCGATCTGTGTCACTGACTAAAGTACGTGTTCCCAATTACAATAACACAAGAGCTTCCCTGTACAAATAAGCAACTTGTGCAATACAATGAGAGGTGATGAAAACGAAGGCCATTACATTTATTACCTTGGTGCAGACATAGACGCACACTTCGTGATTACTAGGCTATGTTGCTTACCGTGAAATTGTATCACAAAATGCAATGATTGTGTGCTTATAGTGTTAATTTTTCCTGAAAAATAAATATTTACTTGAAAAAGTGTTTTTGTTACGTGTGCAATGATGGTATATGGTACAAGAAAAATTACTACAACCAAGCAATGGAATGAAATCATGTTCATAAAAAAAGGCCTCATATGATACAGAAATGAGCAATTTCTCCCTTTTAGAGCAGACGTGAATATGCATGAAAAAAAGATAAGTCAAGATCACAATGCCAAATTTAGTCGATAAACTTGTTCTTGTTTACCAAATGTATCTGATTAAGAACCTATGTCGTACAGATGATCTTTTTTACATGTCTGTGAGCCAGATTCAAGGATGCGGCATGTTGCTCTTAACAGATGTCTAGGTGGCGTAATTTGTTTGAAATTCAATGGGCCTACTCTATACTTTTTCTTCAGGATTGTCTCTTTAATTAGCAGATAGAAGTTAGGTTCAGCCATTTGGGCAAGGCAAACTCAAATGAATGGATACAATCAAACGGTCTTTTTATGTATTTTGTATATTAAACATTATTATATATATAGTCAATGCTTAAGATTATTTATTTACTTTGAATATAATTCTCGTGAACATTAGCATTTTTTTTTTCAGAATTCTACCTCTTGAGACGTTCTACAGTTGTAATTCAAACACATCAATTTTATAAATCCTAGCTTCAAAAGATGATAGAGCGCCTCTATAAGTTAGCTAAATAAAGAAAACCCCAAGGAAAGAGCTTCATCTCTTTTAACTTTAAAAGCGATTGCTTCTTTTGGTTATAAACAAATATTGTTTATTTATTAAAGGCTTGTCCATATTCTTTCACATGTATGAATGCGGCACCTTCATTGGGTGAGAAGTTTGACGTTTCTTGTGCATTTCCGAGACTACTGGCACCTTGGAGTTCATCGAGAGGAAGATATTTACCAATATAGAGGATAGAGTAACAAACAAAGCAAAGCAAGACCATCAGACTATCAAATGTATAAAAAGCCCATTCTGAGTGATTATAAGTAGTAGCATACTCAACAATACGAAAGATATAGCGAATGATTAGTAGAGAAATAGTGATACATAAACAGTAGAGCAGATTTCTTTTAGGATTGGATTGGCCCTTGACATAATAATCATAATCATCACTACGATAAATAAAGAAAGCAATACATAAGAAAACAGCAAAGAAGAACATTTGAAAAGCAAAGCCAATAAGTGTAATGATAGAGCCTGCATCAGAGAGATTAATTTTACCAGAGGACTTGATCCCACCGCCTGCGCATTGTACCATAATTGAGATTTTATTGCTTACAGAGAAAAACCACATGACAAAGTCAGGCTTAAGAAAGAAATGTTTGGGCTCAGCATGAGATTTCTGGATAACTTTAACAATGCTTCTATAGTTGAGATGTGCTAGAATACCAGGTGGTAACAGAAGAAGTAAGGTCATTATAACGAAGATTGTCGTTGTAGTTTCCGCGTGGGACTTGATCCGAAGAGCATAGCCAACACATTCGCATAGGGCAGTTATTGGTAGAGTATATAAGAACCTTGGGCTTTGAAACTTGTGAACGCGTGCTGCCAAATACAACCCAAATAGTCCAAACAGTACAGCAGCAACTACTGCTAAAGGAATGCTGGGATTGTAGTGAAAGTAATAATATGAATTGATTTCGCTTGAAGAATTATCAGCCATTATAGTTTGAATGAACTATACTGAAAACACAATTGAGGTAAAAAGAAAGGAGATCTGGACAGGAACAGTCTGTATTTATATATATAAACACTTGGAACTGGGTTACTATATTGTTATATTTTAGAAGAAATGCGGCGAGTAAAAACCGTTTATGGAAATAATGTTTTGATGAGCTGTCACTTTTACTGACACCTCAGATCAGAAGTATCGAGTTCAGAAACATATATATATATATATATATAAATGTTATATACTAGGAAGATTACACATCAATTCATGCAAAATTGCTGATCATTTTCTATTTTCTGAAGTTATCATTCATTTCGGCTTATAGTAACGAAGTTGCTTATCTAAACTTTTTAAATGTCGCCTGGCCTTTAAATGCTTGGCCGAGTCATTCGCCACACAAAAATACTTTTTTAGCAAGTCTCTCCGAGCATATGTTTGCTGAGCAAAGTCGAACATACATCTTGCTCTATTTTTGCTATCCAGTTTTCTGACTATGGTGTTGTAAGTATTCTACAAATGAAAGTGTTTCTACAGCAAATTGTCACTCAAAATCGAATAGATTCTTGCTCACAATCAGCATAAAAACGCTTTGATGATACTTCTTTCAAGTGTCCTAGGCCAAAGTATACATAAAGGAACGCTTCTGTTGTAAAATGCCACAAGTCTTGAATTGATCATTTTTTTCTCATTTTACCCGTAGATAGCCTTGTTGTTTTTCTAATTTTTAAATAATCGCCATTTGTGATTGATACCGCAATGTTTTACTATGATATATAATAGTACGATATGCTCGTCTGAGCTCATAAAATTCACTGAAAGTGTTAGATTTGTAAATGCCTTATAAAAATTGTACGCTATTGACCAACAACAAGAATACCCCAAAATTTTGGTAATAAACATTTTATGTTCCTTATATCATTCAATGCACCTTAGAAAACTGTACAAACTTTGTTATGAAATATCTCGATAGCTCTTCACTTTTAGACATTTTTAGTCCATCATGTCTCTTTTTTTAAGTTGTGTTTATTAATTGAGCCGCGTACACTAAGAGTAATAGTCAAAGTGAAGAGGCGGGTGCTATTAAAATGAAAGCTAATAAAATAAGGCGAAATATACTAAACAAAATAAACTAAAATAAAATAAAATAGATAGAAAGAGAAAAAAAAAAGTTACATGATTGAATGACATTGATCCTCTTCAATGGTCTAGCGAACATTAAATCGGATGCCTGCAAACATTGCTGTGAATACAATGGGGGTCTTGTCAAAGATAAATCTCATATGAGCAAGCCAAATTTGTGAGAGTCATTATGAGGATTCTATATGGTTTGATTCCTTTCCATTGGCAGTACCAGATGTACGAGAAGTCCAGGGACAGAAGAGCCTTTTGATATCAGAGATGGATGTGGTAGGCCATAGGAGCTCGAGAATTATTTCCTGTCATACCTTTTCTTTAGTTGGACAGTAGAATAACAAGTGGATGGTTGAGTCTTTTGAAGATATGCAAACTGGGCAAAGAGGGGAATCAAACACTTAAGGCATAATAAAATGCAAGAACTTGCAATGAGGAATACACCCTAAGATAAACCGGTATGTCACATTACGTTGAAATAGTTCTCAAAACAGTTAATCTGTAAAAATGAATTCCTGAAAACCATTCGGATTCAAAGTCCGATATACAATAAGCAAAAGGTACATACAAGTAAAGGATGGGCAGGTCTCACATCCTCCATCCTCAAATTGACTCCTTGCTAGTTTGATAATTTTCTACTGCTGATACTAGAACAAAACAAAGATTTTGAAGAAGTGAAAATTCGGGATATTTGGTCTTCAATTTGGTAAGCACTGACTTTTAAGACGGGCTTCATTGATGTTGCTGAAAGAGAGTATAAGCTATTGAATTAGTTAATGTAATATGTCATATGTTACATAGCAATCTTAAAACATAAAGCCTGAAGTATGGAAACCATCGTTTCTCCATGTATTTGAATGATAAAAAAACTCTATGATTTATATTGTACACATTTTTGCATTTATTGTTGTTTTAGACTGTACGCTTCACTTCAAAAAAGTGCTTAATATAATGGACTTGCCAGGCACAAACTGCAATTAATAAGCCGATTTGAGCAATAGACCACCATTTGACACGGGTATTTGTACTTTCAGCAGCTAGAGTTCGCTTAGATAAAAGTTGTCTTTCGCATGAACTTACTGTCTCTGTGTCTACGCTCACGGGCAACAATGTATTCTTGTTCGGCCTTGATATTGAGAATACTCTCAGCCAATTCTTCAATTTCGTTTTTGAGAGGATCTTCATGATCTGATGATATGCTCAATCCAATGCCTTTGATAAAAATAAATATGTTACTTACTTGTTTCATCAACAGCGTTCTTGGGATTAATATGAGCATTGAAATTGACGGATTTGGCTGTGACAGAAGACATCTTGTTGGAAAAACAGTAAATATGTCTACCGGGCATTGTGGCTGTCACAGTAAAATGGCCAGAGTCTTCACGCGTATTGCTCAAGACGACGTTGCCTTGTGGATCAGAGACCTAACAAAGATGATCAGCAACCTGACATGACTAATCGCAATCACTTTACCCAGAAATCAATGTCATATTCTCCACCTTCTCCTACCTATATATAAGCGAGTTAGAGAAGGAGAAACTATCCTGATTAAGATGTGCTTTACTTGGTATGTAAGAGACAGTTTATCACCATAATTAAGGTCTTCATAGAAACATTCGTTCTCATGCGCTGGTATATCAACACTTACAGCCGAGATTGTCTTGACTAAACAAACAAAAGCTAGCACTAATAGAACAATTTTACTCGACATTGCTAAAAAAGAAGGAAAGAAAGAAGAAAAAAAGGAACCGAACGCGCTTTTAAGTTTGATTTAATTTGAGCTTCTCAAGTTCTGATTTTTGGTACTCTTTGATTGGATAAAAATCCATCCAATTTAGCTTGTAAATGAAGTACATTTATGTTGCATTGACACTAAGACCTGCACTACCGACAGTTGTCTCTTCGTTAAGAAACAAAAGGATATTTTTTTTTGCTGCACCTACCGTTCTTCATACACTGAGAGGAAGGATCAATAAACCACATAGACTATACATTTTGATATAGTTTTGTATGCAAGAGGATCCAGAATCTTAGCAGAAACAATTTTATCTGTACTTCTTGATTTATCCGCAATGTCTAATAGGAAAAGCTTTCGAAATCCAATAGAATAAACGTATGTAACAACTTTCCCCAGTACAGAATTTTAATAATGTAAAGCTCTAAGCTTCAAATTGAACACGCGTGCACAAAGGTCTGGTCTATCAGCAACCGTTTGATTCACTAAAAGTTCATTGGTAATTTTTGGCCATGTAGGATTGCAAGTAAAAGCAATGAAAAAATCAGCCTTTCTAAAACGACGCACCCAAATTCATAGCAGAGTCATAAAGTGTGGACCACCAACAAAGGTCAAAGGCAGAACCACTCGCTTTCCAATTGAGCTCATATCGGTATCGTCCAAGCGAATTGCATCTCGAAGACCGTTATACACCTCAGCACGGAGGGAGCTCTGATTGTGTCTTATATAATTTAAACGCTGCTGTTCCATCTTTGCATACATATCAACAACATACTGGTGGAAAAGTTTTCCAAATTCATGCAAGTTCATCTGCTCGCTACGAGGTACTACTATATCACCACTGTTCTCGCTTTGAAATGCTTTGCGTACCATAAATCTAGAGCTGTAATACTGCACAATCGTGTTTGTACCATTATTGGTATAAGGGTTTGTAGGTTCAGAATCGCTATCACCACCTTCACTCTGAGCGAGCTTCTGCTACTGCTACTATTTCGCTCAATATTATTGTCGCTTTGTTGTTTTCGAACTCGAAAAAGTCTTTCTCCACATTGCTAACTAGAACGTCTTGTATGTCCAACTCGATTATACCATTTACAGATCTCGTCAAAGATGTTGTTTGAAGATGTACCTGACATAAGAAAAAATAGTCTGAATTTAAGAGCTGTGTGAATTACTTGCCTACTTTGGGTTGAAGATTCACCATCACCCATTTGAATTGGTAATTCGTGGCATTATATTTATACTTCTCAGAAAAGAGGTTTTCGCAGTTTTAGTACGTATAGTTTACAAGCTTTGAAAAGGAAATGTGGGTAATAGTTGGTGCATTTGGTAACAATCACTAGGGAAAAGGACACTTTTGAGCAACACAACACGATACAGCCCGTCAAATACGTGGTCCATGCAATATACACGCCAACGATTCCCTTTCATCAGAACTCCACAAACATAAACAGCAGAGTGACTATCATCATTCATTGCCTTCATGGAGTTTTTAAGCTCTCTACACAACTTGAGTATATCATTGATATGCTTCGTTTAGTTGGATTTTGCTTCTAGTGACAACAGAAGATGACTGGTTTTGATCCACACAACTGAGAAATCGGCTCTTTCATTTCGTTGATGAGCTATTTGGAAAGAATGATTTAATGGAAGTGTCGACTGTATCTCTGGCTAGAGTTGCTTCATTTAAAATGGTCAGTACAGTAATCAACAGAATAGGTGTCCATTAATCTATTTAAGATTCTACAAATAGAAGTGTCATTGAGGGATATTCATCTTCGTACTTCTTAATGTATTTCTTGATAACAGTGACATTAATATTTCTAGAAGCGAGTTTAATGATGGGAGCAATTTTGAAATCAGCAACTTGATCAATATCATTAAGAACGTTTTGTGCTTCCTCGTAATCTACGATATCGGTATTTACGAAGCTGTTATCGATCAACATTATTCCATCTAAAGCCAGTTGTTCGTGATCGTTCAGCGTTTTCAAGCCTTCAGCCTTACTGATAGCTGCATCACGATAGTCGAAAAAATGCTTGAGATACATCATAATTATTCAGTCACCAAACAGAGTTTTCTTTCAGCTTGTAATGATACGTATCTTTATCGTGCGTCAGATACTGCTTCGTCTGATCATAATCATTCATTGTGCTACTAGAAGAAGATGGCGTAGAATCGTTGTACTGATATTCTGAACCTTCACTTTCGTCACTACTAGACGACTCTTCTGCAACAATATCAGCATAGACTTGCGCCTGCATCAATGCTTGTTAGATATCTGTAGTCTTTAATTTTGATCTAGTTAGCTTTGCAGTTTGAACGTTCCAATAATTGATAAAAGGCGGCGATGTTAATATCTAATAACCCCTTTTAGAATAAGCTCAAAAACATAATGAAATGATCCTACCTCGTAGTTATCTTTGATAATAACTAGCCCTTTTCCAAGCCAAACCATAGTTGTAGGTCCAAAAAAACTTACCAAAGCTTGCATAGGTCCAAATTTTTTTACAGTGAAATATTTGGGCAAATCTATTATACGGGAAATGACTAAAGATAGAATTGAACTATAGCTTATGGTAATTGATAATAGATTTATTGAGTTTGTTGAATGGTATTATTATGGTTTACTTACTTTTTCTAATTCTCTTAGTACAATAAAAAAAAGATAAAAAAAATGACTAGAGTGGGTGTAATGTTCCTATTTGAAGTTGACTATGTCCCATTTTTCAACCGTCTTGGAAAAGGGCTAGTTGATAATAATGTTTGCAAAAGCCCACGCCTTTTTCATTGATTCCGACTTACTCTTGCTGCCTTTGATGCTCTTGACAAAAAGCTTAAAATTGTTAATCGCAATAAAAAAAAAACGTTTGAAACGTACGTAAGCTGGTATAATTTGCTTTTTTAAAGGATATGAAAATGTCACAGTCTAAAAATCTGAATCATTGCTCACCTATTTTATCAAAGCTAACTCTATTAAAGAAAATAATTATGCTATCAATATACAACAATGGGAGAACTTTTCACTTCTCTGAACACGCATCGTATGTCATTTGACATAACCAAGTTCTTGACTATACAAAGTTTTTATGTAAATGTTCAATATATGTTTCTTAGTATCTCAAACGCAGAGAGGCGAAACTGGATCATATGTACGAAGGGTTCATATAGAATATAGAAACATTTTTGTTTCATCATCAAGGTTTTCCACAACAATAATGCTGCTTAATCGCCCGTCCGAGTCCACTGTAATTCGTACATTTGATTCTTTTTTTTTTTTTTTTTTTTTTTTTTTTTTTTTTGGGTCTCAAGGTAAATTGGATCAAACAGCTGTTTTGATGTTTAATATCATTGACTAACACCTCTCTTTTGTGTCGTTTATATCCGTAACCTCCTTTAGTAAGTAATTCCTTTAGAATCACATTGCTAATTGCCGAACAATAAAATGCTGGAGAGTAGAATTTCTTCACCCTTCCTCAGGGTGTATTTACGAATCGACTTCTGATTTAGACTACCTCCCCTTTTTTTCACACTTCTTCATTTTTAGGCGGTCATAACAAAGTTCGAAATGCTTTTGGATTATTTGCCAATGAAATCACAGTATTTGCAGTCTATGATCAATGAATTTAATATTGTCGAAAAATAAATGTATCTAAATTCAAAATTGACCTTTTATTCAAATTGAATGTTTTCTATCTATCTATATCTTCACACTTCTTAATGATGGGTAGGCTTGGAACCTATGTAATAGAAGTATAAATAATATATACGCACTCTTCTCTAGAAATTACCATCAACTCTCATGTTTCTAGTCGCTGAAGGAATGCGAACTGTAATTCCATCTAATTCATCATTCATCTCAACTTGACAGCCCAAACGAGATCTAATTCAATCAATTACTGTGAATCTCCACTGACACAACTTACGTTTCAGTCAAACCAAAAGCTAAATCCAGCATATCATTCTCTTCATCTGAAGGTTCTTCCATTTTATCATAATATTCTGGATCACAAATAACATGGCAAGTCGAACATGCCAGTGATCCTTCACAAGCACCTATTTTTTCTCTCGGTTAATGACCCATTCTCTCTCTCTCTCTCTCTCTCTCTCTCTTTGCTATTGGCTTACATTCAAGGTCAATATCGTATCTTTGAGCAAGATCCAACATGGTATCTCCTTTCGTTGCTTTAACATCAATTGTTTCACCTTCAGATGTAACAAAATGAACTGTGTATGGGCTATCCAAAATCAATAAAGGTTGACATCATGCACTATCCCTTGCTTACCCTTCACCGCGAGCGATACCTTCTTTACCGTGAAACATGCCTATCGAGAATAAATATGAGTTGGTGGGAATAATAATTTTCTTCATACTTGGTGTAGTGGAGAAGGTTCTTATAGCATTAGGCTTAAATAAAGTCTTAGTGGTAAATAAACGTAATAAGGACATATATAATACAATAACAAAAGAAAGAGTAGGGGGAGTATGAGAGAAAGAAAAAATACTGATTTTAGCGGGGAGGTTCGCCATCTATTTTCATTGGGCAGATGAAGATGGGTAGTGGATAATTTGACGGTCCGAGAAAAAAGCCACTCAAGTAAATGTAAAGCACAATGACCTTTTTTTTTGTTTGCATGAACATTGGTTTATTTGAAAAAAAAAAAAACAAAAAAAAAAATATTCAATAGAGAGCATATTGTTAGCAAGGCTGATATAGCTTCAAGAAATACACAAGTTAAATAGATACAGTTAAATAAAATCATGGAAACCCCAAACTATTTTTTTTTCTCAGGGCTCTTCACTTTGACAGTATGTCGCTTTATCTTTTCACTTTCTGAGAAATTAATTTCAAACCAATGTTGTTGTGACTGGTATCATCTCTACTTGATCATACAACCTTATTGTTGGCTACTCTACCACAAGTTGTACTGGTCTACCCTTCATAGCCATAATAATACACTCCATGACTTGCCACAAAGAGGACTATCTAATTGCTGATCCAGTTGACTATGGCTGGTTCAAGAGATGCCTCGATCTCTTTAATCTCTGCCTGAAGCAGCTACACGTGCAGACAATCTTCAAAAATGACAGCTTTGTCTAATGCAGTGTTCGAACCAATAGGATCGGCACGTGAAACTTAAGCCAATGACCTAAAACTCCGCAGTGTTTAAAAGAGTCATTTCTCCTTGTCCGCTTCCCTTCCTTTTCTTTCCTTCTCATACCATGAAGTTTGGAAAAACCATCATATCAAATCAAATACCTGAATGGTCAAGAAACTACTTGGCCTACAAATCCCTTAAAAAGGAAATCAAGACTGCCTCTGCTCATTTACCAGCGCCAGAAGAAGACATTACAGGTAAGAAATAGATTTGGGATGAACAGAACAACTAAAAAAAGAATTAGCTATTGTGTTCCATCTGGACAGAGAATTAGAGAAGATCAACACATTCTATGTATACAAGCAAGCACTTATTCATCGTCGTCTTTGGATCTTGCAGGAGAAATATGAGAAATTCAACGATGAGAGTGACGAGTTGGCCTTAGCCCTTAAGGAAACAAGGAAGCAGATGGACAAACTCATGTGGTTTGCTGAATTGAACTTGAAGGGATTTCGTAAAATACTTAAAAAGTAAATAGACAACAAACAGTCAGCTTGTATTTTGTTTGTTTATTTTTCTTTTTCTCACTGCTTTTACTTAGATTAGATAAAAAGTTAGGGCTGGAAACACAACAGATCTATTGGGAGACAAAGGCAAGTGTGCAAACATGGATGATGAGGGTTGTTAATAAGGCCTAATTTAGGTTGCTGTACTTCCTTTTTCTAATCCAACTCAGCTAAGAAAGGAACTTGATCAAGTTGCCGAATGGATATCTACTTTGGCATCTGCTGGAAAAGAAGAAAACACCAACAACAGCTCTACATTAAGACTCGCTCGTTATACATCAAAGAATGAAGATATTTCTAAAGCAATTCGAGAAGACAACAAGCAAGGATTAGAATCTTTGTTAAAAGAAGGCACAAGGGTATTTTAGATTGACACAATCATGCTAGCGTACATGCTAACGTTTTTAAAATTCAGACCAATGAAACTATTCTAGAACTTGCCGTGGAGCATGAATCACTCATGTGCCTTGATTATCTTGTCGAATCTTTGGGCTTGTCATTATCCAATAACAGAGATATCAATGAACGCAACTTACTTCACCGTGTCTGTATTCGTTCAACAACATCTGCCAACATTGCAAAGCGTCTATTGGCGCTGGAACCATCCTTGACACTTCAAAAGGATTTTGCTGGACGTCGACCTCTACATTACGCTGCTGAACAAAACAATGCTGATTTAGTCCGCCTTCTTTTACAGCATGCTATTGATCATCACTATTACTCTATGGAAGATGGATTTGCGGATCATGGTTGGCAAGACCGTGAAGGGTTTACGCCATTGTTTTTTGGTATCATTCGTGGAAGTACACATGCTGTTAAGGAATTGATTGAAGTTGGTCAAGTTCAAAACATCGATGAGTCCATTGCCTCAGTACAGAGATCACCTACACCATTTGACAGCTCAGAAGACTTGACCGCAAATGGTACTGAAGTTGTCCCTGATTATGCCCGTTCTCTTCATCATCCTTCCTCTGCTGCATTGGCTTGTAAACTTGGTAATTTGGAACTTTTGAAGCTGTTGATCAGTAAGGGCGCTTCTCCTGACCTGGCTGATGAAGATGGTGAAACGCCATTGTTGTTTGCTATCCGTAGCCACTTCTTGGAGGGTATTCAAGTCTTAATTGCTCAAGGCCATGTGAATGTTGATTTGGCTGAAAAAGTCAATGGATGGACACCCTTGATGGCTGCTGCTATTGAAGGATTCAAGGACATTGTGCAGACATTATTAAAGGCCAATGCAAACAAAGAAAAGGTGGATCACAATGGCTGGACTGCTTCTGATCACGCTGTCTTTCGAGGCTACCTAGATATTGGACGCTTAACGCTTCCTAAAGATCCCAAGGCGTACTTGGATCCTTCTGTGCGTGCTAAATTGCCTGGTACATCTGATGACGAAAGTGGTGCCTCTACACCCAATTCAACCGCAAGTAAACCTGCGAAAGCATCTAAATCAGTCTCTAAAGCCAGTCGTCTTTATGGCCATAAGTACTTGACAGACTTATCTATGATTGTCATCACGTTGGGATCCAATGATATCCGAAACGCTCTCTGTCATAAATTCATTGAACTGTCTGAAAAGTTCCAAGGCGAACAACGACTTTCGCTTTCTGTCTCAGCCACGAATGCTTCAGGTGAATTTCCCATCATTGATTTGCCTTCTGAATTTACACATGATTTCTATCCTGAACCCATTGTGCTCCTAACTCAGAAACCAGAGGAAGTCACCTTACGGTTTGATTTGATCGAAACATTTGGTTCTTCTCGGGACAGTAGCGTGTTAGCTCGAGGTACTTCTGTCTTGGCAGGTGATTTTATCTTTTCAAAATCAAAGGGTTTTAAGGGGCCAACCGAAAAGGCTTCTCTCCGAGGTCAGCAGACAGTCCCATTGGTACAAGCAAAGGATTTGGAATGCGTGGGTACTCTTGGATTTGAGTTCATTGTGATCACGCCTTTTCAACACAAAAATATGCGTATTGGTGATCGATACACTTACTACAAGTCTGTGGACACGCAGGTGATTGGTCATCGCGGTTCTGGCATGAATAGAAAGGGATCCAAGCTTCAAGTAGGTGAAAATACAGTGTTGTCTTTTGTTACGGCTGCTTCTCTTGGTGCTGAATATGTTGAATTTGGTAAACTTTTTTTAGCTTTTAATAGATACATACTCTGACACTCTATAGATGTTCAATTGACAAAGGATTTGGTACCTGTGATTTATCATGACTGGACCGTGACTGAGACAGGCTATGATATTCCTCTCAACTCAATCACATTAGAACAATTCTTAAATTTGAGACGTTCAGGCCGAATCAAAGAATATCACACAGGTGTGAGTGAAGGCCAGCATGGTATCTCAATCCCGGTCTCTTCTGCTATCACAACAGAAAAGCCATTGCCACCTACGCCTCTTACCAATGGCGTCGTTCAACACAATACAGGTAGCGGTGCTCAGACACCCAATGGCGTACGTACCAGTCGATCTCACTCTTTCAGTGCCAGCAGTCCTAATCGTCTTGACTTGACTGATCCATTTGAACAAACACGTACTTCAAAAGCAGGCAAAATCAAAGGCAATGGTCCCAACACAATTCAAGGCCCGTTTACGACACTCGCAGAAACACTTCGTAGTGTGCCCAAGACAGCTGGGTTTAATATCGAAGTCAAATATCCTATGATTGATGAAGCTGAGCAGGATGAATTGACTTCTTTCCAAGAACTGAATATATATGTGGATACCATTCTCGAATGCGTCTATGACAATGTAGAACAAGACCGTCATGTCATCTTTTCTTCATTCCATCCCGAAATCTGTTTGGCATTGAATTTGAAGCAACCTAATTATCCTGTCTTCTTCTTGACCGATGCAGGTACTTTGCCTATGGCTGATATTCGATGCAATTCACTTCAAGAGGCTGTGCGATTTGCCAAGCAAGCGGATTTATTGGGTATTGTAGCAGCAAGTGAACCTATCCTGGAAGCCCCTCGTATGGTACAAGTGATCAAGGAAATGGGTCTTTTGTTATTTACTTATGGTGTGCTCAATAATGAAGTAGAAAATGCAGTTGCTCAAAAATACTATGGTGTTGATGCAGTGATTGTGGTAAGTTTAACAATACAGCACAAATATAATTAATGCATGTTTAGGATTCTGTATTGCCTGTTCGAAAGGGATTACGTGGAGATTAGTTTGATATTCTGTTTGTCATTATTTGCAACCCGCTTTTTTTTATTTTTATTTTAGACGCCATTGATTGTTAAACAGAGCTTATTAATAACTAAATTGTTCCATGTTTGCAAAATGTATATACATATAAACAATGGTAAGTTTCCTTTTTTTTATTATTATTATACGGGTCGAGGCATATGAGCATCCAACAATTCCTTAAATCTTGCTTCGTCCAAATGTACACCTTTTCGGCCCAAGATTTCATCAAAAAAGGGATCTTCGCCACCTTCAGTAATATGTCCACTCACGGCCAATGCTGCCTTGACTTCTTCTCCACGATGCTCTCCTACAAATCCCATATTTAAAATCCTAACTGTTTCACTAAACCCACTTCCCCATAAAAGTGGCTCCAAGTATTTTAGCACCACAAGACCTGTGCGAAAGAGAATAATATCGCCGTACAGTAAGTAAATATCCCATAGTCGAGACGACAGTTCAAGGGGAATCATAGAAGCAAAAATAGTCATGAACCAGTCTGGTAAATAGTTTTCAGGTGTGAGTGCCAGATTTTTGAAATGTAAATAAAGCTTTGGTAGATTTTCGGCAAAAATCACATTGAAGACTTTAAAGAAGCCTTGGATTTTTTTCTCATCCGAGTCATACAAAGCAGACAGGACTTGACTGTTGCTAATCATATTGATGAGAGCCACAAACGTGTCTTGTGAATTCATGTTGAGAAGCAGGACACCAGCCAAGAATGAAGCACCTCGAGGCTATAAGAGAATTAAAAAAAAACAAAGGGTTTTTGCATGGACTAACTTACATAAGTTAAATTAGGCCTATAACCCACATAAGCATGAAGCACTTTTCTGAGTGACATAAACAATGGACCATCAGGCTACAAAACTGTGAATACTAGTGAACAAAGTCGTTTTGCTTTACCTGAAAGACACATAAACTAGGCAATGTGCGTACAATATCTTCTTCAATAGCCTTATTCAAGAAATTAATCAGAGTTGGATCATCCATTGTTTTATCGTTTGCTTCTTCCTCTTCATGATCTTCTTCTTGTGAGCTTGTATCCTCATCCTCATCATTATTTCCATCGTCTAGTTCGATATTGACATGATCTTCCTCTAGACTCTGCTTTGAATCCAACTCCATTGCACTTCTTCCACTCATTGAGTCACTATAATGGCCGCCGTGTCCACCTACTGAACTTGACAAGGAATAAGTAGAAGAAGTGCGTTCCATGCTGACATTGGCAAATTCAATATGTTTGTCCTCTTCCTCTTCTTCCTCTTCGGTTGTTACAGCGTCTTCTTCTCCTGATTTTTCATCTTTTGAATCCTCTCGAAGTACATCCAAACTACTGGTTCTTCTTTGTCGACGTATAGAATACAAAGATGTTTCTGCATAAGGATCATATGTTGTGGTATGACTTGTAGAGACAATAGGCATAGGTGGACCATGCGATGTAGGTGACATCAAACCATGATTATTTTTGGAGGATGTGCGTATGGCTTGTGGCACTCGGCGTATGCATTCTGTAAATGTTGCCTTGGTGATATTCAATGTATTACCAATCTTTAATTTCCAAATCTTCTTCCTACATCGAGGAGGAATGCCCTGTGTCCATAAAATAAGCGTTCGCTTGTCTCCAGCGCGTGTCTTCCAGTTTGGAATAATGTCGTTTTCCCAAACATGTTGTGCATGATTGATCTTTTTGTCTTTTTCTTCTTTTTTCCGATAACTTTCTTTTTTTTTTCTTGCTTCCAATTTCTTTGCTTTTCTCATCATGGCTTCATATTCCTGCAAATGCTTCTTTTCTTCTTGAGGGTCTTTTGGTGGAAGCATTCTACAGTCAGGTAGTTACTATAACTATTGCCAGTAGTCATGCTTACCTTGGGCGTGTCTTTGAGATGACTGTTTCTAATGGAGAAGGCTTCTGGTTGATTGATTTGGCTCTTTTAAATGGATTTAATCTATAAGACAATAAGATGTTTATTTCATATTGATCTACTTACGTCCTCCTTACAGGAAGTGATGCACCACCGGATGTAGCCACAACTTCTGCCTCATTCACATTTCTACGAGCAGCACCGGGATAAGGATGGATGTTGACAGAATCATATTCTCCACTTTCTCTAGCGGCTTTATTGGGTGAATCATCCAATACGTCTGATATTGAATAAAAGGGGCCTGAAATGTCTGATGTAGTGATTTTCATGGCTGATTCTGCATGAAAACTATCTCTTGTACTAGGTGTCTTTTGTGTTGAATTGCTGTTCTGACGGCGAGGTATAAGTTTCATAAGTCGAGAAGGTGAGTCTTGTCCGTCGTCTTTATCTCTCGGTAAATCCAACGATACTTCTTCAAAGAATTGATCATACGTGTTTCTACTGGTGTCTAAGTCTGTTGTATAAAGTGGTTGTTGGTGTTGAGGTATAGGAAGCTCATCTAATAGTCGGTCTGCTGTAAGGTTATTGCTTTTGTCAGACACATGAACAGAAGATAAAGTCCCGGAAAGGTCGATATCACCAAACTCTGCTTCTTCTGTAGAATCGCGCGTGACTTCCTCCATAGTCATAGTGTAAATTGTAAAGAAAAGAAAAAAAGGAAAAAGTGGGGTTTTTTTTTGTATCGAGATTTTCAACAAGAAATCTGTTTTTAAAATTAATTATCGGTTTGGTAACACAGTATCTAACAAAAAAAAAAAGGTTCTTTCCATTTTATAATATGCAAAAAAAAAAAACAAATAAGTTTTCACCGAGTATTTGTTTATAGAAACATGAATAAGCAAGCAAAAAAGGTACCTGAGATTGGACACAGCAAAATATACTATTTCCCGAAATTGTTAACATACTTTTTAAATGGCAGGTCACTCCAATACTTGTTGCCCTTTGTTCGGACCTGGGATAGGATAGAATTCTCTGTAAGACTTGAGACCATGGAATTGCTGGTTGTTGTACTTGTTCTGTCCGCATTGTGGAGTTGGTAGTAGTATCTTTTAAATGTCTGTCACTGTTAGAGTTCCAATTTGCTGTTGGCATTTTTATGCATAGGTTCTTTTTTTTTTCTATGAGAAAAAAGCTAAAATCAATATCAATTAGCTCTTTTTAAGAAGGAAAGGTCATGCCACAACTTTTGCCTTCACTACGGCAACAAAGGCAGGAGTAGGAGCGACAATAAAAAAAATAAAAGTGTATCAACAATTCCGGAATCATGTATAAGTAGACAATCCCAAAGGTGCCTAATCCTTCTGTTCCTTTCTTTCTTGGCCAGGAGAAAGCTTATAACTGAGAAAATCTTGTTTACTCTACCGAATAGTCTATTAAGGAGGTGTTCTTTAAACGTTCTTCTCTTTCCCCTGCCTCCTAGAATTACACAATGAGCCCGGTCATGTTAAACTATGAATATATGAGAGTGATGTTGGTTGTTCCGTTGAATATGCTGTCGATCTGGACTCTCTAAAAAGGTATTGTATGCACTTGGTGTGACAAACGGGCTTTGATTTAATATGAAACAAGTCACTGAATACCTTATTTTTTAACACACTTTTTCTCTCGCTCTCTCACGCGTCCAAATAAGCTATTGACTATGTCACGCTTACTTTACTCTAGAAGAAGAGGACATGACTCTGAAGGCGAGTATGCTTCGGAGGGAGAAGGCTCTGCTGTCTCCTACAACAGTTCTGATAGTGAACATTCGGATGTTTCTTCTTCCTACTGCTCAGAAAGCGAAGAAAGTGATTTAGATGAAGCAGAGACTGAAGGTTCAGGCGAGGAATCCGAAGAAGAAGAACAGCCTGAGCAAGAAGAACCTCTTATAAAACTACAGCAACCTGCTACAGTAGTCAAAGAACAAAAAGCTGAACATAAAGAAATCATTGATTATCAACAAGTCAATGATACACCTCAAGCCACACATGATTATCAGCATCAAGAAACAGCAGCTTATCAGGATCAGCCTGAAGACAGCGGAAAACGCTTTCAAGAACACCGTGAATATCGTCGAAAGCTAGCAGAAGATCCTAGTTTTGTGCCGTATGTTGGGCTGTTTTGGGGTCACGATGATCGATACAGAGAAGATTTATTGACTGAGGCACGCCCTGATGGCAGTCAACCTCGTTTTAGCAGTAACAATAACCATAATGCTGGTGCTCAAGATTATAATCGTCAACTAGACCCTCTCATGTACAAGAAATGGGATCATAGTGGATATGAAGAATTACTGAGAATGGACGAGGAAGATGAAAGAAGAAAGCGTACATTAATTGAAGAAGGCAAGGTAGAAGAAGCAAATAATTATAGGCCCAACAGAGTACCCTACAACAATTATTCAAGAGGACCGAAATATGGCCGAGGAGGATACCATAACAACAATAACAACAACAACAATAACCGCCCACCAAGACAAAATCATCGTCAGCATGGAGAATGGCCAGAATTATCTAAAAATGATGAAACACAAAACAAGTGGAGTACAGAGCAGGAAAAGTCGGTTATTACTGATAACAGCCGAGAACAAATATCCACTGTAAAAAAAGATAGCAACGACTGGAAATCAACTATAGTGGATAGCAATAAAATCGACGATTGGACAAAAGAACATGCCTCCACAGAGAGCAATAAGTGGGGAGAATCATCTGCTCCAGCACTAGAGAAGAATGATTGGAACTCATCAGTTAATGTGGCTTCAACTGACAGTTGGGATACCCAAGCTAAAACAAGTGATTGGTCGAAAACCAATGATAATCAAAAGCAGGAAGTTACCAGCAATGGCTGGAATACAACTAATAACAACAATAACAGTAGCTGGGCAGACACGCCCATCGAAACAACTCATAAAGAGAAATGGAACAGTAAAGAAAGAGGACATTCAGATATACCAACAGAAGAAAAAGCGTCTGCTTCATGGACAACCTATACTGTGGAAGAAATCCAAGTCCCAACAACACCTTCCAAATGGACAATGCGAAACAACAATAACAGGACTGATAGAAGAAACAGATTCAACAATGACAGTTCAAGTAGCTTTCGTCATTCAAAGCCCAGAAGAGATAATCAAAAGCAAGACAAGCCTTGGAAATCAAGAAATCCAGAAAAAGAGACAACAGATCAAGAATGGAATACGAATAAATGGAACACGAATAAATGGAACACTTCTTCAACCACGCCTGCTGATACACAAGGTTGGGGTGAGCCTTCCTCAAAATCAAACGACTGGAATAAATCTACTTCTTTTGATGCTGATACATGGGGTGACACTGCTATTGACTCAAAGGAATCTACTTCCAATGGCTGGGATAAACCTGACGATATTAATGGTAGTTCGGACAAACCTAATGATGTTACACCAACTGAAACTTCAGAATGGAATGAACCTACTACTTCGAAGCATGAAACTGATAGTTGGAATGCTCCAGATACGAAATCGCCTGTACCATCCACCAAGGTTGAGATAGAGGTCGAAGGTTGGGGAGCACCTACTATTCATCGACCTAACGAAAATGTATGGTCTGAAGCTACCTGGGGATCTTCCAACAAATCTGTATCAGAGTCAGAGCCTACACAGAGAAATTCATCTTCTTCCTGGACTGCCAAGCCTGAAAATGTAGGCTGGGGCCAAGTGGATACCACCAACCAATCGAACGACAGCTCCAGTGGTTGGGGTCAAGAATCAGAAAGCTGGAGTCGTCAAGAGAAAAGCCATCAACATCGACGAGGTCGTGGTTATTTATCTCAAAAAATTGAAAATGAGGCTACTACTACTAATACTACTAATACTACTAATACTACTATTTCTTTCCATGCTGAACAAGAGCAAAAGGAATCTGGCTGGGGATCGCTCCATAATACGGGTAATGAAGACTCTGATGTAGAAATCATCCTTGAAGCAGAAGAAGAACCTGAATGGCTCCAACAAGAACAAGTACTTGGTATGATAGCTCCTGGTGATGCTGATACTTCCTCTCAATCACCCAGAGTTCTTTCTTCTTCCTCTGTTGAAAATTCACCGAGAAGACACCACCACCACCACCACCATCAAGCGAACCACAGTCCTCATTTTGATTCTCGCAAGCCTCGTCAAAATAAGCCTCGTCGTCAACTTGATGAGAACTGGAGAAGACGCAAAGAAGATCAGCCACCAGTACAACAACAGCCCACTCCCATGTATTATTCAACACCTCAACACATGAACGGTGCCAACATTGCTTATGTGCCCATGATTCCCAATGCCAATTATTTTCATATGGGTGGCAATGTTCAACCTAGTACTGAAGGCGCAAACACCAATAAATTTTATGGTCCTTTACCTCCAGGTTTTGAAGCAAATGGTATGGTTTACTATGGTGTCGATCCCAATCTGTACCCTCCTCAACAGCCTTTCTACTATTATGTACCTATGAATGGTAATGTAGGCAGTAGTTCGTTAGTGTACGATAAATCAACATCTCCCAATGAACCCCAAGCTGGCGAAGATGAAGATGAAGGTTGGGGACCTTCTCCTGATATCCATGAGGGCGAAGAGCAATGGAATTCACACAACGATAGAGGCCATAAACACCAACCCCCATCTAATGCTGTTAATTACAATAACTCTTTATACTATTACTATCCTCAACAACCTCAAAACCATTTTTAAATAAATGTTGATTCATTTCAAGGTTTGCAACATAGCAACTCTACTATTCTAACCGACAATTATGATGTTTTAGGGTATATTTGCCCTTTTAAAAAAAGTCAGGGTTTGGTCATGTAAACACAAGAAGAGTATAGCTACATACATGAATAAAGATAACAATGAGAGATGCTTTATTTTATCGACTTTCATTTCGAATCATATGTTCTATCACAGTGTTTAAAGCGCATACCCACTCTTCCTTTTCTCTTCTACTAGGCGCTAAAAATGTCCATGTACTTCCATAAGGATTTGTTCGCTTATCATGATGATAGACACTTAATCGATGTTTTCTTGTACTGAAATAGCGCCGTAAACTAGGCTTCCAAATGGAAAAGATACAAGAAAGCGAATCATCATCTGTAGACAGTCCATTTTTATAGATACGTGCTGATTTCCTTAACAAATTGTCTCGGTTGGATCCTTTGCGTTTCTTGGAATCATCTAGACCGGAATAGACATAACAACCAGCTAGATCTAATGCTCCTTTCTTTTGGTGATTACAGTGTTGTTTACTAGAATCTCGGTCATAAACATTGTAGAACAGAACCCATCCATTTGCAGTCAATATGAACATTTTTTGAGAGTAACTACCTCGTTTATGAGGCTTGTAGTAGAGAATACCTGATTTCTATCCATCATTAGATGAGTCACAACATACATGCATCCTTACCACTACATCACGGCATTGCTCATACAGACAGAGACTCCAGATACGTGTATCTGCTAACCTTTGATTTTGATGATGAGCACACCCATCTTTTGTATTGACCAGTGATTTAGCGTGATTGAAAATAAAGTTGTCGTAAGAATGGACGTCTTTGACAGCTTCTTTACGGGCTTTCCAATAAACCACAATTTGTGCTAAATAATTCACCCATAAATCACACGTATCACTTGAATAAGCCTATAAAAAAGAGTTAGAGAAGCAAACGTACTACAGACTTACCTCAAATTTGATCTGCAAGCCATTTTCCATGACGAGTTCTAAGCAAGCTTTTCGGCTGTCTTGTTGACTAACAGCCTGATAACTGGGTATACTGGATTGCTTGTTTAATAAAGCTATACGACTATGGTTGCTAATGCCACTTTCTTCGAAATTTGTCATAGGATTATCTATAAATGTTCTTCTGACATAAGAGACTTGAGTTAAATCAATCACGCCTTTGGCTTCTGTCATCAAGAGCATACGCCTTGTTATTTCTCCAGCTTGAATTTCAGGTGTGCATGCTGGCGCATAAGGTGAAATGGCAGATACGTAGGGTTGAGATCGAGCATTCTTTGGTAAAAGACCTTCATCAATAAAACATCGCATGTTAGGCACAGTTGTCTTTTGAACAGGAGTATAAAACAAGTATTGATCAAAGGAAGCAAAATATCTCATCTTGCGGTTCTTTTTGGTCTTGTTGGATCCTGTGAAATCAGTTATGTGTATCAAAAACCCTTCTACAGGTGGAGGCTCTTTTAAGACAAAGTTGTCTGGCAAAACAATATGGTTGGGTGTATGTTCAATAGGTCGAAGTTCAAGACGGTGTGTCTTTTCGATGTTTTGTGGACAAATGACGCTGTTCATGGGCTGATGTGTAGCTGAGTGAGTCCAGTAGATCCATTCAGCACGATCACCTGTGGTCCAGCAGAAACCAAAATCATCTAATGCTTGTGAGCTCTTGGCCGTTATTTTTTCAAGTGATTCCTCTTGCTCTTCTTTCAAGATATCGACAACGGCCTCTTTTGCTTCTTCTAATGTGATGCTACTACTGTCTTGAAGATGTGCTAGTGGCAAATTGACAGTCAAGTCTAGCATGGGTATATATACTTCACACCATTGTGGAGGAGGGCGCTTGCATTCGAGAGGCAACATGTTATACAGTTGCATATACCATTCTTGACATTTCAGAAATGACCTGGCTTTGAATGTAAGTGTTACTGCCATTGGAACGCTCTTCATAGCTGATATATAACGTAAGCCAAACGTATAGTCCAAAGGCGACATAAGAAAGAGTTCCAATTGCCTTGGTCTTTTAGGTCCTGTCAAATAAACACGATGCTCTAGCCTATATTTAGGCCAAAATAACGTCTTGGTTTCTTATTAGCTTCTGCCAATTGTCAAGATAAAACTTACCGAAGCTGAAAATGTAGAGATGCAAGTACTAGTTAACACAAGTTCAACTTGTCTCCATTTTTCTGCCAATAAATCAAACTTGGCTTCTTTGGTTGCCTTGTATCGTGTAGGTTCTGTCCCAACAGATCCATTCACAGAGCGCATACACAAGATAGGTTCCCGTTTCAATGAAATAGGTGTCTGAACTTGTTGCTGACCCATTTTTTTCCAAACCAATGGTTTTCTTTTGCGGCTAAACGCACTTGTTTTACTGCTCTTGGCCTTCCTTTTTAACAGACTCAAGTTACGCATCGGTGATTTTCCTTTTTTATCAAATGTTGGATCTGATTTTGAAGCTGAAGGGCGGACTGTTCTAGCGGATTCTGCATCACTATTTTCCTGCATTGTTTCTGTTGGTTTAGTCAATAAAGTATCTGAAATTAACATGTCGTAATCAATCTCTTCCTCTTCTTCCTCTTCTTGTACGATTGAATAAGAAGACTTGGTATGTTGGTACAAAGAAGAGACAGGTCTTGACTTTGCTGTCATGAAGCTGGTTTCTTCCGAAGAAGGTGTTGCTATACTCACTTCACGAATAGGTGTTATAGAAGCTTTACTACTCTGAGACAATGGTCTTTTACTTGTATGAGATGAAAATGATTTACATGTTTACTTACTTATTTGAAGACCGTACAGAAGTATTTTCGAGGTCTTGTTGGTTAAAAGACAATTCTTCGGTAGGATCTTGCTTAGGGGGTGGTTGAGGTGCTTTGATATCCCAAGGACCTATAAAGACACGACTCGAGTAACTCTTACGGTGTGTAAATTTAGTACTGATGGCTTGTTCTTCACACATAGTCAAGTTTTGTAATAAAGATAAAAAAAAGCAAAAAAGAGAGACAGACAGACCATAAATGACGGCCTTTTACAAATATAGAAATGGTCTTTCTAGCCATGATGACACAATTTATCAGTATATAAAGCAAATCAGTATTTAAAGTAAGGTGTTTATTTTAAAAAGAATTTTATTCAAAGTCTTCATTTCCATGTTCAAACAAGTAATTGGCTGCTAATTCTATAGACAATGTCAATAAAAATGTTATTTTTCTTCTTTTTTTTTTTCTTACCTTCATTCTTGTCACAAGCAAAATAAGCTTCAATGACAATGTTGCGATCAAATCCTAATGCTACCAACTACAATCTGATTAGACAATTTTGATTGCTTCTTTTTTTTTTGTTTACATACTCTGTCAATGGCTTCTTTCTCTTCTTGAGTGACTTGAATCATAGAGGATCCACTAGGTGCACCACCTTCTTCATCTTCAGTACCTTCTAATAAAGCCTGCAAAAATCCACTGGGATCAGCATTAATGGATCGAAGAATTTCAGGGTTGCTTTGACCCAATTGTTGAAGTAGAGGTTGAAGTAAAGCAGGATTGGATTGAACTAGTTGACGAATTTGTTGGAAATGAGGTGTGTTTCTCAAATTAGTGAAATCAGATTGAGCGCCGCCCTGTTGTTGTTGTTGGTGTTGTTGCTGTTGTTGGTGTTGTGCAGCAGCAGCAAATAAGTTTAATGGAGCATCTAGTGTAGGGTTAGTACGATTATATCCATCGCTTTTAATACTTTACTACTATCAGGAGAAGTAGCTGTGGCAGTAGTAGGTGATGCCATTTCTTCAGCTTGTTGTGGTTGTGCTTGTAGAGGTTGTTGTTGCTGTTGCTGCTGCTGTTGTTGTTGTTGCTGTTGTTGAGTGTTCATTTCGTCCAAGACATGTTGAGGAATACCCTAATCCTACTTTAGGCGCATACTCAAAGACGTAAAAACTTACATTGAAAAGATATTCAACAGCTCTATCAGGGTTGTTGAAACTAGCACGAAGAGCACGCAAACATTGTTCACGTTCAAAACCCATTTCCATCATATTCTGAACAACACTTTCAAGTTGGTTTCCAGTAACTATATATAAAGAAAGGCGTCAATGTCTCATCACGAGCATTTTTTTTTGTTACCTAATTGAGAATTGCTATCCGTATTTGTTTCTGTGGCTGTAGTAGTATTGGTAGCAGTTGCTTCAACAGGAGCAGCAGGGGCAGAATCAGTGGCAGGAGCAGGAGCAGAAGATTCATTAGCAGGAGCAGCAACAGGAGCGGGGGAAGCTTCTGGTTCCTTTGGTGTAGCAGGAGCAGGTGCAGGAGTACTAGGTTTAGAGGACGAGGCAGAAGTAGCCTTAGGCTATTCATTCATTAGGTACTCTGTTCACATATATACACATACACACATACCTTGGATACCATCACAACCAAGAAATCCTTTTCACTGATATTGTATTCTTCAACCTTTTTATCGTCAACAAGAATTTTACCTAAAGATAAGTTGGTAAGCAAATAGAAACATAACATTGATACTTTACCAGAAAAAATAAGCTTTTGTTGAGCAACAGGATGACCTTGTGCCTCTTGGATCTTTTCCTTGACAGAAAGGATCTATTTTTTTTCTTTTTGTAAGTAAAGGACACTAAGTACCAAAAAAAAAATTACTAACAGTATCAGCACTATCAACGTCAAGTTTAAATTGCTTTTGTTGAAGCGTTTTAATAGTAAGTTGCTATTTGATGTTAGTAAGCATATACTGTTTATTTACGCGCTTACCAAAGCACCCATAATGTATAAAAGGGGGAAAGATAAAAAGAAAATGTATACGTGTCGCAGCTCCTTTTTTTTTGCATTGGACAACAATAGACATGTCACACTTTATCACTATTATTGGAACAGAAGTAGCTTAATTTTCGAGCACCATTTTGAACTTTGTAACGATCAAATCATATCCTAAAATACCATTCCAACAAGTCCAAGCTACGAGTTTTTATGTAGCACTAGCATTGAAAAAGGCAAGAAGAGAAATGTCTTTATTGAAACTAATGAAGATTTACAAAGAAATAATTTAAAAGATGAATAAAAAACTGAAAATAAGCTAGAAGATGATAACAAAGATTAAAACTTAAAAAGATACACACTTAATAGCTAGATAGGATTGGATGGTATTGTCAAGTATAGTTTTATTTAAATGCTTTAAAGCTTGGCGTAAGTGAAGTGTCCTCAAAGAAATTCTGAGGTTAAATTGGTATTCTCGTGTCAAAAACTAGAAATTCAGGAGAAATGATGGACTAAAAGTATCTAAAAGCAAAGAGTTATCAAAAAAATGCATTAACAAAGTTGGTAGATATAAATAAGGCGCATCTAATGGTATAAAGAGCGTAACATATCTAATACTAAGATAGTGAGCTGTCCTCTAAAAATGTGTTTTTCGTTTTTGAGCTGTAGTGTATATTTTTAGAGTACTTTTGCAAATGTAACACTTTGGGTGTATTTTATAGATATAAAGAAGCAATTCGTACCAATACATGTTATGTCTGCAATGTCTCTATCGACCACCAATCGCAAAATAGTGAGAAGTGAAGTTTTTTTAAGGATGAAGATTTATCATCAGAAAGGGGGATATAAGGAAAGAGAACAAGTGTAAGAACCATTGACTTGTCTCAAAAAGGCAGAATTTACAGATATTTGAAAGCGGATAATTTTCGGATAGCTTTGATGGCGTCGCCGAGTATAACTTGACCATCATAGAAAAGTTTTGTAAAAGGGACCATAAGGCCAAAATGACAATTTTCTGACTTTTTCAAACCTTGCTATACTTTAGTATGCTCAAACAAAGAAAACTCAAAAGAAGGGAATTAGAAGGCAGCGGGCTGCCAATCCGCCGCTAGTTCAGCTTCAGCCAACTTCAGAATGCTAGAATTCACCAGAGAAGGCAGGCTTTTCCAGAGTGTCAAATCTATATTTCTCTAGCATGGGCTTTGTGCTCGCATTTCAAATTCTTCTAAGATCTGTCGAAGACGACATTATTAAGCGAAAATGGTTATTTTGATTAACTTATAATTCATGGATGTTGTTTACTTTTATCATCCAATAAAAAATTAATTACTTTCGAAAGCTGCTTAAACTATTCAATAAGCCAAGAGCGTAGCTAGCCATCATCAAGTCTGATTCTTATCATCTATAAATGCATTAGAAACATGCACAAAAATAAACACTTTGACTCTAGAGAATGCTTCAACTGGTTCGTAGTCTAACTAGTTTGCAATGGTCTTCAGCATTGATAAAGTGTCAATAAGTCTTTTGTGATGGTTCAATAATGCTTTAGTTTTAACGAACATTTTTTATAGTTGTTTGGCATATTTGCATCTTGTCAATGGTAGTAAAGCAGCCTCTAATAAAAGCTATAGCGACACTTACATATTCTTGATAGACTTGCTATTGTAGGACAAAAATGCAGCAACAGATAAATATAGATGCCCCTAAATTTCGTTTCATTTCTTCTTCGATGGAGCTCCTTCGTTCTATCGTGAAAAGCAATAGGATGAGCTCGTTTGAGCTGCCATCCAGGCAGAGTTGTTATCATTAAGAATTTATCAAAGGAATAACATACAATACTTCTTGTCACATTCAAATTATAAAGCACATACCACTATTCTTACGGGAAATGTGCCCCTTGGTCACCAAGTGACATAAATAGATTATTTGTCTTTATAGGCACTTTGCGTTGATGTGTAGCTGGATGAAATTGAAGCCATAGATCAATAAACTCATGTTTAATGTAATCCTAATCTTTAGACAAAGGCATATAATTTTATATAGACATATGGAGGGAAGATAAGGATCAGCGTTTTGATCATGTTTGTGGTTTAAAGCCATTTTGAAAAGGCGTGAGAAAGTCTTACGCTGATATTGTCGTTTGTCTGCATGAATTATTGACCATGTTAGCCTTTTTTTGACGTAATCAAGTCCTTAGGTCTAGGCATGAGCTGTTCTTTCGAAAGACACTCTTGGTCTTTTGGTATTTTTCTCTGATGCATTCATCATGATGGGAATAGATGTATTTCATATCTACATCTGTGTGCCGCGAGGCTCAACATTGGGTTTAGAGGATCTATGTTAGACGAGTAGCATAGTAACTGTATTATCAATATCAATTTTTGCAATAAACAAGATCTTAAAGGTACCCAAAACCGCATTTCAAATTAAAAGTAGAAAAGCCTTTTATTGCACTGTACAATAGTGAATCAAGTTTTGAAAGCTTAAATAGTCTCTGCCAAGTAATAAGTAAGCTTTTTGGATAAATTATGCATATTCAGTTGTGATAACAATTGTCTATGAGGCTTCTCATCTTGATAAAATTTGACAAGGATTGGGCTGCGTGGCTGAATAATTAGCAAATCATTTAGATCTCTAAAGCAACTGCGCTTCTATGAAACAAAAAAAAATGGAGAGGGAAAAGACTAGCGTGGATATATGTACAGCAATAGCAAACACTTTGACAACCCTGGGTACTATATTACCATTTTAAATCATGCATGCCAAAGTAAGACAGCTGTATGAGGCTCCCGCAGAGGACTGCAAGTTATCGAGCACATCTAAAACGTCTAGAGAGGTACTGCCATCGGCCACTATTTTAACTTTATTTAAAGCACTCTTGATGTTTTGGATACACATAAGTCATGAGCAATGTTCTGACTCACAAGCATGAAGGCATCGAATGATATGTTGTAGATCGAAGACATGGCTGTGTGTATCTCCTCCCCTTTCCTACCCCCACCTCTGTAATCTCCTGAATTGAATCCAATCAAGCAATTTTGGTTGATTGTAAAGAACTCAACAAAAAAAAAACTAGTGACAGAAACAGTGCCTTATCGAGTGATTTGCAAGCCTTTTTTATTTATAGTGGCAAATATGTTTTTGTACCATTACACATTTGAGGACTAAACTAAATCTTGATGATAAAAAAAAAAAAAACTTCTTTGTACTACTTGTTTCAGAGAATCTACCATATGATTTGAAAAAAAGAGTGCAAATTAAAATCACGGAAGGTACAAACTTAAATTCTATTCAACACAACGCCAATGAAGTACTCCGCATAATGAGCCCTTTTCTCGAATGACACAAGAATTACGTATAAATATATAAAAGAAAGGACAAAAGGAGCAAAGAAAAAAATATTTTTTTTATCTTTTTTGTTTCTTCATTATTTTTTATATGTTAGCCTCACTGTCAAACACAACTCACAATGTCTATGAATGGCCACTCAATGAAATTGAAGAGAAGCTCATGACAATGGCTACACTCCAACTACAACAACAAGGAACCACACATCTTAAGCGTACTACTGTTCGTTGTCGTTCTTGCCATAGAAAGTTCCATTCAAAAGGAAATCTTGCTAATCATCAACAACTGTATCAACACTCTTAAAACTTCACATCTACATGCATGCATTTATACCATTTTGTAAATAAATAAAAAAAGAATTTATTGATCATGACAAGCTTATGATTGTGTTGCACAAGAACTTATTGTTTTCTTGGAACGTTAAACAAAGTCCTGAGCTCTTCTGAACTAAAGGCGTTGGTTGCATCGGGAAATGAATTGGCAATTAAAGTAGGGAACACACGGTTATTACCATGAGGATCACCTCGAGAGTACTCGAAGCCCCAGTTGGTCAAAGTAGCAGGTGTCATTTCTTTAGTCAAGATACGGTCATTTCTTAGTAAATTGACAGCATCACTTAAAATGGCTCGACCCATCGTATAAGGCAATCGAAGACCTGTTTGTTTTGTGCGTTCGACCATCAGACCTACATATAGTTCAACTCGGTCAGGTGTCCCATATAACTTCTCCAGCCCCTTTTGGACTTCAACATCCTCAGTAAAGTCTGCAAATGTTTTCATAGTCGTCAGGTTAAGAAACTTTCTGAAATCATTAAAGCTACAAATCTCCAGTGCACGGGCTTGGTTAATACCGGCAATTTCAACATGTTCCAGAGCAGCAGGCGTATTACGTCCATTACTATATAAACATGTGAGTGATTTCCATTATTTATGTACACATACTTACCCAATTTCTGATAGGGGTTGATTATAACCGTCTCTTAAACCTTGTATAATATCTGTGTCCTTGAATTTACCAGTCTGAAGATCACGGTGTGCACCAGCAATAGGCAAGCCCTTTGCTAATTCTTCGTCAGAAGCATTTACGAAATGTACATTGAACTCTTGTAAAAGTTGGTCGAAGAGGCTTTCATCTTGTGTACCCTTGTTGATCAATTCTCGGTATTCGCCAGGATGTTTTTGTTCTCGCTTTTCTTTCATTTTGTTCATCAAAAGGCTCATCACCTGATCAATCCACTCAGAATCCTTTTTACCAATACCAGCGTGCCATCGATAGATGACGTTGAATTCAATAGAGACAGCATTGCCGTAAATTGGGTTTGAAGGTGTAGCAAACGGGTCAAGAATGAAATCAGAATCTGCTGTAGTACCAATAATCGTTCGAATATAGTCATGAATAACAACATTAGCATAACAAGCATTGTTGATCAAACGTGCTGTCTGGAACAAATGTTCGTCTTGTTCTTCTTTACTCTTGAGGCGCTTTCCAGGACCATAAGAGAAACGCTCATTTTCATTGATTTCCAACAGTTTCTTTGCGATATAATTATGATTACGGGAGAACATAACCAATAGACTAGCAACACCTTTCAAAATCATAAGTATCACCCAAACAATAGGAATGACTTACCTGCAGGCTGAATGACGAGACGTTTATCAAACCATTGATCAGGTTTCAAAAGACCGTCTTTCATTTCACGCACTGACTCTTGATTTTCTTGGTTGAAACCATAAAGTGGAGAACTAGGATCATTAGACATGTATAGAATCCATAAAACTATGACTTACAGGTCAATATAGCTTGTGGTCAGATTACGCTTGGGGTCATTTGGGTCAGTATAAAACAAATCATGGGTGATAAGAATGGCCAAATAGAGTAACATCATGTTGACACTGCCTTTGTGCTCATTAAATACACCCTCAGGTCTTCTCAAGAGTTTGTCAAACACGAGTTTAGCCGAAGGTAGATTTGTATTATTAAGGCCAGTTCTTACTACAGTACGGGTATAATTCGAACCCGATTTACCCTAGTTTAGAAAAGAATAAATCACACATGAATGTGATTGAGTGGACTTACAACTTCAGGGAAAATAAGACTGTTATAACTTCCATCAGCAGTGCGGAAACTATGGCCAACGTAGTTGATAAAAGGCTTGGGGAGATCATTCTATGGTAGAATAAGTCAATGATTCTTGTTATAAAAACTTACATAAAACTGTTGGATTAATGGCTGAGTAACAACATAAATAAGGTCACTGTATTCTGGTCCCAAATTGCCTAAAATGTTCATGACAGATTCGAACGTGTTGTTACGATCGTTCACTGGCGCATTTTTTCCAAGTAATCTAGTGTGTAACAAGGGTCAATAGTCTATTTTTCGTGCTACATGGGGCTTTACCTTTCAGTAATGGCCCCTAACAACGTAAGTTGGTCTTTGATAGGCAGGGATAAAGCATCTTTAATAGCACCCGTATTGGTAGGGTTGATATGGAGTGCAGCCTTGATGTTTTGAGCCAGGGATTCCAAGGTCCATTTGAACCCTGTGGGTTGAGATGAAGGGCTTGGATCAACACGACCAGAAGAAGAAGGAGGAGAAGACTTGTTCGCCTTTAATACCACTGCACCTCCATTAGCCGCTTTGAATTGAGTAGTGGTCTTGGGAGATTTGCGCTGTATGTTTTCTGTAAGTGCATGAAAGCTTTTGATCAAATCTTCGTCTTCCATGTCATGTTTGATCTTGTCCAAAAAATCGACAAAGTAATTGCGAGGTTCAATGGGCTAAATTGAATCAATGAACTGCTATCAAGTAGCATGCAACTTACTTTAGCTACAGGTGAAGGTCCTAGCATATTTGTTTAATGCAAGAAAGAGAATAAAGAAAAAAGAAAAGAGAAAGTTTTCAAGGCGTGTTTAAATAAGTAAGAAAATAATTGCCATCCTTAGGAAGAGATCCTTCTGCTGTAACTTAACGATAGTCACTTGCATATGTGCTTGTATCATTTCGCGTACGATGATCCTTTAAAGCACCAGCATGAGACGCTTTTGATTACATTGTGGTACCCCCGTTGTACGACAATTTACGGCATGTTGTTTAAAATGGTTAATTCCTTTATTTGCATAATTTACGCAGGCTTATTCTTGACTGAAGCAAAAATAAAACCGCGTCGAGTGGTATCAGCAATGGTTTCTAATGCATGTTCATCTTCTATACTCCAACGTTCTTCTAATGGAATATCAGCTAAACCCACTGCTTTTAGTTTCTTTTTATATGCCACCCGCTTTTCTCTTAACCTATAATAGAATTTGTTTGTTTATATGTTTTGATGCAAGCAACTTGCCTTTCTCTTTCTTGATTGGATCTATAACCTGTAGTAAAGCAATACGCCGTGTTTGGTTCCATGCTTTCGTACATCTTTGAAAACAAATTCAAGAACTGTGATTGTCTTGTGTCTTCTGTTGGCTGGGGTAATTCGAACCGTGCAACCACTAATTGCTTCAAGGCATGTTGCTCCATTACCTTTTGGGCCACTTGTTCGTCATTCTCTAAACTAAAGTATCCCTTATGTTTCTCTAGTTTTTGTTTCATCAAATAGCTCAGATTGGCTCCACATTCAACGACGGCACCTGTCTGATGACTTCTGTCCAAGAAATCCAAGATGGTCTCTACCTGAGATAGGCCTGCTAAGCCATAATTGAGACCATATCGAAGCTTACGCTCCAAGAGTTCTAAACTAGCACTTGCATCTTCGCATGGATCGTGGCCCTTTTCTTCGCCTGGCTTTTTATCTTGATCACGTACCTGAATTGTCCGTTTCAGGTACCGAGTAGATAGATCGCGTAAAGAAGGTTTATAAGGTGGACCATTTTTGTGATGATAGATGATGGAAGTATCAATGATGTAAGGATGGCGCATCTTGAGGCATTTGAGATCATTGACAAGACCATGACCTACAAGAATTGTATCGCCCGTCACGAATTTCATGATTTTTTGTTGAATGTCACTTAATGTGGTTGTAATATACTTGAGTGATGCTTCATCTACACCGCTGATATGTGTTACGTAGTCTGTGATTTCTTCAGAAGGTTTGACAAGTTCGTTAATCAAGATCTTGTGTTCTCGGTCAATCAGGGCTACTCTAGTGACTGCATAACCATTGACAGTTTTACACTAACATACCGCATTAGTTTCATCGCCTTGTTGATTCGAGTTACCATTTCACAATCAAGAGCAACTAATGTCTTGGGTTCCAATCCTGTTTCAGGCAAAGTATCTACCCAGCCTTCTTCTAAACTACTTTGGGGATCTAAAACTGAAGGTATAGGGAAATCTTCCATTTTAAGTGTCTCTTTTGACATGACTAGTATCTCAGGTGCGATGGCTCTCTTATGATCAGGGTCTAGGATAGTGTCAATATCTAGTTGCTTTATGCCTCTATATACCTGCATCTTCTTCTTCACGCTTCTTTTTTATCTCTCCTTTAGATAAAGGAACTTCCAATAACTCTAAAAATCGATCATGGACTCGCTTATATTGGTCAAATCCCACTGCACTCACTAGACCTAATATTTCTTTTTCTTGTTCGCCTTGTTGAATGTAAGAATAAAAAGCACTGGATTGGAGTTGTTGATAAATGTCAGGTACGGTTGCCTTGGAAACCTGAAAGATATCCAGGGGTAAATGCATTGTGTACGGATCAAGAATAGGCACATCTATAATGATGGCTTTTTGGATAGGCGCTACACCTGGAAAGTCAGGAATCTCGGCTAATCGTGCTTGTTTGCCTTTAGGCAAAAGGGCTGTTAGCATGAGGTTACGTGCATCTTTCATGGAAGCAAAGTCATTGAAATGTTTAAAAAATAGTTTGGGATGAATAACCTTGCATAAACGATGAGTTCTTTTTTTTTCGGTTGATTGGACTCACAAGTTCATTATCTTGCATCTCAAATGTCATGCCAAGTTTACGTGCCTTGGTGGCCTTCTTTTTTTGTTTGGCAGTCAACTGAACTTCATCTGAAGTCTTTGGTTTTTTGATCTCGAGATCTAATGAATGAATAGTATGTCCCATGTCTTTTCTAATCTTACATTCTGAGCTCATGTCTGTAGCAGAAGTAGCGTGAACGCGTTTGTCCATTGAACAAAAAAAAAGGGAGAAAAACTTTATTTTAATAGCATGAAAGTGACTTGGTATTTATTAAAGCTTGGCTTTAACTTCCGTCTTGACTTGTTCTTCCAATTGTTGTCTACGTCTTTTGGCGACTACCAAAGCAGAAGCAGCTCTTGAACTGGTAGGGCGGCCGATTTGCTCTGAGATCCATTCACCTGTTTCTACCAAAGCATTCAAATCAACACCTGTCTTGAACCCTAAACCATTCAACATGTAGACAACATCTTCAGTAGCCACATTTCCCTTGGCTCCAGGAGCATAAGGGCAGCCACCAAGACCAGCTACTGAACTATCAACTACACGAACACCATACTAACGAAAAGAAACTTTAAGTATGAAATGACATAAAATATGATTCTCACCTCTAAGGCCTTCAAAATGTTAGCTAAGGCTTGACCATATGTATCATGGCAATGAACCGCAACAGCTTCTACAGGTACAACCTTAAGCACATGATCTAATAAAGTAGCCATGGACCCAGCAGTGCCTACACCAATCGTGTCACCCAAACTGATTTCATAACAGCCAGATTCATATAAATCCTGAGCGACGTCAGCTACTTTCTGAGGGTCCACAGGGCCTTCGTAAGGACATCCCAACACACAAGACACATAGCCTCTAACACGCAAATTATGCTCCAAGGCCTTTTTCAATACCTCCTTGGCTCTTGAAATTGCTTCTGCTGTAGAACAGTTGGTGTTTTTTTGATTGAATGTCTCGGTGACAGCAGCAAACAAAGCTACTTCCTCTGCACCTGCAGCTAAAGCACCTTCCAATCCTTTCAAATTGGGTGTCAATACGGGATAATAAACACCTGTTTTCTTTTGAATTGAAGTCAACACTTGTTTATTATCTCCCATCTAAAACTACATGAGAACATTGAATTTCTTTCATTTTTTTTTCTTACCTGAGGAACCCATTTAGGACTGACAAAACTTGTAGCCTCAACCACAGGCAAACCATTCTTGGCGAGTCTTTCAATCAATTCGATTTTTACTTGAGCAGGTACAAGTGTTTTTTCGTTTTGTAAACCGTCTCTTGGACCTACTTCGACAATTTTGACAAACTCGTTAGAAGCAGGACGAACAAAAGTACGCTTTATTTGTAGAGCAGCCTATAACATGTCAATCATAATGATATAAAATTTCATTATTACTTGGCTTTGAAAAGAAGACCTTGAAGCAACAAGCCTTGGAAGAAGAGTGAACCGCATTATTATGAATACAGAAAAAAGAAAAGGGATATTCACTGCCTAAATAAAATACAAATTCAAACCCACAGACGTGAGAATTTTTATTGGTTACTTGAGGTATTTTTTCCCATCAATCAAGCACCGTGTCGCCGAAAGTGTGATTAACTTTATTGTTTCTCTTCTTTCTTTCTTTCTTTCTTTCTTTAAAAAAAACATACTAAATAAACAATTGTCGAGCACCTCTTTCTTGTCAAAAAGTGAGTTCTGATTACTTGCCCATTTTACCAACTATGGCTGTATTATCAATGTTGATAGCCATGATTTTAGAGAAAAAATCTTTCATTTTTCTACAAATGCAGTAAGTCTTCATCGTTATCGCCCCAAGTATGTTACTGATAAACAATATTAAATAACTTCTAGATATAAGTGAATCTTTATATAGTATTATCTGAATGGTTCGCATTGACAAACAAAGATTATCCGAATTGGCCCATTTTTCTTGGTTGTGGGCCCCCTTAGGCTGACCTGATTTCAAATTGTTATATTTGTAATTCTAATCCTTGATGTTTATATTGACTTGACTAAAAATATGCATGATGGTTGATTTACAAACTTTGACTTGTTTAGTATCGTCATCGTTGTCTATTCATTCTGAAGAAGATAGACCAAGACCTTTACATGGACAATTGATATTAGTTGCGGCTTCCAAAGATGTTCAAACTTGTCAATACATTACAAATTAACTAACGAAGTCAACTTAGTAGAGAGCAAATAAATTGAAATACCATCTCCATGGATACTTAACTTCAAAAGATCTTTAGAAAAACGTTTTGAATACGAGCATCCCACCTTGAACCAACTACGACATCTTTTTCTAGTTCGAACATCCATTGCACCTTTCCTTTTTGTTCATATAGCATAGACTTCAGGTAGGCCGTTAATGATGGATGACTTCTAGCCATTGCTTTACATCAGTAAGAAGCTGTCTCTACGACAGACCCAAGAACCCTAAGCTCTATAAAAAATAACCCGAGCGCAAGGAACCTTCGTGTCTACGACAAAAGCCTTCTGCAAAGATAAGACGGAAGTAAAAGGATATCACACTTGTTCACGAAGTGGTAGGTCATTTTTGCAATGTCATCCTAGGGTTTGATGATGTCTACGTTGCTGATTGGTTTCCACCTTAAAATATACTGAAGGCTTCTCATGAGATAAAAGCTCTCTTGATAACAAGGGAACAAATAAGAAAATGACATGATCGTCTTTTTTGATTGGCTGGTTGAATTTTCTTTATTTGACTGAAATGATTCACGATCAAGTAATCATGGATGCCCTCTAGACGGTCCTGTTGCCTCATTCACTGTGTCCATACAGTGACTAGGCCAACAATAAGGCCCGTTAAAAGTAAACTGGCAAGGCTTGTAAAAATATTTAGCATTTGAAATGCCTGTTGTCTTTTCGACATAAACATACGCATTGTAGGATCACAAGCAAAATAACGCCAGGCACCATACCACCAAAGTGGGAAAAACAAAAATCCAAATAGAAATAGATACATGTCTTTGGATGAGAAATACACTGTTTTACTCACAGGCACCATATCCGACGGCGTTGGAATCTGTATTATTATACTTTGCTGCTCTTCTTCTTCCTGACCAGCAGGTGTATGAGGAGGTTCATGAAGTGCTTGATTGACAGCTATCATATCATGCTGATTTCTTCTGGTTCGTTGCAAGTCCAAGATGATATCTTCTTGCTCCATGTCTTGTTGAATTTTTTCATTATCTAGTTGAGGATGATAAAGGCGAATACTATCCCATTTGGTTTGCATATGAACTGTATCAATAAGGTCGTGTCGATTGTTTTTTGAAATGTTGCCAAGCCCTATGGTTGGACAAGAGCTACCTTGAGTCAATGCTGTCAAAATATTTGATAATGTCTGACGTTTTTTTTGGTTTTGTTGTCGGCTTTTGTATTTCCTGAGTGATGTGTTAGCATAGAAAGCAGCCCGAAGATCGTTGTGATATTTTTTATTAGGCAGTGATCTTTTTGGAGAAAGGAAGGCGCTTCGTGAAAATGGCGGATAAGTATAAAATCGTTTGACGCCTTTATAGGAAGAAGACAAAGGCTGTTTCTTCCGAGTCATAAAGTCTGATCTAGGACGTTGGTGAATCAAAATATCGTCTGAACTTCCATTGTTATGTGTATAGTAATAATGGCACATAGGCCAAGTACTTTGTACGGAATCAATTGTATTGCGACGTTGCATGATAAAGAAAAAGAAAGAAAGAAAGAAAGAAAGAAAGAAAAGTTGTATATTTATTTACATACAGGATTGACAACTTACAACAGGTCTTCTTCTATTTCAATTCTGATACGAATCTCCTTTTCCATCATCAAACTGATGAGCTCATTCTTTTCCTTTTCGGTCATTGTCTTTTCAAACATTTGAATACCCAATAGATAAAGTTCTTTTTTTTTGTTCTTACGAGTTAATAAACTATTTCGCCTGCTTACTTTACCTTTTGACCAAGGACATTCACGAATGGATCGATAAAAGAGAGTCTTTGCTCGTTGAATATCATTTTGCTTCATTTCAAACTCAATGTAGTATTTCCATAACAAGATGGAGGATCTGCAGTGTAACAATGAATCCCCAATTACCAGCATGAAATAACCCTTACCTTGTATGTTGAACAGCTTTTTCAAAGTGATTGCGAACAGAATTCACTTGATAAGGTTTATGGCGATGTAATTCACTGTAAATTGTACATAGCCATAAAATAACATTGGCATTTCTATGAAACCATATAAGCAAAGATGTAGGTAGAACATAAAACTTACTTTAATTTATCATTTAACAAATGCTGTACTCGATTATAGATCTTGGTTTTTGATTCATTCCAGACATAAAATGATAAAAACATAGTGTTGTTGGGAAACAAAGCAAGTGCTCTTTCCATTGCTGTACGAATAGCACTTGCTTTATGTGTTTGAGACAAAGCATGATGGTAAAGTAAAGTAGCATATTCAGTCCAGAGCATTTCAGCAGCATAACCTCGCTCAGCATGTCTTTCTCTGATGTATTCAAGTGCATGTTCATAAACAACTTGAGCACTTGAAATACCACTTGACAGGTATTCAAATAACCCACAACATACAATAGTATAAAATGCTGCTTGTCTTTCTTCCTCTGATTCTGAAAGTGTAGATAATTGTGCTATTCTCTGAGAAAAATACTATAGGCTATGATAAGTACAATACTAAAAGCTGTCTTATTTTACCTCTCTTGCTCGCAAAATGGATGTTGTTGTTGGTGATGGCGTATTTTCATCTAATGAGTGATGTAAGTAAGGAGTAACCAGCATGTTAGTCATTACCATATGGCTTATTATTTGACATGGATAATAAAATCTTGAGTGCTTCATTGGGCCTATTGTCCTCTAATTCGAGTTTGGCAAACATGCTGTGCAATAATGGTGCAGCTGATACTTGCTGCATGTCGTACATCGATAATGCAGTTAAATAGACCTTGCGTGCCTAAATAAGGAGAGAGAGAGAGAGAGAGAGAGAGAGAGAGAGAGAAAGTGAGCCACTGACAAACATGATGCGTCTCTTTACCTCGCTTATTCTATCATGGCTTTTTTCCATTTGTGCATATGCATTCCAAAGTTTTAGACTGGCTCTATTGTCCTTGAGGAGACTTTTAGCTAACCGACGGCCCCTATGTGTATTGTTTAGTGTTTACCAAGTATTGATTCTTGCTTACAGTTTTTGTCCACAACTTGATTCAAATGCCAAATAACAAATCATCAAGTGTTCATTTTTTTCAATAGCAAGAATCTGTTCAAATGCATTTCTATTGTGTCCAATAAGAATCAAACATAGCATTTTTGTTATATACGACTTACCTTGTAAACTGTTCATCTACGTTACAATGAATAAACTCTTTTCCAGACGCCTTGAACCAGGATCCAGATTTGGCAAATAATTCAGAAATTCCCACAGGATATGAATTGGGTATAGAATAAGGATGGGCAGCAGCCGTTGTATGTTCAGGATTCATAGGAACACCTGCAACGTACCATAATAAATGCCTGGCGTTGCCTTTGTCTTGTGGCCAGAAATCATGCAATGCTAAATCATTGTGTGTAAATGTGTCTGTGAAAAAGTGTGTGTTGGTTCCTATTTCTGGTGGTGTATAAGGCAATCCCAAAAAGACAAAAATACTATAGATCAGACTGTAGCGTGCATCAAATGTCGTAATGTTAAACAAAAAGGGCTTGACGTCTTCAATCAAAGGAATACGAAAAGGGTCAGTATCTTCATCTTCTGCTTGACTCATACGAAGAGGCAATCGATGTGTGTTTTCTTGAGCTTGTTCAGCATGAAGCCAATCTGTCAATGTCAATATTTCGTCTTCTTCCTCATCATTCTTCTTTTCTACAGTGACTTCAGGTACATCTTCCCCATTGTTTGTCTTGCGATAATACTCTGCCCAGCCCAAAGCGCCTTTCTCGCCAAACCGAAGTACTTCACTCTCCCAAAATTCAGTAAACCAACGCTTCTTTTGTTCTAATCCTGTCATTTCAAAGATACGTGGTTGAAACAGATTGAATTCAACAGCTGCTTGAAGAATAGCAAATGCCTTTTCTTGATATCCAGATTGCTTCACAAACAAGCATGCTCTTAATAAGATATAGACCATAATGGATTCAATGTCTTCTTTACGTTCTCCATGAGCTTGTTGAGCATATTTGCCAAGCACAGCCAATGCATCTTCAAATACATGCACACACTGTGTAAATGAGAAACTAGCAAAATTGGTTTGTCTTAAATTGATATAGTCAGACCATAGTCGAATGGAATCAGGATGGTCCTTGAGGACTGTATCCCATTTTCGAAGTAAACGAATAGTCTCCCATACTTCAGCACCACAGGCGAGATAGGCATGGATTAGTTCTTCACTTGTTGGATTATGGTCCAATGCTTTCTCAAAAATACTGAGCTTCACTTCATTCAAACTAGTACGGTTCTTTTGGCTCGTACTGGCCGTTGGGTCAAGACCGCGGGCTGCTTCATCTTGAAATTGAATAAATTCAAGCCAAAGAGATACATTCTTAGGATTCTGGTCCAATGCTCGATTGTATTCAATGGTGCGTCGACGCATTTGATCATCAAAACTTTCACCCTCTTCTTCCACTTCTTCTTTTTCTTCTATATGCTTGACTTTGTTACCTTCAATAGAACGATAGTCTACATCACTTGAATCCCATAAACTATCTTTATCTGGTTTAATACGAACATCATCAAATTCAATTGTATGTCTATTGGATGCAAACGGATCAGGCAAATCAAGGTTAGGTTTGATATGAATCTTCTTTAGTGATTTGTCTAGTTCTTTCCAAGCATAATCTGAATCTGTGTATCGTTTGGATACCTAACAAGCGTCAGTCTCTATTGTGGCAATATATTGCTTTACTTTGCTGTCTGATTTATCCAATAAAGTCACTTGGCCAGATTTTGATTGAGAGCCATCAATGCGTTTAAAGGGTGGTAATCCAATCACTGAGCCTCCACCCATACGCTTAAATGTAGGTACAGAATATACATGATTGCTACCATAAGTTAAATTATCTTGGTCGCCTCTCTTGTCCATGACAAAGGTGAGTCCAGTCGAAAGTGTACCACTATAAATCAACTAGTTAGACATGCATTGTGGTTGTATGAATCTACTTTACGTATGCACTATTTCTGGTGAACGTTCTCGTTTAGACTAATGGAAAAAAACAACGTTCAATCAACTGCATTGGGCTAGTCATAGTTACCTTGTGGCGTGAACTAGGTGAGCGAGAACGCTTTCTATGTGATCGGCTGCTTTTGGTAGGAGACCGTGAGTGATGTCGACTGCTTTTATATGAACGTCTAATAGGAGATCGATCTCGGCGATGACGATGTGATCGTTTCTCATCTGGTGATCGTTCTCGTCGTCGCTTTTTGTCGTCGCGTTTTTTGTCTAAGTGGAATGTGAATACTGTATTCCTGTTTGTGTTAGTACCTTCTTGTTTATTGAGTGAAGAAAGGTCAGGTGCACTCGAGAAAGAAGGAATAGGTAAAGAAAGTGCCGAAGAGAAGGAGGGTGGCGGTGGTATTTCTTTAGCAAGTGCCTACACATAATTCATAAATAACATACTTTATGTGTGTATATCTCGTACTTTCTGATGATTATCTGAACTCATGGTGGAACAGGGAAAAAGGAAGCGTGAATTCAGACATATTGCTTTTTTTTTATACCGGAGTGCATTTTTCCGGTTGTTTATGCTACGGTTTATTTATTATTTATTTACAAGTTTTACCAAGGAAGAACATTTCCTTCAAAATCAAAGTAACCACCATTGTCCTTGACAGTGGCATTCTCAATCTTTGCGAGTTGACCAGAAACAGAGTCTTGAGGTTCAACAGGTGCACCATCGCCTCCCATGTCTGTCTTGACCCAACCAGGATGAGAAGCATAGACAATAAAATTTTCTTTTTCAAGCACATGAGCTGTTACGCGAGTGAGCATGTTTAAAGCAGTCTTGGAAATGTTGTAGTCAACAACACCACCATTAGGATTGATTTCGTTTATCTTGGCAAGTGAACCCAAGATAGAAGAGATATTGACAATCTTCTTGACCTTGTCTTGACCACGTTTACGAAGCAAAGGCAAGAAAGCTTGGGTGGCTTCAGAAGTACCACAAACATTGGTTTCGAAAGTCTTTAAAAGGTCAGACTTGGAAACAGTTTCGGGGTTGATGCTAGATTTGCTGCCAATACCAGCATTATTGATAAGCACGTCAATACCTTCAGAGGCGTGCTTTTCAATTTCCTTAACAGCAGCCTAAACACATGGTTACTGAATTTCTCTCTCTCTCTCTCTGTTCTTTTTTGTTACCTTCAGTGACTCTTCATTTGTCGTGTCGAGTTTGACAGAAAAGACTTTTTTGTTATCGACGAGTTTTTGAAGACCTTCAGAGGCATCAGGGTTACGAGCACAAGCAAATACAGTGTTGCCCTTAGCAGCAATTTGACGAACAAATTCAAGGCCAATACCACGAGAAGCACCAGTAATAACGTAAACAGAAGACATAATGAAGATAAATGAAATAAAAAACAAATATTATTTTTGAAGGGTTTTTTTTATTTATACAGTCAAATGTCGAAATGTCAGAAATAATTGTCGAATCTAGAAAAATATATGTCATAAGCTTGTCACTTTGGTTAAAAATAATTGTCGGAACTAGCTAACTAAAATTGGCAGGAAGATTGCGCACATCTTCTGCACCTGTCCTTCTCTCTTCCTAGATATAAAAGCTATCTAAGCTTTCTTTCTTTCTTTGCTTTCTATTCTTCACTTTCAAAACAAAAAAAAAAGAGGGCACTACTAAACAAAATGGAATATTCTTATGATTTCTTCCCTCAATTAAACACATTTATGTCAAATCAAACACAATTATCAACTTATACTCAATGTGAAATGCTGTCATATCCGATTGATTCCGTCTTGGATCATGGTCATTCAGTCTACTGCCAGGACAATTACACTTATCAACAACAAAAAAGCATTTTGGAGTCACAAGTCAACTTTTCTCCTTCCACTACATATCAACAGCAATCGCTTGTATACCCCATCTATAACCAACCATACTGCCAACCTCAGCAACCGAGGAATAACAACATGTACTATACAGTAGCTCCATCTACATCTCCTTCTCCTGTTTTCTCCGAGACATATCAATCTGCAAATGATACGAGCCAACATTTTCTATTGCCAATAGATCAACGAAAAGCAAGCCCTCGACGTAATTCTTTATCGTCTTCCATGTCTTCCCCTTCATCATGCTTCTCAACTCTTTCCTCTTTTACAACAGAAGAAAAACCTACTAAAGCGTCCTCTCTTTTCCGTTGTGAATATATGGGCTGCACTAAAACATTTACACGTACATACAATCTCAAGTCGCATCGACGAACTCATACAAATGAGAAGCCTTTTGCATGCAAACTGTGTCCTAAAGCTTTTGCAAGACAGCATGACTGCAATCGTCATGAAAAACTTCATTCAGGATCAAAACCTCATCCATGCAAATACTGTAACAAGTCGTTTGCAAGACAAGATGCATTAAACCGACATTTAAAAAGAGATAAAAGAAGCACCCAAAACAAAGGAGAAGAAGACCATTTACAGCCTCCACCATGCCTCTTGGCTAAATTGAGACAGAAGCAAATGGCAGCGTTAAAGAACAAAAAGAAGAAGAACGTTTAGTCTCACTTTCTTTTGTCTGGATACAAGAGAGCCCTATTATATATATATATATGCATATACTATCAATTTTCATTAGATTATAATATTCTTATTCGTCTGTATGTTTATTATTATTGTTTTTCTATTTCAGTGTTTAAATATATTCTATACGCATAAACCAATGTATATCTTTTTGACTGCTTCTCCTCGGTTTTTGCAAGCTTTTTCATTGCCTTTTTATGACACGTGTCTAGTAAAAGACAAAAAGACTTTTATTATATATCCAGAAAACAATCTCGTTGTATCACTCTTTGTTTCAAGGCATGTTCAACAAGCAAGGGAAGGAAAGGGCTTTAGAGTTTGTACGACACTCGCGCGCCTTCATCATTTTGATGTCTTACAAAAAGTATTGCTGATCTTCTCCTGAATTTCATATACATGTCTTCTTCCCCAAAAAATTCATTTTAATCAATAATAGAGTTTGAAATCATTTTTGGCATCTTCCTACCTCGGCAAGTATTACTTGTTTATTGTGGATTTTTCTGTGGTACAGAAAGGATTACTTTAGAAAGGAATTGTGACAAACTATTCCGAGACATCATGCTTTGGCTGTTACTACTTTATTCTTAGCATTTGGGATTTATATCTCGTTTTTTAGCAAAGCAGTAATAAGCTCACATTAAATATTGAATCTTGTCAAATTGTTCCAATGTTTGATGGTGATTCATAACGTAAAAAAACAAGAAAAAGTTGATTTACACAGTCAGAGTAATCGTGAATTATGAGTTAATTTATTGGTCTGAAGCAATGTATATCCCGTGTAACTATGTGCTCCCATCAACAGAAGCATGGACATTGATAAAGACCTCTTTTATCCTATTATGTGTTTCATCACATCTTGTACAATTGTTAGAAAAAAAGAATCTCAACTAGCAATTATGAGTCCACTTTATTGTAAAAAAAAAATGAAATTCTAAAAATTAAGCAGAGCATGAGATAAATAGATAACATTTATATTGTTACTTACATCAGATTATGAGGAAGAGCAGAGAATAGAAGGGTGACAGATATTAACCAGTATGTGTAAAATATTTACATGGATATGAGGAAGTAGTTGAATACCACTATCTTACCAATTCCACAATTGCTTCAAATCATTATATACATACTGCTACATGCTTGATCGACAATATGACTGACCAATGCTAAGCTGTGATTGATGCAAATAGTGGCTACATCAAACATTAGTCCTTTCTCTCTTTTTTTTATGTTAAGCAAACAACCTAAGCTTTTATTCTACACGGTTTATAGTGTTCATCTATTATGCCTGGGGGAACTTGTTCAAAGATGGAAAGTATCCAATTTTTATTTGGTTTCCAATATTTTTTCTGCGTGATTGTATATCTCCTATCATATTCCTTAGCGCATGAATGGATCAATTTGGTGTCATTTATGCCTGGCCAATAAGAAAGCATAATATTTCTTTATTTATTTGTTTCTTTTTGCGTTGAAGGGGCAAGCTTTTCATTTTGCATCAAAATCTCAAACTCTTTTTCCTTATTATTATCATTACCATGACAAATCAGGATCATTGGTCTGCTTCTAACTATGCCAAACATGCTTCTTTTGTACCTAAATTAGGCTCAATTATTCTTGATATGCTGGACCCACAACCGAACGAACACGTACTTGATTTTGGTTGCGGCGACGGTATTTTAACAGAAAAACTTGCCACACGTTGTCAAAAAGTCACAGGGATTGATGCCAGTCAGGACATGATTCATAGTGCCGTTGAGCAGCAAAAGGCTAGTAATATTGGGTATCATGTTGTCGATGGCTACGATCTTGATACTTGGTTTAATCAACAGAAATTATCCCATTATGATGCTGTCTTCTCAAATGCTACCCTTCATTGGCTAAAGAAAGACCCTGTGAAAGCAATTCGAAATATTCATCAAGTATTGAAGCCCCAAGGTCGTTTTGTTGCTGAAATGGGTGGGTTTATGAACGTTGGAGGTGGGTTGATTGTATAGAATGATTTTTATTTATTCTTTACATATAGAGATGCATTCTGCTTTGATTGCTGGTTTAAACAAAAGAGGATTTGACGGTCAAGCCATTTCTCCTTGGTATTTCCCTTCAGATGAAGCCTACACTAAACTGCTTGAAGAAAATGGTTTCCGTGTAGTTGAAGCCCAGTTGGTGCCTCGTATGACAGTCCTTAATACAGATATTGCTGGCTGGATTGAGACATTTGGTTTTGAATTTTTGAAGCCTTTAGCTACTGAACAAGAGCGCAAGCAACTTGCTCAAGAAGTGCAAAACTATCTCCAACCTTGCTATCAAAGACAGGATGGTAAATGGGTCGTTATGTATGTCAGACTTCGTGTTATTGCAACAAAGAATTAAATTTATTTTGTCATGAATTAAATAATGGCGTATGTATAAAAAAGAGAAAAGGAGGGCGTATATGTGTATGTGTGTATGTATGTGAGTGATTGTATGTGTATTTAGTATTGTTTTGTGATTATTCCTTGGCTCGAGTTTAAGCTATATCTATTTTTCTCGAATTGTTCAGAGTGGAAGAAGGCTTGAATATCTTGAATGTTTAATCCCTTTGCTCTAGATTCAAATTCTGCAATGGTTACTGTAATTTCTGATGGAAGCTTTCTATAACGAAGTTGGTACAATTTCCGCTTTTCAGAGCAGATATCGTCTAATGCAGCGAAAAGTAATTCATTGTCATCGCGGGAATCTCTAATGAATTTAAAGAAACGCTACAGAGAAACATTAGCCCTTCTGGATTTACTATATAAATATAGACTTACTCTACGAAGCACCTTCATCATACTGAACTTTTGAGCATTAATAAAACTATCCAGGGCTACACGAATAGCCATATCAACATCATCTGAACGAACATATTCTCTTAAATGCATCTTGGCATTAGCTTCAGCAAGACGAATCATAGATTCCAAGTGACGAACAGTAATCGGAATACTACCACTAGCAAGAGATTCTCTTCTCAATTCGGAATAAAGACGAGACAACTTGTCTTCATCCACTTGCTGAAGCTTGGGATGAATCTTTTCGCGGGCATACATGATGTACTTCTTTAACAAATCTTGATCAATGATATCAGCATCCTTTGCACCAGGTTGAGCGAACTTTCCATCGGCATCATTGTGAAGTGGGTGACTACGGATATGACTGCCAATGACATTGGTAGCCAAAGTGAGATCTTGTTCAGGATCAACCAAGTCCTTGACAACACAAAGCACATCAAAACGAGATAAAATAGGTTCAGTCAATTCAACATTTTGAGAGAAAGGGATAGAGGAATTATAGCGACCGCGAATAGGGTTAGCAGCAGCCAAGACAGAACATCTAGCTTGCAAAGTAGTAACAATACCTGCTTTAGAGATAGAAATAGATTGTTGTTCCATAGCTTCGTGGATAGAAGTACGATCAGCATCGTTCATCTTGTCAAATTCATCAATCAAGCAAACACCACGATCAGCTAATACAAGAGCACCACCTTCGAGTGTCCATTCACGGGTGACAGGATCTTTATGTACAGAGGCAGTCAAACCAACTGCACTAGCACCTTGACCAGTAGTAAAGACAGCACGATGAGCAGTCTTTTCAACATATTTGAGGAATTGAGACTTGGCAGTACCTGGATCACCCAACATCAAAATATTGATATCACCACGAATGATATGCTTGCCCTGAATGTTTTTGGGAACACCACCAAACAAGGCCAAAGCAATAGCACGCTTAATATCATCATGGCCATAGATAGAAGGTGCAATACTCTTCATGATCTTCTTACCAATACGTTTATCTTTGCCCATAGCCAAAATCTTGCTAGTATCATCTTCAGTCAATCGATAAGCTGCAAACATGTCTTCCTTTTTGCTAATAAAGTTGGCTTCAATAATAGTAGCAAACACAGGGAAACCGTTCTTCGTACTAAGAGAGGCATCGAAATTATTGCGATAAATACCAATTACTTCCACTTCTTCACCAGGCTTGGCTTGATCAATCAAGTCCCAAAGACAAATCACTTCTCTATGACGAGGTAAACGGCCAGGAGGGACAGTACCAGGAGATTCTTGAATGGTCAATTTTTGATAGTTACGATACACAGTTTGCTCCATATTAATGTTGAATGGACCTCTGCTTTGACAACTGGGACAAGCATTGATTTTGATCTCATTATGAATGTCTTGATAAAAGGGACCCAAAAGAGCTGTACATTTAGCACAGTTATACTTTACCCATTTGAGTTGAGGGAAGACACCTGTACGGCGTGTGACTACACCAGACACACGAACCAAAGTATTGAGATGATATTGTCTAAGTTCACGCAATGTATTCTTGACTGGCAAGTCTGTAATACGCACATGAATTTCACGGTGAATACGCTCGTAAGCAGGGAATTGCATCAATGTCACTTCTAAAGCAACTTCATCAAGAATTTTGAGCATGGCAATGGGTGTGTTGGATAAGAAATAGGCCAAAATAGTCTTGTCAGAAGCAGACAAATTTTCGTAATTAACTTCAAATGATTCTTTGTTGCGTTCACCCATATCTCTGATACGTTCACCATAAACAGAAGTACCGTGCTCATCAACATATGTTTGTAAAAAGTCCTTAAATTCACGCTTAATTGCTCTACGTACAGGTTCTCTGTTGATCCATGTATCAAGTGAAGTATCTTTGACATTACCAAGATCTGTCAGAGACATTTCAGGCTAATTATTTGTAAAATTAGACATCAACCAACGCGTGAATTAAGTACTTACAACACCATCATCATCTTGGTCGAATTGTTCAGCTTCATAAATATGACGATGTCTTCTCACAGGAGGCAAACTGTCATTGGCTTCGTCATCCAAACCATAAATAAAAGCGCCAGCTACTCTTCCTTCTCTTCTTCTAATTTCTACATCACGTCTGTTTAAATTGTTATCAAGTGCATTACGTGCTCCAATATCAAGAGGTTCATATTGATTGTCATCAACACCTTCAGCTTCGTAGTTATCAAGTCTTTCATTGGGAAGATAATCTCTACAAACGATATGAATAACATGACATTTGTGAAAAACATCAATTTTACCTTTCAACGTCTTGAAAGATATCAATACCATCCTCGTCGTCCGAGCCATGGATGCTTTCGTTACCAGCAAAGGAGTTATCAACAAGGTCATCTTCTTCTGCTTCGTTTCGATAGTCAGCTTCAGAAAAGAAAGGAGCGGGTGAGGAAGGGAATAAAGAAGAAGGCTCAGGTGAGTCACCCTCGTTATGAGCGTCACTATTTCTTCTTCTTTTACGCTGGGTGTTTTGGTTTGACTAGAAAGTGTGTTAGTTGAAGCTCTACTCTGCTAAAAGACTTGCTTCATACCATATTTTTTTATTATTGAAAAATAATAAAGGAACAAAAATTTTTTTGAACGCGTCTTTCAGAAAACTAAAACATCGCGACTAGGACTGCTTTTTCAAGTTTGTGTTTAATAATGCAAACCTTCAGACGCAAGGCGAACTATAGAACAGTTAGGGTAGTCATGACAAAACAAGAAAGCAAACTTACGGTATAAGTTGAGAGTAACAGCCATAATTATGGAGACAGTAAGAACAGCAGGGGCATACTTGTCAGAAAAATCTCCCGTTTCTTTACGCAAGATAGAGTTGGTTCGCACATGATAGTTGTACAAGGCATAAAACATAACACCCACAGATAAAGCAGTAAAAGCCATTGCGGATATATATCCTGTATGATCCGAAAAGTTTAACAAGCCAATAGACAAAGCATTCATTAGAATGGTGAAGCGCAGCCAATGAATAAATGTTCGTTCATTTGCCATAAATGTCTTTGGAGGAGCAGCCATTACAGGCACAACAGCACGAGGACGAGTATGCGACGATGTACTTTGGTCTTCTCCATTGCGAGATTGATACTGAGACAATAATGGTGTTGTTTCTGTATCCCTAGCTTCTCGCATAGGAGGATTAATTTGATTCAGTCTATGAACACCAAACGTTTTACTTTCAGGTTTGCGAATATCAATCTCCATTTGTGGTAACCAAAATGGCAAGACATTGATCTTGTCCTCCAACAAAGTAACACAGCCATGAATAAACTTTGAAAATTTCGGTACAGACTCAACAAGATGTGAATTCACAAGTTCAATGATCCATTGAGGGGGTTCTTGACCCAATTGTGTTTGTAATTTGACTTCGAGGACAGCATAAGGAAATCGGCACACATCAGTATCAGGTAACTGCGAAAAGGGATAGTCAATACCAATATCCATACGACGCCAATTATCACCCGATCGAGCAACATCATCGTTATCTTCACGAACCATGGTCAACTCAGTATCAAGACTGATGCGTACACGAGCATCCCCAGGTAATTGAAAGGCTGTACGATGGTAGAAGGTACGTACCATGGGATGAAGACGTTTTATCAAGACAGTGTATTGAACTTCTCGTGCCAACTGTTCCATGTCTTTTATATCTTTATCTGTCCTTCCTTGATCTTTGGATTTGGCAAACAATTTATCAGTGGTATACTCGCCTTTTAGAAATGAATTCAGGTATTTCTCCTTGATGGGGAACCGAGCCTTGACAGACTTCTCACCCGTCCAATCTTCATGATGTGTCTTGCGCTCTACAAAAATAGTTTTGGTATCCATACCACCATACCATCGCATACGAATAGCTTCTGCTCCTTCTGATTTTTCCAAACGTCCCATATAGAGTTCAAAGCCATCATTATCATAGTAAATGCTGCTAATAGCAGAATCTTGCGGCTCGAATTCTTTACTTGGATTGAATACCAAGACAGGCAGATGTTTGAGTATAAGCAGCTTCAACTCTGTTACATTATCAGGATGTACCCTTTTCTAGAATGAGTAAATACTAAACAGATGCTGTATAACATTACCAATATTTCGTTGTATTCCTGACAAATGCTGATTGTTTTCCACTTGCACCTGTACCACCATCTCTTTCTTTTCCTCTTGTTCTGACATGGTCGTATAAAGACGAAATACGAATAATCAACGCCTCATAATTTTCTTTGTAAAACGGCTTAGCATTTAGTCGAACACTAAACATTGGCTTTATGATCCAACCAGTGACTTTCTATTGGTTATTTTATCAGCCATATGTATGAATTGTAGACATCAAGCTCACGTCATGTTTTTTCATGATTTTCAAGAATCCTGTGTAGTTGAGACGAGTGAATTTAGCCAAGTCATGCACATCAGCAATAATTTGACTCAGTTCAACCTCACTTGCTGTAAACTCGTCCTCTTGAGGAGTTTGCTTTTTACACAAGACATCGACTTGTTTGTTTTCTTGTTCAATGCGTGTAGTAATCTCATTTAATTTTGCTTGTTGAAAGCTATACACTTTTTTCAAGTCCTTTTCTAGCATTTCGATAAATTGAGACTCATCTTCTTCTGTCCAACCACCACCACGAGATTTTTTTTTGAGAATCGCTTTCAAGCCGTCATAATCTTTGAAGAGTCAGTTTGCGGTCTATTGTACCATACATGCCTAAGTAATATTGCGTCCATTCTGGATACAATGATGTTCTTAAAGTGTGACCGAATTTCATTATTTATGCAGAAAAAAAAGAAAAAAGAAACAAAAAAAAAAGGATGAGAAAGCAAGTAATTTAGTTTCTGATTCGATAAATTAAGTGTATTTTTCATACGGTAAAACAAAAAACCTTTTCGTATAAACATTGGGTCTATATTCTGTTGCACTCAAAGTCGGTTTAGTCTAAGGCTCAAGTGAGTGCTTGAGTTTCCGATATGACATTTTTATGTGTGACAAAAGTTTCAAGAAATGAGGGATTGTAATGATCAAAAGCTCAATTGTACAGTCGCCTATTAAAAAAGAAGTGTTATTTGAAATATCGCCTGAATCCCAACTTTCCTTTCTCTCTCCCTTTCAATGTTGACTGCAAGCTTTAAATCACCACAACGCAAACGATGGAAGAAAGATGAATTAATTGGAATATTTTTTTCCAATATGGGAAGAGATCTGCAATCGGTTGCGCTGTGGTGAAAGAATGGGAAGGATGGACTTGGTCTTCTTTTCATTTTACAAGAATACGCTTCGAATTGTAGCAAAATTACTGTTTCAATATCCTATTTCAAGAAATTCTTTTGAGTAGGGCAACGTGCAACAACAAGGACATAGAAAGCAAAAGAAGTTATTTAAAATACAAATTGCCCCTTCTTCTGTGGTGTTACATTTCATCTGGCTAATTTTACTCATTCGCATTATTTTTGGAAACCTTTCGGACACAGTTGACAATAAAAATGGAAACACAGTTTGAGAGAAAATCACCACTGTCCTAAATGTACGAAATGCTTCTATTGAATAGGCTAAGCAATTAATGTTTCATTAGAAAATTGCAACCTTTGTGTTTACCGTACTTATTTACAAAGTCATCACAATGAAATCAATACCAATTGATAAAGAGTATATCATAATCAGAAATAACAATGTCAATCGAATCTTCCTATCTAAACTTTCTTTGAGCATAATCAGCCATTGTCACTGTTTTCCCATAAACTTGAAGGTCATGTTGCTCAAGGTAAGCGCACCTTAAGAAAAAACAAAAGACAGCGTCTAGTAACTTAACTTCGGATCTTACTTGAATATATAATAATGTCAATTCGATCCTTCGTATTTTCATAATCAGGTACTTTATGGGCCAAATAAACACCTGGAGATGGATATCATTTATGGTTTTGCCTCCTTTTTTTCTATATATATTCTCAATATGCTCATTTATTTCGATGTAGGTAAACAATATACAAAGGAAGCATTTTATTATGTTTCAATTCCCTCTCCTTATCTACAATGAGTCTTAAAAGTAAACCAGAAAATTTCTGAATGAAGTATAAACAAGAAAAATGGAGATTGTATTTATCCGTATTCAATGCCGCCAAAATACTCATGCCAAGGAACAAACTGTTTATCTTAACAACTTGTTTTTCGTGATTCTTTATCGAGTTAGCTATATTCTTTGACTTATTTGCGTAACATTTAGCTACTATTAATGCATCTCTCTTGTCAGGTTAAAAAGTTTGTGCATTCACCACGCACTTTTTTTTCAATCTCCTTCATCTTGAATAAATGACAGCAACGATGCAATAAAAAAAACATTACAAGTCAAATTAGTTTTATATGAATCACGTGCAAATAGACATCCCAGTTTATTTATATGATAGAGTTTCAGTAGGATACTAAATAGAGGTAAAGCTTCATGTTGTCATAATCAAAATAAACCTATTGAAAAATCCAGCAATCGGGTATTGTAATAAAAAAAAAAAGTAAGGGTTCAAAAATAAGGTTTAATTTTTATGAGTCCAACAGAATGGATTAAATGACATAGATTCTCGGTTGAAGAAGCATACAGATATGTTTGGGTGATGTTGTTTCTCAATAATCAATAAAAGACAATACGAGAAGACGAAAAAGAAAAAGAATGAAACGAGAGAGAAAAGACAGTATTTAATCACCGATTGAGAGCGATAGAGAAAAAAAAGTTTCTATTTTTTCTCGCTCTCTTTTTCTTCTTTTTTTATTACTCTTTAAAAGAAATACATATTAGTTGAATATATAAGAAGTACCTCTTATATTTCAATTCTACTCGAGAAATACATCATTTATATTATAAGGAAACATATAGTAGACATATAATACTTCTTTTATCAAAAGAAGGATGGGTTTATGTCATTCTACCGAGGAAGACAACCAAGAACACCGGCGCAGCAATGAAATTGACAGGCTTATCGAAAAAGAGCGAAATAGACGAGAGAAAGAGTTCAAAATATTATTGTTAGGTAGCGACACTTTTTTCCCCTTTAGCAATCAAAACTTATTGCTAAAAAAATATTAGGCAGTGGCGAGTCTGGAAAGTCAACCATACTGAAACAGATGAAGATCATAAACCTGAATGGCTATTCACAAGACGAACTCTTCACTTGGCGTTCAACTGTATACAGAAACGTAGTGGAATCAGCACAAACAATTATCCAAGCGTTTGCTGAATCTGGTCTTTCGTTTCAAACGCCAGAACTAAACGTAAGATTGAAACAGTTTACATAAGTTTAAATATTGAACTGCGCACATGTACAATTTAGGATTACATTGATCGTATGTTAGCTTATCGAGTGTCAGGAAACCCAAAAAGTCAATTAAGTCCTGAAGTAGTTGCGTTTGTCAAGTTATTATGGAAAGATCCAGTAGTCAGGAGCTCATTTGAGAAGCTTGAAAAGAAATATTATATTATGGATTCTGCTGCCTAGTAAGAAAAATCTGTTTATTTATGCACACGTTATTAATTACCTTTTCTAGTTTTTTTGACTCGATTGAACGCATAGGACAAGCAAGTTATCTACCAAACGAACAAGATGTCTTGCGGGCAAGACTTAAAACTACTGGCATCACAGAGATACAATTCCAGCTGGGAAGCTTAATGATACAGTAAGTGTATAATTTCGTAACATGTGAGCTTAATTCCCTTTTTAAGTATGTTTGATGTTGGTGGACAACGGTCAGAACGGAAGAAATGGATTCACTGCTTTGACTCTGTGACATCAGTCATTTTTTGTGTAGCATTAAGCGAATATGATCAAGTCTTGCTTGAAGAATCAAACCAAGTAAGTAGAACAAATGTAAAGCGACAAATAATCCTAATGATTGTAGAATCGCATGATGGAAAGTTTAGCATTGTTTGAATCGATTGTTAACAGCAGATGGTTTATTCATTCTTCAATCATGCTGTTTTTAAACAAAGTTGACATATTTAAAGCAAAAATAGCTGGATCACCACTAGAAAAGTTTTTTCCTGATTATGGAGGAGGAAACGATGCTAACAAAGCAGCCAAATACATTCTCTGGAGGTTTTTACAGTGCAACAGAAATAAGCTAAATATTTACCCACAGTAAGCACTAGTTTTGTCTATATATTGTTTTTCTAATCCTATTATTTAGCCTGACACAAGCAACAGATACATCAAATGTAATTTAAAAAAAAAGTGTATCACAACCTTGTTCCCTAACTCTTTATAGATTAGATTTGTGTTTGCAGCAGTGCGAGAAACATTACTGCAAAATGCGCTTCGAGATTCTGGCATGCTTTAAACTCATTATTTTATTTACTAGTACCATCTAATTCTGTATAGTTTTTATCAATCTATTTACATATCACCCTTCCACATTATCTTGTCTGTCTCCATACTTGTCTGGTTTGTTCCGAAATGAAAAGACCATAATAATTCCATCACTTACTGAAAAGATACACAATTAATATAGTTTGTATATTTCTAATCTAAAAGACTTTGTCTTTCTTCCCCTTTTACACTCCATATATACCTTCTTTTTCTTTTCTACATCTTTCTTAAATAAATATCTCTTGATATTATTAATCATCCTATATATATAGTGTATAAGAAAAAAGCAGTATAGTTAAAGCGGCATCTTTGTGTAAAGAAATCATTATAGTTTAAGCAACTGAATACACTAAGCTCATCGTTAGTAATAGTAATAGTTTTTTTTTTGAGATAAAAATGAACTTCGACAAGGAATATGCAAACTTCTAGATATGATTGGTTATATCAGTACCTTGACGGGCGATGCTTATATTGGCTTCAACATAGCTCTATCTTTAGACCTACAAAATGGATACTCAAACAAAAGTTTCTATTTGGAAAATCGAGCCTGTTGTTATTCCTAACTCAAGTTGCATAACAAATGACTAACATCCAATTCAAGGTTAGAACTTGTAGTTAAGCCCTAAATTGTGGTGCTTTTATAGGCCAACGTTTGCTTGCAAATGCATATATTGCTTTGTCTGTTTATCTAATATTATTATGACAAGTTCAAAGCAGGTTTTTATTTTAGACATAAACTTATATACTTATTTCGATGTATAGAAAGATTGAATCAAACCCAAATTGGAAGCCTGCCTGTCCACAAAGATTTTATTTGATGTTGCTTTCTACTGGCAGACAAATACACCTTTGTCGAAAAGTCAAGAAATGTAGTTTTTTTTTGCCACTTGTTCCTTTTTATGGCTGAGTTTTTTGATTTGTTTCAATTGTAATCAATGTCATACAACAGTGTGCAATAAACGCCAAAATTTAAGTTTCACTCTTCACATCAATCAGTTTCTTCTTCCTTACTCATCATGAGCAACGATAACGAAAAAGTGATTTGTAGTATATGCATATGTAGCCTTGCTTGTCAAGATGATTCCTCTGTTGTCACTCAATGTGGACACGTCTATCATATTACTTGGTCAGTATTCTTTATAATTGATATCCAAGGCTAACAAGGATGTCTCAATTAGCATTAACACTTGGCTAAGACAGCCATCAAAATGCCCTCTTTGTAATGAAGCAGTTTCTCTGCAGCAACTTAAGACTGTCTTCTTGTCTGTACCTCGGTCAGCTGTTTCTTCCTCAAAAACAAAGAAGGCTCTCCCAAATGCAGCTGATAAATTAACCTCTAGTACATCTACAAATAATCAGCAAATTAACTCGGTTGCACACAGAAATGAAGAACTTGACAAAGAAATCGAGTATCAGTTCAAGATTTTTCAAAGTGGTATCAACAAACTTAACTTGTACAATGCAATTAACAATAAAATACGAAGACATTCTGATAACCTTCAGTAATATCTCAAAAACAAATTTTATGACTTTCTCTCACGACAACCTACTATGGAATCTATTTAATAGAACTTTTTAGATGCAGTCAGTTTAGTTCTTTCCAAACGCACAGAGGGCTATATCAAGATATTAGAATGTTTGAAGAAAGAAAATGAAGATACCATTCGTGCCAAAGATATAGTGATTGTTGCGCTGAATGAAAAGTTACGTAAAAATTCAAGTAGACTTGATAATTACTGTTCCCAAATGGCAACCATTGACAAAAAGAACAGAAAAGTTGCCGATCTAAAAGATGAAGTAACTCGAACTCAACCTTTGCATAAGGAATGGCAGGCCAATACAAATAAAAGAAAACAAGAACTACAGCTTAAAATCAATCGGCTGCATGCTCTTAGTATGAATGACGAATGCTTGGCCTTTAAAAGACTTGATGAGCTTGAAAGAAAACTCAAAACCGCTCTTGAAATAGAAGCTGCTTTGAAAAAAAGATTGAAGATCTCAATGTGCATTTGACTCATTACTGCTCATGGTTGTAATATCATCATAAGAAATGTTTTCTTCTTTGTGTTTTTTACTATTTACAGATTGATTAATTATTATATTGTTGACAATATAGCTTCTCCATGTATCTCTGTTTTTTTTCCTTGCTCTCGTATATTTGACAATATCTCAACTTCAAAATAAATTGTTACAGAAATAATGAAATAAGCCTCTTTCTTCTGTCACAACATGACTTAAACATGTATGCTCGCTGTTGTTATATATCGACAGTATCAAAATATGTCATATTGTACAACCTATTTTTGTCTTTTCAGATACTATCTTTTAGGAAAAATACAAAACCTATGATTGACAATCTACAAGTTTGATCATTGTGTATTCTTAACCAGCACAATTTTCCATACGCGCCCCTTTTTTTTATTCGCGACGCGTTCTAAAAGTATCTTTAAATGGTAAATAACATTTGTGTATTCGACCAAGGTCGTACAAAAAAAGAAATTTGCATAAATACATTGATGTTAACAAAGCAATAGTGCTACCGTTGATGTTGAGACACAAATCCGTTCTATGATGGATTATTATAATATACGCTTGATTATTATACGCGTTTGTGAAGAAAAAAAGAACAGTCCTTCAATGTTGAAAGGGTATAAAAGCACAAATTCAGGCACATCATACATCTATATCCTTCTTCTTTTTTACATCAAATATAGACTGCAATGCCACCTATTTATAAAAAGAAGATGCTCCAAGAGTCTATTTCTGAAAGGAAGAATTCCTACTTTTATCCTAAACTGACAATCAAGAAAGAAATGAAGAAGGAAGTCAAAAAAGAAGATAAAAAGATGCTCAATTATTTCAAGAAACCTACCAAACAAGCTAAAGAAAAGATTGTGTCCTTTGATATGACTGATTCATACAGTGCTTCTCTTCCAGGCTTGTCTTCTACTGTAGATGATGGCTCTAGTGTATATACCATGAATTCTTTTTCTTCTGCACCATGTCTCCCATCCATCTCAAATCTACTCATGCATACCTCTTCTCCTACAGACTTGCCTAGCTCTCTTGATGCTCCTAATCGCATGAATAACACCCATGGTGTCTATTATGGAATTGACTCATCTACTCCTTATTATAGAAGTTTTTCTTATGATGATGATTACGGCTACAGTTATCCTCGCTATCCATATAACGGCTCTTTTCATCAATATCAACAGAGACAGCAGCAACACTATTACTCTAATGAAAAGTATGCTAGACCCAATCGCATTGCCTACAATGGTTCTACAGCTGGTCCAAACTTGGTACTACCTTGGATTCCTTACTATTTCCATCACAAGCAATTCGGTATTGAAGCATGCATGGCTCAATTAGAAGAAAACAAGAAGCAAAAAGAGCAATCCAAGTATATCACAAACTTTTATAGCGATCTTTCTCTTTGAAATTATTATGATCAATTAAATAACTATCTCTTTTGCATAAACACATCAACATAGGCGGAGTAATGTGCTCGCTTTTGTCCAATCAAACCATCTTTGCTTTTGATTTGCAAATGACTACCAGTCACGAACACAAAATAAAAAATTTTCAGAGAAAAAAAACTATAAAAAGACCTTCAAAATGGCAAAACTGTTTTATTTCTTTACAACGCAAAATATTACCAATTGCAATAAAAAGCATTCGTGTGAGATGGCTGCCTCGGTAGCTATCGTTGAAACAACGAAATCGTCAAACAATTGAAGACTACCTTATAACACACGAGATGGGTGCACCGAATGGTTAGGAATTGATCTTCGTATCAACCTATGGCATTAGGTGCAATTTTGTGGGTTTCATTCTTAAAAAAATTTTTTTTATTATAAGGAAATGAAAATGTGGGAAGGTTTATCAGTTATCGCTCGTTTGCTTGGGGTTTATTGTAACAGACTCAAACTTGATAATAGTCTCTGTAGAATCTACATAGTTTAATGTAATCTTTGGTTTGGATTCGTCTCCTTCAGAACGCATAGAAGTTAAGAGAGGCAATAACCCTGTATTATCTTCTTGCTTTTTCTCTTGTACTTCGAAAAACATATGTGAACCAATAGTCTCATCAATTTCTCCTTCGAAAATTAAATCGCCTAACTGTAAATAAGGTGTCCCCTCCTCTAGACCCTACACTCTAGCTCAGTACGAGTCAGTCTGTATTTTTTAGGCTTACAATGAGTTGGCAGCCACCTTTTGTACGTGCTGCTTTGCTGATAAAGTCAGAAGTAATTGTGTTTCCCATATCAAACACAACATAGCTGGTCTACTATTCATTGATAAATATATACAAAAAATCTTTATATTTATTTATTTGACCTCTTCCTCGTATTCGTCTTCACTACTCATATTTGATATGTAAAGAAGGAAGGAAAGAAAAGGCATAGCTAATTTTTTCTTATCTCTTCAAAGCAGTCACCTGTGTGACTAAACATGTAATTTTGAAGTGTCTTTGACTTGAAGGTCTAAAGCAATCAAGATGGGTGCTACATTAATCCTGTTTGTCCGAGTTCCCTTTCTTTATGTTCCAAACACCCCTTGAAAACTTAGAGAGGTAGCTTGTGATGCATTCAAATGAGGCTGAATGACTTGGCTCATAAAGTGAATGACCCTTTAAAGTGTTAAGGATTAATATGGTTAATTAAGGTAATCATTTGAAAGTCAGAAAGAAGGCCACATTTAATGGGGTTGAGGGATCACACGACTCCTCGTTTCTTTTTTCTTCTTCCTTGTTTTTAATAAATTAGTGCATGAATCAAATAAAAAGCGAATATGGCGAAGGGTAGAAACAGACTTTACTTTGCACTTGCTTTTGTGATATCCTCGATTCCCTCCATATTTGCAGTCTATGCTCTCAAGAATGACCTCACTATTCTCAGTTCCCTTCTGTTTGCCTTGTCTATCATAAGTATGGGCTTGTCTACCTTTCTTTTTCTCAGTTACAAGACAGTCAAACATGGGACGCCTATTATTCTCGGTATTCTGGCCAGCATAAGTCAATGCCTTGCACCTCTGACACACATTCTATCAAAAACAATTATTATTGGACCTATTTTCTCATTCATTATTCGAACCTTCTTCTTTTTGGGATTTGTTATTCTTCTTATGAGTGACCAGTTAGTACGTGCCTTTTTTCGGTTCTTTATTGGCAAGCATGCTTCAGGAAGGGATTATTGTAGGTACAGACAAAACAGGCCCTTATGTACTCATGTCAATGAATAGCTATCACAAGTGCCATGGATCCACACTTAGAACTCTTTGATGATACAATCCCGAGATCAAAACATTTAGAGAATAGCGAATTGTTTAAGCAACGAAAAGAACTACGCATGACAGAACAACAAGGTCCTGAGTCACGCGCATTGACGGCACTCCTTAAACGACCAAAATATTCAGTTCCTTTAGCCTATACCCTCTCGGTTGCCAGTAAACTTGTCTACGAAGATGTGGATGTAATTAAACATGAACTCAAGAAGGCTGGATTCAATGTGGACACTGCATTTCGTCCAATTGCTTACAAGGTTTGTGTGGGGTAAAAAAGATCATTTGTGTCGTACAATGCGTTGTAACTCTCTATTACTAGAATATTTGTGCATTTATTACCGAAAAGGATGATGATATTTTATTGGTATTTCGAGGGTAAGAGAGAAATAGATGTGGATTTATTCTGACATCATTCTAGTACAAATCCATTAAACATCCAGAATTACATTACCAATGTCACTGTAAACATGGCAGAAATAAAGTCCAGCTGGGGGCCTATGGGAAGAGTTCATAAAGGATTTTGGAAGGCGATGGGTGAGCCAGCAAAGAGAAGAAAGACGTCTTCTTCTACGATTGAAGACGATATACATGAGAATATCAGAAGCAAAGAAAAAACGACGCCTAATGGGCCTGTACTACGAATTGAGTTGATCAATACCTCGGTTTACAGAACAATCATTTCAGCCGTTCAGGGAACTGCCAAAATCATCAAATTTTTATCTACCAACTTGTTTCACCACGTTAAGGAACCTATCGACAGTAGTTGGGTGGGGCCTGATATTGATATAAGAAGTAACAGTATGTTTGTTCAAGCAGAGGATCATATTCTAAGTTTAATACGCAACGAGTCAACACAGGAAAACAGCAAGCAGCAGAGAAGAAGATCAGGCCTATCACATGGAAATAATAATTCAATCATGGATGAAAAGAAAAAGAAGAAGAAGAAACGACTATTCATTACGGGGCATTCCTTGGGCGGGGCCATGGGCACAAGTAACGTATCTTATGTTATATAAGCTTGTTTATTGATCCTATCATAGTCTTTTTAGCTAAAATGTTGCAATCCAAGAGCCCTTTATTAGAGCATTTTGCAGGACTATATACATACGGTCAACCCAAGATTGGAGACGCTGAATTTGCTAAAGTTTTCAGTCCGAGCATGACAAGCAAAATCTTTCACCATGTCTATAACAATGATATCATTCCTCGCGTACCTAACTTATGGGATTATGAGTAAGATAAACGAAAATAGCATTTTTATACTAAACAACTACCTTGTAGTACTCCTCCTGGCTCTCTTGTCTATATTGATTCTTCCTATGATATCACCATATATCCACCAAATCCTTACACAAATGAACCAGTACCAGTACGTCCTATTTCTTTTTTACACCTCTCTGGTCTATTGAATCGATATGTCATACGTCGATTGCCTCGAGAAAACAGGATTCGTATCTTATTTCGTGTCATTTTCCCATTCTTTTTGAACGATCATTTTCCTTGTGACTACAGCGAAAGTTTGAGACGAGGTACTATTCAAAGAATTATCATGGGTGCTGGTGATTTAGAGGGCGGTAGTGAAGATCAACAACAATCATCAACAAATAAGAGAGCTAGTTTACAAAGACGATATAGTGTTGTCAATGTACACGATTAACTGCGTGTATAGAACTTTATATACATATACATTGTTTGAACATAGATATCCATATAACACAATCTACAGTTAATTTCACTCCATCTCTATTTTATCACACCAATAAAATTATACAAAAAGAAAAGGATTTAGTCAGCCATGATAGAAGGACTATATTTGATTTCATGCTTTGTATTGAGAACTATGTCAATAAGATTCACATTCTCTTGATATCTTAGTTGAATCGATTTGGCTCGTTTGGCGTTGTCATCAAATGGCTAATGCAGTTCTTTAGTATCCATGCTCATTTTGGCATATCCATACCTTTCTTAATGTCTTTTTATCTGGTCCAAAAGAGACTGTGCAATACATGCCTACAAGTCTGTCTTCTAATCTCTGACTTAAGGAAGGATCTTGTTTCCAATGCTAATGCTGATGTAAGTCCATGCTCAAGATATTGGTATATTACCTCAAGAAATGTCTCAGCTGAGCATCCGATTAACGCCTCTGCTACTCTCTCGTAAGCAATGATCGCATCAAATTTATTTTTAACAATGTCTACAACTACTAAACCGAGCTTGTAATAGATCTTGCAATTGGTAACCATCTTTTTGCAATTTGGACAATAGATAGAGTCTTCAAGTTGAGAAGGCTCATTTTGCATTGCAAACACAACATTGCCTTGACAATTGCCGCATCTTCGAAATAAAAGGTTTCTTGCTGAGGCTTGGTATATTTTGTAATCAAAGGAAAGCATAAAAAAAGTAGCCTGTCTAACTTGAGAAAATAAGCCAGCTTGTTTGGCATTGAAGAAAAAAGAGCGCGTGGGCATGATGGCAATAATAAATGGTTCTGCAAGCTAGATGTTTTTACAGAGCTATTTCTGCAAACAGCTTCACTAAAGTAAAATTGAAAGTTGACACTATTCGGTAAGAAGTACAAATCAAATCATTGCTCATGTTCATGTTATTTGATCTGATTATTCAAACTAATTTTATGAATTATGACCATGGAAAGAAACGTTTTCTTCAGAAGCATCAGAATTTTTTCGTTTATGCACCACTAACTCTTTTGGTGTAATTGTCTCTGAGAGAGAGAGAGGGGGGGGGTTGACAAGAATACTTTTAAAGTGCTTATTATTGGGATATTTTTTTGCAGCAATGGTAAATCTTTCTTTAGCAGACGATTGATAAGAAGACCTTTCTTGAAAAGTTGCTTCATGAGTGACAGTTTCGTCTTTAGTTAACTGCTTTAGTTTTTCTTCAGGTATGATAAACCCTTGCTCAGCAGATTGCGCATCTTTTTCCTCGAGAACTACCTCATCAATGATAGGTTCTTGTATCTGTTTCTCAATAGGAATTGTTCTTTTCTTTTTGATATGTTCATAAAGAGAAGGGTCTTCTTCAAAAACCTCTTTAATTGGTGTACTTGAAAGGGAACTCTTCTTGAAGAAATAGTCAAAGTAAGGAATCATATCCTCTTTTGCTTTTTTCTTCAAATTGTCTATTATCATACCTTGATCCAAGATATCAAGCTTATGGAAAGACCGGGAAAAAAAGTAGATAACACATTAGGTGTGCTCTCTTCACATTGAGCTATATATTGATAAAAGAAAGAAGAAGGACAAATTATCCCAATTTCAAGGCACTTACCATACAGTTTACCAGCGTTTGTAAAATTTTCTCCGGATAATTCATCTTGTTGCTTGATAATAGACAGATTATTACTGTTTTTATAGGTTTCGATTATGTATCTAAAATTCTTTGTGTTGAATACTACACTATCGATTATTTTACTCTCTTAATCTATTCAAGTAGTATTCTGCATGCTTTCATTGGTGAAGCCCAACTGAAAGTAGCGATTGCTCCACTATTATACTTTATGATCTCTTTGCAGTCAAGCATGAAACACAAAAATATTATCATATTGCATATGCCAACGGTTACTTTTATTGAAGTAAACATGATTATAGCTAAGGTAGAAACTGAAAAAAGAATTGTATGTTAAGTTGAGGATTTTATATCAATGTTATGTATTTATTGTCTATGCACTCATTGTTGGATGTGTAAAAATATCAATCTTTTCATTGAAACCTTTCTTGTGTGTTACCTTGAAATGCAAAAAAATTAATTTGCCAAAAGCATAAAAAGCTCTTCGCCCATGTTGCTCAGTTGAAATTCATTGTTTGAAACTCTCTTCTTTTAAATCGGCCTTTTTATGTAACTCTTCTAATTCTTTTCTTTTGAATAGTATATTGTCAAGAGGAGTGGTAATATTGACAATGTTAAAACCAATTTAATTGCCCGAAGCAATTACACGTTGATAACCTATGTTTTGAAATGTGAAAAAGTGAGTAACTTTTCCTCTTGCTCTTTCTTTTCGCACTATTACCTGATTTAAGTTTTTCTTTTTATTTTCATGAAGCACTTTATCAACGTGAGATGTGGTTTTATATCACTTGGCTTATCAGAAGGCAGCTGTTTTGAACAGTTTCAAAATGCGCTTTCTGAACCTTTCTTTATATCTAGGAACTTTGTTTCTCACAATATTTCAGTTAGCCCTCAATGTTTCAATAAGCAGAAAAGGGAGAACTTTGTGCATCCTAATGTCCACTAAAAAAAGAGAACAATCTTATGTAAATGTATTGACCGCGAATGGGTGTTAGCCGCAAGCTTCTTATTAAAAAAAAGAGTAAACAAAGAAAAACATGAGTAATTTTATTTATCAAAAATATTTCATCAGATAAATGGTTTTCATTATTGTTTAGTATCAGAAAAAAATCAATGACCTATTGAATGCATAGCGAAGAAGGTCAAGTGTACCCAGATTGAAGTGACTTGCTATGCTATGTTATTATCATTTGTTGTGTTGTTTTCTTTTTCATTTTCGAAATCTTCAGTGTCTCTTTGGTGCTTCTTTTAGAGGTTTTAACAGCGTCAAATGGTACTCCATAAAAATATTGCTGGAAGTGATCGTACTGGATGGATCGAATTATTGTTGCAAAGAAGTCATATATATATATCTTGACATCTAAGTTGTAAATGAGATATGTCAACAGTGCGAGGTTTTTAAAATCTTGAAATGCTCTATTTGCATCGATGTTGGTTGAGTAACCAAAGAACTTGTTGAACATGTTTTGCCAAATCATTGTATTATTACCACAAAAGATCACTAAGTGTTTGGTATTCTCTATCTCATTACTACTGACACATTAATCATTTTCAATGCCTTTTATCCTTCTTTGGTGCAGGAATAGCCCGCTAGAGATTTTGTTGTATATAATTTTGATTCAGATATTTTTGGTGGATTGATGTATTGGTATCTTGTAGAGTTAGGTTGATCTAACTTTTTTTTCGCAAATAGGCTATCAATAAATACCAGCTCAGCGTTGTCTTTCCAATTGTTGCATACAGCTGAAAGTGGTAGAGTCATACAATTGATTGCTAATAGAGATGTCGAGGCTTTTTTTTTTTTTTTTTTTTTGGTCTGCACAGTTTTGTTAATACATCCATTACTTCAAAGATCGACCCAAAGGCACCATCCTTGCTCAGGGATGTTTTGTATCTAGAATCAGGAAAGAGCGTAATAGATTTCAGGCTTGGATTGTTGGCTTTCACTTGAAGGGCGTATATATTCATATCATATAGGTACCTTGCAATTTGTTTGTGCTGCTCATAGTTAAGTAGAGGGTCAACGTATTTTACCTGTAGAGATTTTTGTTAAACAAACACGTCTAGTAGTTTCAAACAACCTTTAGCTTTAGGCAGATAAAAGATGTCTTTCTTGACTTGCAATTTCTTCTCATCGACAATATATTGGTGGATAATTGAGTTCAAGGTTGGGAGTACAGCTTTTGACATTGGTGTCGGTCTGAGCATATGTAATAGTTTTGCGACTATGATTGTGTTGGCTACATTTGCCCTACCGTACATGGAGATATTTCTAGTTTTTTTTTAAGAAAAAGCCACTAGAGCTCTGATTCTTCCGATTATTTCAGCTACAATAGCATCTCTTTATGTTTTGTTGCATATTCCACTTGAGGTGTGGGCTCAGCTTCTTTTAATTTATCTCTATTAAGTGTAGCAAAACCGCAACCGACGAAGCAAGCAGAGCCAGAGCGCTTGGAGATACCAATGTTTAATATATCCCCAAAACATCCAAAGGTATTGATCAATGCTGTCTTCAATATTTCTTCCTTTGCATAAATTTTAGCAAACTCGAATCAAGCAAGCGGCAGCTGAAAATCATTTTTAAAAAGCAACTACTAGCCGTTGACAACGTCTTCTCTTTTCAAATGACAACTGCTACAACTCGATATCCTTATTGAATGCTCTTGATCATCAATTTTTTGGCTAGTTTCACTCTTGCAGCAGAATAATTACGACAGCCATAGTAGCCATAGTAGCCATAGTAGCCATAGTAGCCATAGTAGCCATAGTAGCCATAGTAGCCATGGTAACCATACACTACAGCGTGAGCAACTGCATTTTTCTTCCATCGCTTACGCTGTAGTGACAGCTCTATAAAAAAGTAACTAGAGCGATGGAGAAAATTATAGAAAGACTTGTATACCTCAGGCCTTCGTGGTCAGTGTGATGAACTTACCTAAAAAAAGAAAAAAGAAAAAAAAACATTTTCAAACATCATAAAAATATTGACAGTTATGCCGAAATTACAAGTATGCCATTTGCGTACTCAAAAAAATATTTTTATGATGTTTGAAAATGTTTTTTTTTCTTTTTTCTTTTTTTAGGTAAGTTCATCACACTGACCACGAAGGCCTGAGGTATACAAGTCTTTCTATAATTTTCTCCATCGCTCTAGTTACTTTTTTATAGAGCTGTCACTACAGCGTAAGCGATGGAAGAAAAATGCAGTTGCTCACGCTGTAGTGTATGGTTACCATGGCTACTATGGCTACTATGGCTACTATGACTGTCGTAATCATTCTGCTGCAAGAGTGAAACTAGCCAGAAATTGATGATCAAGAGCATTCAATAAGGATATCGAGTTGTAGCAGTTGTCATTTGAAAAGAGAAGACGTTGTCAACGGCTAGTAGTTGCTTTTTAAAAATGATTTTCAGCTGCCGCTTGCTTGATTCGAGTTTGCTAAAATTTATGCAAAGGAAGGGTGTAGCTGACCTGTGAGCCTGGTTTAAAATAGAACAAAGCAACTGTTATGAGATCAAGAGAGAATAGATATAGAGTAAGAGAAAAGGTAAGAACACAGAGAAAGTCCGTTAGAACTTGTATAGGTTTTTATTTCTCCAAGAAATGTTATCTTTCAATTGCTATAAAATGTCGAGGCATTTATACTTTTTCTTCTCGGTCAAAATATTGTTTTGGGGTTAGCTTCTTGACCGCAGATTGATTTGTTAGATCAGGAGCAATTAAGAGAAATGCCTTTAGAGGAAGTTGTCAGCTCTAACTGTCACTTTATGAGGGCCATTAATAATAACAGAGTCACTAGGTTCATAATCTCTGAATATGAAGTCGATGTAGTACTTTTAGTAGAATGAGTGAATGTCAGTGACTATAGATCCATTGCAATTGCCATAAATGTAATCTGGTCTTTTGCCATGATCATCATTTATTGATCTACGCATACGAATTCATATATGTTCACAACATCAGCCTATATCAGTCTATGTCAGTCTATGTCAGTCTATGTCAGTCTATGTCAGTCTATGTCAGCCTGTGTCAGTCTGTGTCAGTCTGTGTGACTCTAAGTTAACCTATATCAGTTGTGGTGTTTAGGTTGTGAAAAGAAATATAAAAAACAGAAAAAAAAAACAAAGAAATATAGTGAGACTGTTCAGTACTTCTTTATTACAAAAATAATGATAATCCTCTAAAGTATATCTTTTCTAGATTGTCTTTTATACTACCTGATTTATTGACTAATTGTGACTATTGCTTATTGATTACTTGACACTTTGACAGCTTGTGTCTGGGAGTTGACTATATAGATTCTACTTTAATTCTCCTGGTTATCTAAAAGGTACAATTATGGTTTCCTTATTTGTAAATATCTATATTATCCCAGTTATCGTTATTTACTGTCATTATACAATGCTTACTTTATATCTATGATGTATAGTGCTATAAGTGATTATTCATTTATATGATGAAAGACTATTTACTATATTTTGTATTAAAAAGTGCTCAGATCATCACAGGAGGATCCACAGAGGTTCGTGAAGATGGAAAAAAACAATAATTTTTGGAATGACCCAATGTAGGACTGATCCAAACGAAATGAGGTGAGTTAGGTCTAGGTGCTTCTGATAGAAAAAAGAGTTTACTAAGATGATAAATACGAGTTGATTTGAGCATTCCTCTCAGATCTGCATTCAAAGTTGATTGCACACTGTAATCAGTACAAAAGAAGCCCCTTTTCAATAAATTTTGACTAATAAATAGGTACTAATTCATATAATATTCGATTTACAGAGCGCTTGAGAGTAAGATTCGCTATTATACATGACATTTCTGAGGTCAAAAAGAGTAACTATTGAGTATGACAAATGGTGCATATCATGCAAGTGGGAGATTCGGTATTTCAAATATTGGTCTCTTGCACTCTGCTTAAAGACCTTTTTACTGACACTCACAAACCGCAACTGCGTTTCGATCGAGTTGAGAGGAAGACTAAAAACCAGTTAGACAAAATCAGAGCGTAGTGCTATGGCATATGGAAGACAACATCACTGTAGTTTCGCAAGTGAAATGAGTCCTGATCACATACTAAAGACGAAAGACAACAAGGCAACATACTTGAGTGGACAAAGCCGTTGATGTAAGTGGAATATACGCATAGCTCTTATTACACAAATACGACAACAAAGAAAAAGGATATGCACAACACAAACACATGATGGGTTTGATCAGGGAAATCAAGCATTTTCAAATCCTCTTTTTGTCTGAACAAGAGTTGATCAGACTCTCGAATAGACACAAAAAGACTCAAAAAAGTAGACTTACACTACGAAAACTTACTAAGCCTTGAATGTATATCTTCCAAACCCTAAAGAGAGCCAGAGTCTGAAGAAAAGGGTTTGAAAGCCCTATACCACTTGATCAAACGCCTTACAGACACTTGAGAAACCAGCCTGAGTAGAGCACACCTTGTTTATCATAGAGCTTACAGACCAAATCAGAGTAGAACCAGGGAGAGAAATAGTCTTGAGCCAGCAGTAAATCTTGTTAGACGGCCTTTTAGATAACTAAAAAACCAGTTTGAGTAGACTAGTCAATAAACATAAGTTATTGCGCGTTGCTTTTGATGACACAAGTTTCAGTGTGGCTTTATGTCTGAACAACACTAAACAAACACAACTACACTATTGAAAGATATATAGAAATCAAATAAGCAACATGAACTTACCTTGAAAAAGAATGTAAAAAAGAAACAAAAGTAAATCGTTGCTTTAAGCAAACCCTTAAACTTCTAAAGACAAAAGTAAAAGCAGCTAGTCTTCAAGACAATATTATTACAATAAAAAAAAAGTATACGTCATTATTCATTGTTAAAAGTAAATCTTTATTAAATAATGTCAGTCTTTAGTTTCACTTCATAGAGAAGTTACTCACAGGAGTAGCCACGAGAAGGCAACTGACTCGTACTCCCTCACTTCCTTCACTGACACCTTCCCAGGCCCGCGATACACTGGGGAATGTCAGATCATTAAAGAAGGATCCCAGCAACTCCCAGCAACTACCCTTCTTCCCGCTGCAGACCAACGCCTATATACCTCGTATCTTACTCTCGGGGCAGTAAGATAAGAAAGTAAATCATCGGCTATAACAGGCCAACAACGATCAGGATCGAACACTGAAAGCCACGGAGAGAGAGACACCAGTAGACAGAACCAACCAAATAGAGAGAAAAACCTAGAGAAAGCAGAGATGTCAGCAAACGCGTTTTTGAAATGATGGAGTACTTACCAAAAAACGATCTACAAAAAGAGAGAACACGAAAAAACTACATTGTTAGACTACAGATAACACACAGACGCTCAAAATGAAAATAGAAAGACTCAAAAAACCAACCAAAGAGAAAATCCTAGAAAAGACAGAGATGTCAGTAAACGCGTTCTTGAAATAAATAAGGTACTTACCAGAAAACGAACCACAGAAAGAGAGAACAAGAAACAACTATACTAGCCTTCACCAGTGCATTGTTAGACTACAGATAACTAGTATATCCTCAATACATAGCTACTTGTAACCAAAGTAGAGAGACAAAGAGAGAGAACCAAGCAGATAGAGCCAAGCAGATAGAACCAAGCAGATAGAACCAAGCAGATAGAACCAAGCAGATAGAACCAAGCAGATAGAACCAAGCAAATAGAACCAAGCAGATAGAACCAAGCAAATAGAACCAACCAAGTAAAGAGAAAACCTTAGAGAAAGTAGACGCGTTCTTGAAATAGATAAGGCACGAACCAAAAAGAGAGAGAGACCATAAGAGACCAAAGTAGAGAAAGTAAAGAAACAGAAAGAAAAGGTAAAGAAATAAAAAAGAGTGCTGCGTGCTCCTTTCCTTGGTCTTTTGTTTTCTTTTGATAGAGATCATCTCATAGAGAGGACGCCCAATCTTGTGTTACATATAAACTTATTTAGTTGCATAAAACATGCGATGAACACCCTACTTGTCAGTTCTATAAACAGAAAAGCATCCCCTTTTGCTTATTTTCTTTCTCTTTTGCTATGTGCTCATCCTCTGTGTTTCTATTGAGTACTTCATTATTCTTTGCCCTTGAAGATAAGGGAAGTTTACTTATCATATAAATCAATGCGGAATGTATTTCGTAATAGAGGACTTTGAATTGTAATCATTCCCAGCTTCCTTTTTTTCTTTCCATGAGAAGATCATCCTGAAACAATAACAAACTTTCTTATTCATATGAAAATGTCAATAACCAAAAGAGCAAAGAAAAGTTTAGCTGTCTAAAAAAGAAAGAAAGAAAAAGAAAGAAAGAAAACTGTTTTGCACACAAACTGAAAGTACTGATTACTGGTGCCTAAAGATGAACTAACTATTGTCTTTTTTTTTTCTTCCCTTTTTTTTTTTTTTTACCTTGAGCACAAAAAGTATGTCCGTTGATCCGTACATTATGCATACGCTTACCACATTTTAAATCCCTGGGACAGTTGCTTACTTTTCCCTGAAAATAGACCCTGAAAAATTCATACTGATTGCTTTTTTCTCTTTCTAAGTGAATAGACTATAAATTAGTTTTATACGTTATCTTTAGCTATCAGTTTAGTGATGAAGAAAAGATGACATGATGTAAACATATGTTTTATTTCGGTGACATAAACAAGTACAAAGCAGACACTACATTTCCTTCGAGTCTAAAAACCAAAATAAACGATACAAGTAAAAAAGAGTAATCGTCTTTGATGGATGTGTATATATACCATGATATATTGCAAAAAGCTATAAAAGCATATAAAAGGATACAATATCTATGGTTCTATATAAGCGGGAAGACTAAACTATTAGTAAAAAGTGTTTTCTAAAAAAGAAATAATATTCTTTTCTCTCTTTCAAAAAGAAAAACCACTTACATCACATTTCAACAGTATTTACCTTTTCTTTTTTTTGAAGACCAAAGTGCCATGAGAACGAGTAAGGTTATATAGAAATCCACAAGTTGAAACTTTTTAACAATGCCTTTTTTTATATAGTACCAGAAGAGTTAATACAATACAGGTTACCACGCGGTTACATACCAGATACAGATCAAATTAGCAGAATAGTAGCCCAGGATCAGTTTATTATTGATCTGATCACTAATTCGCTTCTGAGAGTTCCTTCAGGCACTTATAAGGCTGGCGACAATATGTTTATCGATGGCACAGAGTGTGAAGCTCTTTATATATCTCATTCATCAGATCTTGTAGACTTACCTCCTGTAGTAGCAGAAATACAGCACACAGTGACACGCGAGTTTATGTGTCGAGCCATCCAGTACTGCCTGAATGTGTACAAGCGTTTCCACATTTTATCAATTTTATTCATCGTCTGTACCTCAAAAACAAAGCCCAAAACTCTGAGAGACCTCTTCAAATCTGTCCAAAACAAGTCTAACCTCTTAGAAACACCTTGCTGCCACTTCGCAACTAGTTGCTTCATGCTGACCAAACAGAGTATCGATCCTTTTATTGACAATCACGATACCAAGAAATTGGATCCTTTGGTTGTCTTTGTCCATTTCTTGAGTTCTGGCCAGCAAAACATAATCATTATTGACCGATGGGACGACCCAACTAATACAAAACTGTACTTTGTCACAATGGAAATGGTCAAAAATGACAGAAAAACAGAGAATGATAAAGTCGAAGCGTTACAAACGATTTGTCAAGCAACACAAAATCAATTTGAGAAAATAATGACGACCGTTTTCGACAACCCCAGCCGAGCGCATCAATACGCAGAAGCAGGACGGCACTATAACGCAAGTCTTGAAGTACGACGCAATGAAGCAAGAATTAAACAATACACCTCCAGAAGCAACAACACCAATGGAGCTTCCTAAAGACTTTGACGGCGCTTCTAGTTCTATAAATTCCAAATACAAAGATTTGATTGCATTCATCGATGCTTGGAAGCAGAATAACAAAGGTCGAATGAATTGGTCTGCCTGTTGGGAAGATGGAAAGAAAAAAGGTCTGTTCAATGAGTACTCAAACACCCATAGCTTGAAGAATATATACCACAGAGCAAAAAATGATACCTAATCACCATTAGCACCGTTTATATGACAAATTAGTAATTAATGAAAAAATTATCAGTCAGGATTATCCCAATGTTTTATCGTAAAAAAAAATACAGTTTTCTCATATCCAAACTTTTTTTTGTGTGTGTTAATAACGATGTTGACGATGTTGACGATGTTGCAATCTGCATTTACTTTATCCTCTAAAGCTATGAGCTAAAGATATTTCTCTTCATCTACATACTAGTTTGAGTGAATTCATCAACCGTTGACAAACGTAATGCAACAGGAATCTTGGAGTAAGAAATCATTTACAATTAAAAATAACTTTGTTTAATGAAAAAGGAAATTCTCTGAAATCAAAAGAAATGCACCAGCTCTAGTTAGCTAATTCCAACAATTGCTTTTACCAAAGTAGACAAAAATAATGACATTTGTTTTCGAGAAAACGCCAAATTCCATAGATTTGACTATATCGTACACACAAAAATGTTTGGGTCAGAAATTGAATACAAAATTGGCTTTCAGTCGAAAAAGTGGTCGAGGGGTAGTAAAGCCGTCGTTTGTCAGAGATACGTAAGACTTTTACTATAACAATACATAGCGAGAAATGCCTCCATAGTGCTATAAAGTACCGTAAAAGTATTAATTTTGCAATACGTATATAAAAAGTGTATGCTATCGTCCAAAAGCGAGAATACATTTTCCATCTTTTTCTCATCTTTTTCATGGCAACTTTATTGCACTTTTTACACCATTAAATGCGCCATACTAAGCTATATAGCTTTACTCAATGCGTCTCTTGATTATTCCTTATAAACTCTGACACTTTTAACCAAATTAATGACTTTTACTACCCAGGACAAGCAGAAAAAGAGAAGAAAATGTTGGTGTTTGAAATATCCAGCCCTTCTCCTACAAGACATTTGATGCTTATCATGTCCAAAGATGCTCTCTTTGGACTCAAGAGCTTCCAAGGTTATGATAACTTCTACTTGTAAATACCTAAGCCATTGCTTAGAGGACATCTGTTACAAATGCCTGTCATTCTAGAGCCGAGATTCAACAGTTTCTCTCTTTTGATCTTGCTTTTACATACAACCCTTCAATAGAGCTATTAGTGCACAATTAAAAAGAGTTATACACAGACAGCCTCTAAGTCAAAAAAAAAAAAAAGAGGATCCTTATTTCTTTTTGTGGCAAATACTTGCTTATGATCAATAAGTAACATTGCAGCAATGATTAGCTACAGAATTTAGGGCTGCTGATTTAATGATAGTCAATAAGCATGTTTTTTTTTGTAGCATACAACAAGTGAAGGACAGAGAAAAAAGAAAAAGAAAAGACGCGTTATCAATTATTTTAAATACTAGTGTATATACTTTATTGAATAAAAAGATAAAAAAGAAACTGGTACTTTAGCCAAACACTGTGAGTATTTGTTTCCAGGAACTAGGACGAGGACCTAAACCAGTTCAATTGAGTTCCCAAAAAGATGGTGCGCGTACGCACAAAGCCCCTCAGACCCCCACTATATAGTATTCACACTATCAAAAAAATGGAATGCCTATCATTTTCAATAGATGATCCACTCAAACAAAGCCAGTATATGCTACAAGTATGTTAGTAATTACTTTTATTATGCTCCTGAATCATTTTAGAGCAAAAAAAAAAAAAAAAAAAAAAAAAAAAATAACGAATTTTTTTTTGGTCATTTTGGTCATTTTGGCCTTATAAGTACTCGGTAAAAGTTTATATTTTATTTGTAAGGTTTTGAAGACTAGGCCCTATGGGGTAAATGTCTAACCATCAGTTCAAAGCAGAATGGTACAAAAGAACTATATAGTGAAAAATATAGAAAAAAGGTCAGGAAGCATAGACGATGATGTGCTATATCGTATACAAGTAAGGAGAGAGAAGAGATAAAAAGGAAAACATAGAAAGAAAAGAGAAGCGCATAATAAAAGTATGAACAACACAGTATGTAGGAGAGAATTGGTTGTCTATTTGTACTGGGTAAAGCGAGGGAATCAGCCAAAGGAGAAAAGTCATACCAGAGGTATCTTTTTCTTCACTTGAAAAAGTCTTGTCAGGAAGATCAATAGTTTCAATTTCAAGAAGCAGTTGAGAGATTGTTGGCCACCAATTTGACCATCGTGTGTAGCGGTCGAGTCTTTGAGCTTGTAGGCTTGGAGAGCGTGATATTCTAGGTAACTGATTCAGGACATAATCAATTAGATTAGGCTGTATATCAGCTGGTAATCTCAAGCGTTCAGCGGCGCGTAGGCAACCGAGTACATGTCTTCGACTGACAGGTGATGTGCCACATGAGCAAGTAGAGGTGTACTTTGGAATCCACCCAAGACGCCAACGGAGAACTCTTTGGCGGTCATAAATCGACATAGGTAGCAGCAAGGGAGGATCAATCTGGCCAACAAAAGGCCTGCAGGCAGAGAGAAGGACGGGGGCATTGGTTTGTGCACGAAGAGCATTCAAATTGCGCTGACGAAGTCCCAAAAGTTGCTTCTTGGCGTTTCCATCAGCTTCAACCCAGCTGGAGAGCGTATTGTAGCTATCGCTAAGGTGTAACCAAATGTGATTCTTGTTTGATACTTGTGGCCAGAGAAAGATCTGCGTTTGCCGAGCAAAGGGGTATGTATCAATGTGTGTCGTTATTTGCATTATCAGTGTGTCTTCTGGAAGAGTTTCAAAACGAATCATCATCTTGAAGACAAGGTATTCTTTGCGTTCGGCCAGAGAGGGAAGGTTGGTCATCAGTTTGAACGATCCGGTTGTTCCCTTTGAATGACTATTGATGCAGAGTCGCAAACAAGTATCTTGTGCATGTTCTAGAGTTGCAAAATCAGATTTTCGGTAAAGACCAAGGCAAATACCATATTCCAATTTTGGACGTATAAAGATACTGTAAAGGCGAGCAGCTGTCAGTTTAGAAAAACGAATTTGCTTGAAGAATCCCAGAGAAGAGAACCCAGCATGCATAGCTGTGAGAGCAGACCTTGCGTTTTGACGAATCAAAAGAGAGACATTAACTTGAGCCTTGGTGTTGAATGGAATGCCCAAATATTCGAAAGATGACGCTATTGGTATTGGCGTATCATAGATCGAGTATGGCTGGCTAGCTTTTCGCAAAATTGATTCCATGACTGACGACGTTGCCGTTTAAGTTCAACTGTAAAGGACTGATACATTCTACGATACTCTTTCCAGAGTAAAGCTTTACCAATGCTACCGGGAGTGGCACGTCTCCATTGACGGTGAGCATTCTCACGAGCGTCAAACAATGATTGCAGATTGTCTGTCCAGTACCATGCATTGGAGGATAAGCGGGGTTTCTGCCTACCAACCACTTAGTCTAAGCAGGAATGGATGAGTGCTGTGAGTCTAACGGTCAGGTCATCGATATCCAAAGAGAATGAAGATGATGAATCCTGAGTAGAGGTAAAAGAATTATCAATGCGTCCTTTGTATAAATCAATTGAATACTTAACTAAGTCACGAAGGTCAGCAAGCAGCGGCGAAGCCTTAATAGCAAATAGATCCTGATACAGCTGACGAACTGGGAGTTCTTGTAATTTAGCCAATTTCCAAAGGAGTCTAGGGTGATTGGGTTGACCAATAGGAGTTTGAGCGCACAAGAGTGAAAGAGATACAGGGAAATGAGTAGAACCCATATGGGAGTTTTGAATGACTTCCATTCGTGGATTGATCAATTCATCAGTCAAACTAAAGAATAGATTGATGATACTTTTCTTGATTTGGTTTCTATGTTGTGTATAGTATGTAGGCACACCTTTAGCCAATTGCTCATTCCAGCAGGTGAGACCCAAGTTATTGGCCCAGTCAAACACACGGTGACCTCTTGGGCTCGTCAAGGAATCACCAAGTATTTGTCGATGTCTCGCGTTAAAGTCTCCGCAAAAGATAGTGTTTGTTTGGGAGGAGTTGCTTGACAGAGGTAAGTCGTTCAATACCTGGATACATTCTTCATCCGATAGAGAGGGTGGTAGGTAAAGACAATGGATAAGAAAATGAGAGACTTGACAGGAAAGGCTATAGAGTGACGTTGATGGGAGATGGGCCACCGAAAATGGACAATCAGGATTGACTAGTAAAGTTATACCCATTTGACCACGGTAAGTAGACGAAACAGGTACTGCATATGTATGATATTGCTGCCAGTGTGTATGGTATTGGAGTGAGGGCAATAGCCATGTTTCAGTAATAAACAAGAGTGAGCTTGACTGTAACGTGTTGGTAACTGCAGATATTGCTGAACGAGGGAGGCCAGTAGAATTCCATATAGTGAAGGTTAAAGGAATGAAAGTTGGATCATAGATAGGGGCGCAATTGGAGTCATAATTTGTAGGTGGGTGCATAGAGGTGTTTGGATCAGTAGTATTCATTTTATTGATCACTGTCTGGTGTGTCACCAGGTTGATCTTGCATTAGGTCGTCAGCGTCAGATTCCTTGTTCAGGAAGGATGTTATACGGAATGTGCCATCTGTAAAAGCTGACTGAGCCATACCCGCAGTAAGCCAGCCGCTATATACAAAATCACGGGCCACTGGCCTGCGAACATGTACACGCATGTATTCCAAAGCACGGATCAAACGTTGCTGATGGATTTCCCTCAACTTTGTTGTGCGCTCCTCGTCACTGGTTAAAGTTTCAAGAAGTTTGGGGTCACGAAGGTGATGATGGTCCAAAGGATTGAAATCCAGGAGTGGTGCAATCTTCCATTTTTCCAAGAGATTTGTAAACTCGTTATAATATCCAACATGGATGAATACGGCAACAACTCCTCTTGCCGAATAATGAATATCTAAAAGACGACCAGAAGCAGCGCCCAGCTTGTGCAGCTTATTGCGCATTGTCGAGAGGCGATCGCTTATAAGTACTCCATGGATTTTTGTAATTTTCACAAAATGTTTATTTGTCGGCAATAAAGTAACATTTTACTATGTTATATTTTAGTACGAAATAATCGTCTAGCAGTAGAGAATATGTTCAAAGTGTTAGTTTTGCAAAAGACATATAAAAGTTGTACGCTAGAGAGTGATAAGTGAATTAGCATTTTCTAGGTGCAACACATTATTTTAATAGGTAAAAGCATGGCAATTTTTACACCATTAGAAGCGCCTTGTTGAAAAAAACAACTTTTGTTATTGCGACTTTTTGTTAGCTGCTTGTTTTGGTACACTTAGAGCTGGTTATTTAATTTTGATTCCAAAAAATCTTAGTTGTGTAAAAGATTCAATTAGTGCAAAGGTATGAAGCTTAAGAAATGAAGAGTAGTAGAAAAGGAACTCCCTCCATTACTTTCATGTGTTCATTCCCATCCATCTGTTGTGCTGCATCCTGTGTTGTGTGAAATGGTGACGAGTTATTGGCTAAAAAGTCTGTGTAAAATATTTTGTTATTATCCTAAAAAGCAAACAAAACTGAGAAATTGTATGATAACATGTAGAACAGAAGCATAGGTTTATTTGATACAGGAAATAAAAGAATTGAGAAGGGTAACGAGTGACACTAGTGCTTGATTCATTCGTATATGTATCCATCCACTCACTCATCCACTGGGTGGGTTGAATCGTCTCGGTGTTTTAGTCTGATTTTTGTCTGTCCATCCATTTATTCATCGATCTATTTATTCATCGTTCATCCATTTGTTCATCCATCCATTTATTCATCGTTCGTCCACTGACTGTACACTTGTTGTCGATAGTCGTTTTGTTTGTTGCTATGGTAATATAGATGAGATGGGCGTATTTTTGTTGACTGTTTCATCTAGACGCTATTTGTGCTATTGGCTGGAAAACCTGTTTGTTTAAGGGGTAAACAAACTGTTGTTATCCTAAAAAAATGACAAAGTCAAACAGAGAGTACGAAAAGTGGAGTTAAACTGACGATGTGCAATGTCAGATTAAGAGAAAGAATGAACATGAAGGTGATGGCATCTAAAATGGGGCATGCGGGCAGCGATGTGAGAATCAATATTCTAGTTACTAACAGTAGCCGTTTTGAACCTACTGCCCGACTGATTGTTTACACAACAGATCCTGCGGGGTGTCCTAGAATAAATAGATGCTAGAACAAGAAGTTTTAAATGCTTTTCTTCTTACTATAACTCTTTTAAAGCTAAAAATGAAACCCGGTAAATTAGTGACTGTGCAATACATTTCTTTGCTCATTTGTTTTCTTCAACAGAATTAGAACAATTTATTCTAACTGAAAAGAAGCCTTACTTGCTGACCTTTTTGATCGAATACAAACACGAATTAATACGACAGTTCAAGTGCGAAAAAACGTTGAAGAAGTGCGCCTTGGACTGCTATGACGAGCTCTGGCTGAAGCACAACATCCAAGGCAATGTATCAAAATACAATAAGGTTGATAGGCATGTATGGAGTGCTTTACTCAAAGTCCGAGAGTCTCCAAAAGTAAGTTTTCGACATGCCCTAAATACATATTAAAAGGATAACAATTTTCGTATAGGAAGAAACTTCCATTAACCAAAGTACCACCATCGTACAAGTGACTTCTAGGTCAAAGAAGACTTCTCCTGGTGTTTATGTCCTTGACTCCAAAATCAAGGATATCCATCAATACTCTCTGAATGATATCAGGAATGGAGCTCTAATCGCTGGTGTGGATATCAAGAGCCATTTTGTTGAATACCGAAAAAGGAGCTTGGAGTGTGTTAAAAACCACTCATTTACCGACCAGCAGCTTTTGTCTTTATCAAATATTGTCATCCTGTCCCAATCCACTCCTTTAGAATTTGTTGACAAGCCCACCTCTGCCTCTGTTTATGCTTCCCTTACCGCTCCTTTGTTTTCCTCTTTGCCCTCCCTTTCTACCGATGTCCTCAACCAAATCAAATCCGCTTTCACTGCTTATACCGCCAACAACAATGCTCTCCTTTTCTCCCGCACACTCATTAACCTTGCCGAAACCTCCACTGATCCTATCCTTGAACCCATTCTCCTTTCCTTTGTCACACTCGTTTCCGAAATTGTCCCTTTTACCCTTCATGATATGTCCGAAATGCAACTCCAGACCTCCTTCATCCATCCTTTGATCCGCGGCCTCACTAAATCCTCCTCTTCCATCGTGTCACACTGCTCGAACAAAACGGCCTTTGAAAGTGAGCACTCCATCTTGCACTGCCGACCCGACTATCGTGTAGATGTCTATACGTCGGCAGGTGTCTATGATGGCACCAACATGTTTGGTGAACTGAAGCCTGCATCTGCAAGTGCTGATGATGTAAAGTGCGACTTTCACAAGTGCATGAGTTTGGGCAAGGTGGCACTGAAATACGCCAAATCCCCCTATACTATGACCTTCACCTCATACCACGACCGCCTTCATTTCTACCTTCACCACTCCTTAAATTCCGACTTAACTTATGCTCTTCATTTACATTCCTTAACAGTTCCTTTGACCGCCAACACCTTCCATTCCTTCAACACCATGCTCCCTCAACTCTATCAAATCGCTCAAATATTCCATTCCTTCTGCATGCCCTCTAATTCCGCCTCTCCCAATTCCGATTCCTCCGCTACTGTCCCTTACCCAATCATTAAAACTTTAATTAACCATAATAAAAAACGAAAAATTTCTCACTAAACTAATCCACATGAAAATGAGCCTCTACTGCTGCTGAATTCACGGCGCAACCATTAAACATTTATTTATTCCGTATCAAAAAAGAAAAAAAAAACACATAAATCAAACATTCATTCATACATATAAACTACACTGGCAGCCTGGCTGCCACAAGCCAGTTATCCCTGTGGTAATTTTTTTGGCACCTCTAGCCTCAAATATTGAGATTCTAAAGGATCGATAGGCCACACTTTCATGGTTTGTATTGAAACGGTATCTGCTTCTGTAGCATCCCGTTTAGGAAGACTTGTCCTCTTGACACCACAAGGTTCCCGTGTTGAATCAGAAAGCTTAGAAAGTCGTACAGAAGTACCCACTGTTGGTCCTCCCAGAAGAAGTCGAAGAACAAGAACAAGAACAAGACGTAGAGTCGAATAATGCAAGCATTAATAGATATTATTATTCATATATGTCGTTACTCTCATCTCCGTCAGACGGCCGACATCTAATTCTCGTTTACTGACGTTTTGTTGTATTCTGGTTGGATATTGAATAATGGTCTTTGACCACATGTAGTAGTTGTTGTTGTCGATGGTGCAACGTTGAAATATTGTCATAACAAGACAACGTTGAAATATTGTCATAACAAGAGTAGGCTTTAAATCGGTCTTTGACCTGATATAGAAACTGGAATGTTGTCGTGAGCCAAATTTTCTATTCTTTGTAATGCTTAAAAAGCGCAGTTCGTTTTTTCTAGGTCTTTTTTGTTATCTTTTTACTCAAAGGCTTCTTGTAACTCTCACTTGTGCCCTTTTGAATGATCGTCCCGAAGTTGATGTTGATTATTTCGGTAGAATGTTCGTGGAGATGAAGGTGAAAGATGACGGTGGCAAGTACACTGTTACTACTTTCAATCCGACAGTTGGTCTACATTTGCTAAAACATTTGACGGAAGATTTCAATCACCAAATGGTTATCGAAGGTATTTATTGTTATATTTTTTTGAATGGGAAGCGTATTGATTTTTTTTCATAAGGAACGTTTTATGTGCATGCTTGGTTGAACAATAATGGTGCTGCCGCAATGACCAAAAAGATGACATTGACAAAACTCATTTACAATAACACATCGGTTTCTCCCCCAGAAGAAAATGTTAGAGTTCACAAATTTGTTCTCCTTAAGCATGTGATTGATAAATTTTATGATGACAAAGAATTCACTGGTTCGAAGAAGAGCTTGGATGACTTGAAGCTCGAATATAAGGAATTGCACAAGGATATTTGTAAGCTTGTGTCCGTTATATATGGTTCTAAAAAAACTGACACTTGTACTATTTATTCAGATCCAAATATTCCAATTGAAGATGTCAAGTTTTCTACTGAAGAAATAAAAAATCGTAGGGACCGAGAAATGCAAGCAAAAAGAAACTCAACGGCAGAAATAGCTTTATTGCTAAAAGAAAAAATGCTACAGATGAACACTGTTGCGTTAATAACTGACTCGGATCTTGAAGCTATAACAAAGAAAAGAAAATTTGCTTCAAAAAGTTGGTTTTTGTTTATTCAGATAAGAAGTCTAGGCTGTTGTTCAATCTATCAGTTAAATATGGTAATACAGTTGCTGACTTGTTTTGAGCCTGTCTTTGATCTTGAGCAGAAAAAAAATGCAAGAGTTGCTGCTTCTGTTCGGTTTTTGTACCAGCCCTTGTGTAGGTTTAAGTATAGGAATAAAATGCGATGTGTATAGACTTACTTTTACAAATTGTCTAGGTAATCTTATGTCCAACATTACGAAAGCCGCAAGGCTGAACCTTGTTGAAAGAGAGAAAAAAGTTTTGGCACCTGTGAAAAGTGTTTTTTTTTAATGGCTTCGAATATGGGACTATTGAAAAGTTAAGAGGATGTTTGTAAGTGATAAGGGCGATACATACTATGATTGATGATCTTGTTTCGAGATGAATAATGATCGAGTTTCATCATACTTTGCGTCAGGAAGTGCAAGTTGTACAGATTCACACAACATTGAATTTGTTTTACAATATTGTTGCCGTCTTGTTGGTCAGGAAATGTAGTCGCGAGACGTTTAACTATTTTTTCCAGCATGATCGTCCTTTCTTTTTTTGTTTTTTTAACAATCTTTTTAACATCCATTATTAAAAGACATAAATACCGAAATAGACGTTACTCAAAGCTGTTTTCTTGTTTCTAAAATAACCTAATTTATTTCTCGTTAGTGACAAAGAGAGAATTTATGATGAGCTGAATTTTCCAACAAGATATAACAAAAGCTGTTGCAGTATATGGGTTCTCTGTGATCGTAATGTGGGATGTTGTTTCTATGAGGAAAATAATAAATGTAATAGAGGATAAACAAGCTTTGTCAAAATCCAAATCTAATCACTTATTTCAGTATCCTTTTGCTAATGTCGCTTCGGTTTCCACAAAAAAGTTGAAGGACGATCCTGTGTTGGTAGATATGTTTTGTTAGTGAAAGAAATATAAAATTTCTTAGTAAATGTTCGGGTAGTGCGGATGCTTTTGATATGACGAACAAACATTGTTTGACATGAGAAGAAACTAAATGAAAGGTTACGTTGGCGTAAAAAAAGTGACACGGCCTTGCGAGCTATATGAAAATCAACACTGTAGTTCCAAACAATCGCGTTTTGCACACGTATGCCAGTTAAGGGGAGTCGTACAGTGAAGGTGAATAAAAAGAGTAAAGAAGTTCATTTATTTTTATTTTTTCTTGATGGCTGACTTCAACGCTCATCTTCGCTATTTTATCCAAGTTACTAAAATTCCCTATTTAATTCTTTTTATCATGGATTTTCGTAATGAGATTGAAACTGTTGTTGATGGTGATAGCATTCGAAGCTTTAAAGCTAACCTTGTAAAACTCTACAGTGATATGTATATAGAAGTAAAGAGTTGTCCCCTACCGTCTAAGTTATATGACGATGTTCAATGGTGCGTATACGAAAAGCTCTTTCGAGCTGTTGAAAGAAAAAAGAAATTTGTATGTAGTCTTATAAGGGTGATTGATTTTTTAAAAAATTCAGGTTGATGGTACTTTCAGCAGTAGCAATGGCTCACCGGAAATTGGAGGTGTGAAAAGATTGTTGGATGAGATGAGCATCATGGATTGGATGATTCCCGAACCTGTCGAGGATAGCCTTGTTATTGGAGATGACAAGCTTGATTTTAATAAGGTGTTTTTCCAATATCAAAAAGATTGTCTCTCCAAGTTTCAAATAGAACAATTTTACAACTGGTCTTTTGCCATGATCATCATTTATTAATCTATGGATATGAATTCATATATGTTCACAACAATGAGTCTTCTGGGTCTCACACGACAACGAACACGAAATCAAGGAGAGAATGAAATGAAGGATAAAGAAATAGACATTGCATGCAATGTAGGTGTACGTATGTGTACGTGCGTTGGGGGAATAGGAAGCCGCAGCTAAAGGACAAACAAATCTATCAACAGATAGATGGATCAGAACAGTATAAAAAGGGCTGTGTTTCCCTGCCTTTTTTTTTCCTCTCATTATTCAACATCACTCACCTCACTCTATGTACGCCATCATCAAAGCCGATTGTGTTTCTGCGCCTATCGTTGTTGCTTACCGGTTCAACCGGGTGGGTATCCGCATTAAAGTAAAGGAGGGAAACGACTATTGCAAGATTCAATGCTAGTGTCCTTACCTGGCTCTGTACTGCCTTTCTCATTTGGGGCCCAACGAGCACTGTACTCTGGGTGGTAAGTAGTTTTTTCATTTCTTTGTTTCTGTGTGTGTGTGTGTTTGCGTTGCATTCATTGTCAGTGCATATAAGGGCTATGGAGGGCTGTGTGGTGTGATCTGGCGGTGGCTGACATTCGTTTTTTTTTTAAGGAAACTGTACTATGCGTTCGTATTTTACTTCTGCTGGTGGAGCTGCTGTCGCACGTACGATTACCGATTTGCGCACTTTAAAGGATAGCCATGGTACGCATGAAGCTGCCAAGGAAGTCAACAAGTTTGCAAAACTTGTCCTTTACAAGTATTGCCTTGACAACTGGTATGACAATGAAAAAGTGGATGCAGGAGCTCAGTTTGACATCATCAAGGAGGAACATAAGAAGTTGTTTCTGGAACTCAGTAAGTAATGTTGGGGGCAATGGGAGGATGTGGCGGCGCCATGCATGGATTGTGTGTGCAATGCGTCCTTTAATATTTATCTGCATTTTACCTACCCCTAGATCCAAATGAAAACTATGAGCAGGTCCAGTTTGATACCGAGGATATCAAGGCTAACGTAGATCGCAAAAGAAACCATGAGATTGATTTGGCCAATGAACTGGCCAAGAAGCTGAAGAAGAGATTGACCACAGGAACCAGCATTCTGAGCGATATTGAATTGGAGGCTATCCGGCAGGCCGAAGGCAAAGCCATTGAAATTGAAAAGGAGCTGGAAGAGGAAAGTGAACAAACACAAGCTGAAGCAGAGCAAACACAAGCTGAACAAGTACAAGCAGAGGATGAAGAGATGGCCACTTGAAAAAAAAACAAAGCAAAAACAGGAAAAAGAAGTTCTTTTCAAAAATGCTTGTTTAAATAAAAATTTTACCTAAATTTCAAAACTTGTTAAAAAACATATATATGTATATCGCTGCATTGTTTTGTTTTGGCCTGGAACATGCTTTCGTACTTAGAGCTGTCAAAGGGTACTTTCCCTCAAGTTGTCCTATACACACACACATACACACATACACACACGCACATACACACACGCACATACACACACACGCTTCAGCTACTAGCAAGTATTTGGATAAAGGTTGCAACAGCCTCCACTCGAACACAAGACACACTTACCTATCCCTATACTAGCACTTGTGTACTCGGAGACCAAAGCTTAGAAACTCTCTGTAAATAATCAACAATCCTCACTCTACTGGTATTCTGATTTCTGCTCGATAACCTCATCAGCTTGCTCAGATCCACTATATGGCTGTGTTGTGAATATCAAAGCTTCTTCTTCTCTTTTTTTTTGGGTAGTGGCTCCTGATTTGCACCAATACAACCCTCTCGTTTTAGTCTCTGTATCTCTTGTTGTAAGCAGTAGTGGGCTTTCTTGCTTTACCATCAGGACTCATCTTTGATTAGATCTTGTCACACTGTCTTTAACACACTATAACACCACGCTTCGAGTTTGTGTACTTGAAGTCTAGTGGCTAGAGTTTCCGTCTTCTTGTTCTTATTCTTATTCTTTCTACCAACTTGATCAGACAGTCATTACAAGTACTAATAAAGAGAAAAAAAAAGCGATCTGCAGAATAGAGAGCAACAATTTGTACGTAAGAAAAAGAAAAGAAGAGCGGAATTTAAAATACCTGATCTCCTTTTTACATGCCATTCATTGTTCATCGTGTCGTAAGCTGCCTTTTCGATCTCAAGACTACCAATTATCGTAGCATACCTTTCTCTTCTATGTCATGCGTAACAAATGGCGCAAAAAAAAAGAGCTCATTTGATATTTGATATATACTAAAATGAATCTCTTTTCAACCAATTACAGTGTGCAACAAGCTTTGAATGCAGATCTGAAGACAGTGCTCAAATTAAGTCGACTTTCTTAGCTGTGCTTTGAGCGTTTTTGCTCTAAATATCATATAGAATGTATTGGAGATGAACTTTCAAAAGACATCTTGAGCTATCTGAGTGCTATCTGAGTGCTATCTGAGTGCTATCAAAGCATATAAAAGTAAGAATATAGGTACTCTATAATATGAATGAGGGAGCAAGTAGACATAGGACATACAGGATGATTTTATGTGGAGATTGAAATAGAATGATTCCAGTTCTTCCTCCCGCCGCATAAAGACGCAGCTTTATGGCCTTGGTGTAGTGACAAAAGCTGCAGAACTTTGTTTTTTGAGCCTTTCTGTATAAAGAACACGATAAACTTGCTGCTAAAGTAATGAGTAAACAGGCAAAAATGTTTACAGGGTTTTTTCATCTATATCTCCTCAACTCTATGGTATAGTTAGCAAACAAGTACATTCATTGCGAACTAGAGCCTTTGGCACACATTTTGAGTGTCTATGCTTGTTGGCAGCTTCATTTTTTGTCTTGTAGCGTCAATAAGAAGCTCCAAGTAGCTGTCAGCTCGATAATCTTCGTGAGTAGTACCCTTTGGATCAGAGTGATTTTCGGCCATTTAAAGCATTTATATGAGCATAAACAGGCTCTATGCTACCTTTATATGTCTATGAAAAAAAACAGGATTTGTATGGATTGTTATCATTTATGTTGTTGAAGCATTTCTCGTCCTGGAGACTTTGTTAAGCAAGTAATCAAAGTGATATTGAATTATTTCTTTGAATAGAATATACTATGGAGAGCACACTTGATCCGCCTAGATCAAAGAAAGAGAATGTTTGCTTATAGAAAAATGTTAAAGTGTTAATGAATGAATTTGGCTCATAGTTCTACGGCTCGTTTTTTTCTCTCTCTTGTACATCGGCGTACATTTACTGCAGCCTTTGTTGCTTATTATTTTTTTTTTTTTGTATTCCGTTTCGTGTATAAGCAACAGCTGTTAGCTCCTAAGTAGATTGGCCTTGTTTTTATTTCATATTCTCAAAAAAGAAAAAAAAACTCTGACATTTCTTTATGCTCCAAAAAAAGATATAATGATATTTCTGAATCATAACAGTTTGATCAGTTTACAACAACCAAGAAGCAAATGTATACAAACAGCAGTTGGTCATTATTTCTTATGAATGATTGTGGATTCTTGATCTACAAATAAGCAAGCACTGTCTATCTCGTCTTCTTTGCGAATGTATTTATGCCTTTTTGTAGTCAATTGATCATTTTGCATAAAAAGTCTGTTTTTATATAAAGCTCTGTCTACTTGATTTACAGTGTCTATTGGTTTACACAAAATAATCTTATAGCAGGAGCATGAGTCTCTAGTCTAAGAATTGTAGCATTTGGATGTTTCTGACTGTATGTTATTATTATTCTTGCTATTATTATCGGAAAAAGTGATCACAAAAAAATAAAAAAGGCAACACTTGTTATGATACAATATATATATATATATATATTTTATTTTATATATGTATTTATTTCAAAAAATGAATGGTGTCAGTCTTTAGTTTCACTTCATAGAGAAGTTACTCACAGGAGTAGCCACGAGAAGGCAACTGACTCGTACTCCCTCACTTCCTTCACTGACACCTTCCCAGGCCCGCGATACACTGGGGAATGTCAGATCATTAAAGAAGGATCCCAGCAATTCCCAGCAACTACCCTTCTTCCCGCTGCAGACCAACGCCTATATACCTCGTATCTTACTCTCGGGCAGTAAGATAAGAAAGTAAATCATCGGCTATAACAGGCCAACAACGATCAGGATCGAACACTGAAAGCCACGGAGAGAGAGACACCAGTAGACAGAACCAACCAAATAGAGAGAAAAACCTAGAGAAAGCAGAGATGTCAGCAAACGCGTTTTTGAAATGATGGAGTACTTACCAAAAACGATCTACAAAAGAGAGAACACGAAAAACTACATTGTTAGACTACAGAAAACACAGACGCTCAAATGAAATAGAAGACTCAAAAACCAACCAAAGAGAAATCCTAGAAAGACAGAGATGTCAGTAAACGCGTTCTTGAAATAAATAAGGTACTTACAGAAAACGAACCACAGAAAGAGAGAACAAGAAACAACTATACAGTGCATTGTTAGACTACAGATAATAGTATATCTCAATACATAGCTACTTGTAACCAAAGTAGAGAGACAAAGAGAGAGAACAAGCAGATAGAGCAAGCGGATAGAAAACCAAGTAAAGAGAAAACCTTAGAGAAAGTAGACGCGTTCTGAAATAGTTAAGGCACGAACCAAAAGAGAGAGAGACCAGAGTAGAGAAAGTAAAGAAACAGAAAGAAAAGATAAAGAAATAAAAAACAGTGCTGCGTGCCTTTTCATAAGTAATTTTTTTTCTTTTCCTTTCCTTGCCCTTCCTTTTCTTTGGATCATCTCATAGAGAGGACGCCCAATCTTGTGTTACATATAAACTTATTTAGTTGCATAAGACATGCGATGAACACCCTACTTGTCAGTTCTATAAACAGAAAAGCATCCCCTTTTGCTTATTTTCTTTCTCTTTTGCTATGTACTTATCCTCTGTATTTCTATTGAGTAATTCATTATTCTTTGCCCTTGAAGATAAGGGAAGTTTACTTATCATATAAATCAATGCGGAATGTATTTCGTAATAGAGGACTTTGAATTGTAATCATTCCCAGTTTCCTTTTTTTCTTTCCATGAGAAGATCATCCTGAAACAATAACAAACTTTCTTATTCATATGAAAATGTCAATAACCAAAAGAGCAAAGAAAAGTTTAGCTGTTTAAAAAAAAAAAAGAAAGAAAGAAAAAGAAAGAAAGCTATTTTACACACAAACTGAAAGTACTGATTACTGGTGCCTAAAGATGAACTAGCTATTGTCTTTTTTTTTCTTCCTTTTTTTTTTTACCTTGAGCACAAAAAGTATGTCCGTTGATCCGTGCATCATGCATACGCTTACGATATCAACCAATACCTGTACCAGCAGACCATTAATTGAAAACATGGGATATTGACGTGGTCATTCAGTATATCAAGGTCAACTTGTGCAATAACCAAACCATCACACTCACAAATCTTCAGCAAAAGACAATTGTTCTACTACGCATTGATACCAAGGCTAGGCCAAGATCAGACATAGGCAATATACAATACAGTATATGAGTTTTGTAGTAAACAAAAGAAAAAGCGATGAATTTTTCAGGGTCTATTTTCAGGGAAAAGTAAGCAACTGTCCCAGGGATTTAAAAAAAAAAAAACCTTGGATTGATGGTCGGTAAGCAATAAGCTCTTTGTTAGGATGGATGCTAAATTACATTTATTCTGCTATTTTCTGAGTACCTATAGATGGTGGTGATAACTTGGCAAGTATCTGTCTTCCACTTCTTAAGTTCAACAATAAGTTCCTTGTTGATTTGATATTACTTGTTCCAGTTGTCGTTCTTGTATTTGGCGACCTATCTTTTAAGTCTAATAAACTCTTCTTTGAACTCATATGTTGTCGTGCTATCCGAATATTCTGATATTTACAATGGTAATTTTGAACCATGTCTTTCTTCATCTTTCCTGGTTTGCTCTTCGATTTGCAGTCTTTTGAAAAGTGCAAGCGCGTCTGCTGCAGTGAGCAATCTTTCTGGCTCATTATTGTTGATATCACTCGTAATTTATTCTGCGATGCGCGGCTTTGAAAGATATAAGGAAGAAAGGGGGTTTCAGGAACAATCAACCAAAAAAATAATGCTACTTTCCAAAAAAAAAAAAAAAAAAAAAAGGGGGACAAAAGGTTGATATCTGCTGAGAGAACCTACCATTTCATACTCTATTTTTCTACACATATCTTTCTACTCAAATTTGAATTCCTTATTATTCAACTCTAAATTCTGACAGTTACTTGTGTCACAGAATACTTACTTTGAGTCCCAATTATTACTTTATATCACATTAGACTTTATCACATATTGCTCATTTTACATTTAGTCAGCATAGCCTAATATGATCGTATCACTTTTACAGTGATTCATGAATTTATTATATTTGGGCTGTTATAATTGCACTTTTGCAAGTCCAACATGACCACCTTAGAATAGATACAAATACTAGAACAATTCAATTTAAATAAAGACATCCATAATTTCATCTTAAACTTACAATCGTACTTTACTTGTATTATCTTTTACTTTAAACTAGACTATTATTATATCATTCGTCTAACTGGGTACTTTGATCTTGCATTACATTTGATTATTGTACGTTATATTATATTGTATCTTTGTATCTCTTTTATTTATACAAATTACATAGTCGGACGACTTAAAATCTGGTGCTCATTACATATAACTTGCTGTCTATTGCTCTGTTATATTTACTGTTCTATATTTCTACAAGTTACTGCAATCTCTATCTTTGTCCTGTGGCACTAACAAGCACATCAAAGAACTTGAAAATCAGAGCAAGATACAAACTAGCCCAAAGCTGTTCAAATAATCCTTGGCCCCTTCTCGACGATTGATAGTAAAGCAAAAGTCAAATTAGGCTTCATAACGGGGCTATCCAAATGCAACTCAAGGGGAAGCGTAATGTAAGAATTATTCTTTGGAAAAACAAAAGAAGAACATCAAATCAGATGATATGTCGCTAACATCAGTCACCACAGCTCTCGAAATTAAGTAACTTCCTCATTCCAAATGAAACAGTGAAAGCACCTACCACTGAAAAAAAAAAAAAAACTATACTATATCTAAAAGATCTGAAGTTGGGAACTACTTTAGTGGACCTGGATGTTCACGCATTTACTCTGAAGAGATGAAACGGTCCAATTACAATTAATTGGTCTTTGCATTTGTACAAAAGAGAAAAACAGAGTACATCCAATCTTTTGAATAAACATAGAGTCAAAGCAAAAGACGTCTTTTTTCTTCTTCTTTTTTCATAGAACTTGTCAGGCTTTTAATTTGATAGATTTGTTCATCACTTTTAACACCTTTATATTTTTCTTATAGATTCTATCTATCCATATATGCAACTTTATACCTGTTAGAAGGCTCAATCTGCTTACTTATGCATGCATAACCCTAAGTTTCTTGCTATCATTTGGTGTACAACAAGCAACTTTATAATGCATCTGATAAGAAAATAACACAAAGGCCATTTGTTCATGCATCTCTTAAAGTGGCCAATCTCTTAAAGTGTCCAAGGCAACAGATTGATTGGCTAAGCCACTTGACTTCGAATATGGTATTTTTATTTCCAGAAAAAATTTTTTCTTTTTCAAACCCTTGTCTTTTATTTTTACATTGTTGTCAAAATAAAGACCATATTGCTCAGGGTACTCAAACTCTTGTTTAGCTATCCTATGGAGCTAAAAGAGTGCTACCTTCCAGCCGTGTAGCTGTGTCTGTTCAGTGTTTTGCTTTTTTGGCGCTGTTTAGATATGACGTCATACTAAGACTTGTGTAACCAAAAGCTATTGTCCCTAGCGATTGTTTATACACGTACGTACTAACTGGCTGCAGACAAAGGGTAAACACTAAGCCCAAAAGGAAGCAAATATGTATACAGATATCAGGTTTTTGGGTTTACTGATTCTCAATACATAGATACTTGTACTTCGGGGTACTTGTACATACAAAGGGAAAAAAAGAATGCGCAGCAGCATTCATACATACAAAGATAGAAGACTAGCCATCTTTTGTCTCAAGATTGGGTTTACCGTTGCCTAATACTCTGTTCAAGAGAGTGATTAGCTCTTGTTCAGAAAAGAGATGCATTTGTTCAAGTCTGGTAAGCTTGTTCAAACTACTGCAAATACTTGTACTTCGGGGTACTTGTACATACAAAGGGAAAAAAAGAATGCGCAGCAGCATTCATACATACAAAGATAGAAGACTAGCCATCTTCAAACTACTGCAAATACTTGTACTTCGGGGTACTTGTATACACAAAGGGAAAAAAAGAATGCGCAGTAGCATTCATACATACAAAGATAGAAGACTAGCCATCTTTTGTCTCAAGATTGGGTTTAACGTTGCCTAATACTCTGTTCAAGAGAGTGATTAGCTCTTGTTCAGAAAAGAGATGCATTTGTTCAAGTCTGGTAAGCTTGTTCAAACTACTGCAAATACTTGTACTTCGGGGTACTTGTATACACAAAGGGGAAAAAGAAGGCATGGTGTCACTTTCTAGGCTGAAACTGGTCTTTCTCTATCGACAAGGCTTTCTCTCAGGTGTCTCCAAGGTTACTCAGCAAGTCTCAAGGTCAATCAAGAATGGCTCTCATGGCTCAGTGGATATCTAGTAAGTATCTTCCAATGGTGTTAAAAGTATAATACACTAAAGTCCTTTTGTTTAGGTGTTTGCAAGGCTGGTCATCAAGGTCTGTTACTGGTCCAAGACTGACTCTCTCCCTGGTTCTACCCTGTTATGGTTAGCAAGCTCAAGATCCCTAGGTATACTCTACTTATGGTGGTGTCTAAGGCGTCTCCAAGGTTGGTCATCATGGTGTGTTACTGGTGCAAGACTGTCTCCCTTTGATTCTGGTTCTTTCAAGCGTTTCAAGGTATCCATTGAAGACTCAACAGATCTTCGCAATGCCGTCTGCTTTCTTCAGCCTTGTCTGTTTGAGAGTCTGATCAGCTCTTGTGCAGGCAAGAAGAGGGTTTGGTTAGGCTTGATCATCCTAATCAAATCCACAGTACACTGGTGTTTCTCTGTGGTTATACTCTCCTTCCATAGATAAGTTTCAAATGAGAATGCATACCCTACTTACGATTTTTTTTCTCATAGGCATCCATCAAGGTACACTGGCTGTGTTTCTTTAGGCTAGCGAGCTTCAAGCTCTCAAGGTTTGTTCCACTCAAGCTGGTTTCTTAGGTGGCTAAAAGGTCATCCATCAAGACAAACAGTAGGTTCAAGACTCTCTCCTACACTCTCTGTATGGCTGTGCTTCTTTTGGTCGGTTAGTTTCAAGATGACAAAGGTTGTTCTACTCAAGTTGGCTTTTCTAGGTTTCTACAAGGTGATCAAGCAAGGCGTACTGCTGATTCAAGACTTTCCCTCTGCGCTTGTGCTCTACTTTGGTCAGTGAGTTCCAAAACAGCAAGGTTTGCACTACTCACCGTATTCTGTAGGTATCTGCAAGGCTATCTGTCTATGTTTACTGCTGGCTCTCGATCGTCTCTTCTTGGTTGCGCTTGGTTATGCTTGGCTGTGCTTGGTTGTGCTTGGTTGTGCTTGGTTGCCTTGGTTATGCTCGGTTGTGCTTGGTTGTGCTTGGTGTGGTTAGCAAGTTCCACGATCACAAGGTCTGTTCTACTCAAGCTGGTTCCCTAGGCGTCTTCAAGACTATCCATCAAAACGTACCGATACCTCAAAACTGTCTCTCTCTGATAATGCTCTATTTTAGTCCGTAAGTTTCTAGATGGCGAAGGTTTACTCTACTTACATTGGTTTTCTAGGTATCTGCAAGGTCTTTTGTACAAGTATCACTGGACTTTCAAGACTGGTTTTCCTAGCTCTGGTTCTCTTTGGCCTTCCAAGGTGTTTGTTCAAGGCTTCAACAGGTCTTCATGGTGTGCGTTTCCTTCTTTGAGTCTTCTTGTTTCTGTTTAAGGGTCTGATCAGCTCTTGTGCAGGCAAGAAGAGGGTTTGGTTAGGTTTGATCACCCTGATTAGATCCACAATATGTTTGTGCTGTGTTTTTTTTTTACTAGTGTCTCCCCTCTCCTTCTAACTTGTACTTTTCTTTTTTGTTGTCTTTGTGTTGTATTTACAGATAGATTAGGTGCTTTTCTCCGTTTATGCTGTTCGTTTAGTTCGTGTTTTATCGTTTCCAAAGAAGCTATAAAAAGCCCTCTCTTGTGTATACTCTACAAGCATTGTGGTGTTGATTAGCCAAAGCTTTAGGTTTTTTTCTTTTTGTCTTACTGTCATGCTCAATGTTGGTTTGATCTCTAGGTATTCCTCAAGCTTAGTGTTTGTTTCTCTTGTTTTTCTTTTCTTTTTTTGGACTGAAGAAGGTTTTGTCTGGTGTCTTTAATGTAAGTAATAGTTGTCTTTTTCTTGTTTTACAGTCAGTGCTTGTGGTTGACTAGATCTTGTGCTTGCGCATTGTCTATTCATCTTTAGTTATTGGCAAAAACAGTCTTAAATAAAATTAATGGATTAAATCCACTCACGTCTGCTGAGATTGAATAAGCTAAAAAAAAATCCCATTTGAAGGCCTTGATAAAATAGCGCTAGCAATAAAAGTGATAATTATTCATCATGCTTTCCTATCGCCATCTTTTTATTTATCAAATGGCAAACACAACTGATTAAATATAAGCTTTTCTTAGGTTAGAAAGCAGTAAAAGATTTCTTTTTATGGTTTGTTTTGTTTGTGTTATGCAATTGAACAGTGATACACATCGTATTGTCTATCTCTTTAAAACGCGTAATGCCCTCTTGAAGATTAACTTTTCTTTGCTCATATTTGAATACAACAAGGAAATAAATTGCTATCTAGTATACCTCTTTAAAGAACAAAAAGTAGAGGTCTAAAAAATAAAAGGAATACTTGGACTGTTTCTCTCAATATAAACAATGATATCAGTATGATTATGTCCTCTTTCCTCCCTTTTCTTCTTCTTCTTTTTCTGTTACTTTACTCTTCTACTCTCTTGGCCTCGTATGCAAATCTACTAGCCTCTTCTCATCCATCAAGGAGGTAAGATAATTATTCTAAAAGACACGTTTACTGACTCTCTTATAGGGAACCACTTGTTTCCGTACAGTGATGTTCCAAATGCCCTCTTCTTGTCGGCGATGGCATCCATTCGGCCCTGAACTACCAGGGCCAGTTTGGGCCGGTTCATTCGGCTCTGAACTACGCAGAGCCGCGTGGGCTATGAAAATCAGCACATTGAGGGTAGCATGATGGCTTTGGTCTTTTGGTAAGTTATATATGCTTGAAAGCTTTTTTTTTAATCATCATTCTAGTTACTTGTTTCCTGGTTCATCAAGGCTCTCTTTTATGGCTTTACTTTCTTCTATTTCTGGCTCTATTTTGTATTTGGTGAATCTTTTTCAAACCTCTTCTTAAAATAATTGCCTCTTCCTAATAATGAAATTACTTACACATCATTAAAAAATAAACAAGTCATTTTTCTTCTTTTCTTATATATATATCATGATAATCATTAATGTACTTATGCTTCTGTATTATTCAAAACTGCTATGTTTAAATGAATTCGGGTAAAAGCTAGCATGTCTATGAAATAAACAGGTTTTCAATATGAGACAGACCTAGGTGTGCTTCCTTTTTTATAAACAAAAATTGCAGCTTAAATGATTTTACTAAAGGTACTAGAGAAGACATTTATTATGTTCAGATTACCACGATGGCTTTGTTAAGTTGGAATCTACTAGAAAGAGAATTGCAGGGTTGAACTGTAGATCCGTATTAAAGAGCATCTCGCTTTCATAATTTTGAAGTAATGAAAGATAAAATACGTTTGTATTGATTCAATATATATATATATATGTTCTTGGCGTAAATACTTTTGTAAGATGAGGTTTTGGTTGTGCTTCTTTCTTAAAATACAGCTAGTGAATCAAGTTATTTTCTTTATGAAGTAGCCTATTCAAAGTGTGTTCTTATAAGCTCTGAATATGATTGTCATTCATTATTTTCAAAGGCCAAATACTGCTAAATCAAATAAAATCATTATCAGGGTTTATATGTACGAAGCAAATAGAAAAAAAAAGAAAACAGGCTTATTGTTCAAGGTTGCTTTTCTTCAGAGGCAGGGCAACTGTAGGCGTTACAAGCTTGGTCAAAGAAGCAAAGAATTTGTCTTTCTTCTCTTGTAGATACAAGACATTTGTTCATTTATTAGCTCTTTAAGCCAACAGAAAGAGAGGACGGTGTCAGGCAAAGAGCCCAGATCCATTTTTCCGCGAGGGAGCGAAAACACATCAAGTTCCACAAAAGTGTAGATTCCATGTGAGGTCAACTCACACACAAAAGAAAAACACATTTCACCATCAACAAACAACGCAAAGCACTTAGGTGTACGGACACCAAGAGACACCTGATGATCAATAGATCGTTTGCACTCTAGAGCCAGCTTAGAGCGATCACTCAAAATTTGACTTGACTTGGTGCCAGGCTTCTTGACCTCCACGCAAAGCAACCCAAAAGAATTATCGTTGATAGGCAGAAAGACGAAAAATCGGGTTTAGCTTTGCTGCTGCTGCTGCTGTCTGAATTGGGATGACCATATGGTATTTTTCCATAGGACCGTGTGGATGAGACATTCTTGTCACGCAAGAGTATGTTTCTCAGAAACGGATACAATGCTTGGTCAATGAAGTCTTCTTCAGTTCTACACTCAGTCCTCCAGTTTTCGAAATTGTCAAGTATTTCTTGAACAACTCGTACCAAGGCATCTTCTTCTTCCTTCTTCGATTTCTTTGCATACCGCGACATCTGGTACTGCAAGTACTGCACATCTTTTTCTTCTTCATCATTATCATAATCGTCATAATCGTCATCATCGTCATCATCGTCATCATCGTCATCATCGTCATCATCTTCCACTTCTTTTTCTTCTTTTTCTTCTTTTTCTTCTTGCTCCAGCTCCCATTGTGTCTTCAAGTCAATGAACATGACTAGAATTTCATGCTCGAATTGCTTCTTCTTTGTGGCAGGAGTGAGCGCTTTTCTTATTTTTTTGAAGTTTTTAGCTTCAAGGCAGAATCCTTCAACAGCAACTGGCACTTCCAAGATAAATGAAAGCAGCAAGTATTGACTTTCTCTTAGCATCTTCTTGTTCCTCACCAGCTCAACAACACGTCTTCTTTCTTTGTTGAAAAACTTTTATCAAGTCTTCATGACCAACAGACCAGCGACCAAAGACACCTTCTTCTTACCATAATCTTGGCATA